ACCCACCGAGCATATACCTACATTCAGTTGAATCGATAGGATATCTGCTTAGGGCAATGACCAAGTCAACCGACACTAACTAAATGAAAAAGTACTGCATTATTGTATTTTCATTTTCAATATAGCTCAATTAGAGTGCTCAAGAACGTGGCCTAAGATTCAAAGTTGGAGAATCACACGCCATGAGACACAGCCCGAAAGAATGGCAATTATTGAGACCTGGATGCTCGGGACATGTACTGTGTGTCACCCAATCGGTGGTGCTGAAGACTCTACTATGATCTAATTCTCCTCAATACATGCTATATGTATGCGGAACAATACAGTCAGTAAATAGTACAAACTCTGCGGGATAAAATATTCCCGATACAGATAGAGATATTCATGGAGACACACCGGCAAGGTCCTAGGACCAAATCCCAGTTTGGTTAAGCTTTTTGCACGTGCTTGTCCCACCGGACTACTACTACCGTGAAGGAGTATCTGACTTTACTTCTGATCGTTATAGGTGTAGGTCTGGCTCTCGTCATTCCATAAGCAACATATCGTAAGCACGAATGGACGAAGGGAGAAATGGATGGCTTGACTGAATTTAACATACAAAACGTGCCCTCCTTAGCCCAAAGCAATCGTTGCTTATTGTTTTTCATGGAGATATCTTAACAATTCACGTGTACGGATATATTTCAGGTCAAGGAGGGTGAAATAGCACCAATGCCTATGCTATTTACTAGCGACAGATGAATAAACGATCTCCTCAAACTTTGACAGAAGTGCAATTGCGTCCGGCTCACCGGAGGGAATCAATTGTGAGAGATACACTCCGGCGATGCCGTTCTGAGGATCTATCCACTGAAGCACCGTATTAGCGTATGTTCAAGATTCAATTGGGAGAAAAACATTTACCCAATAACAGTTTGCCATGCCCGACCACGTCAGCGAATGCGAACCTCGTTTTCCTACCACGGATTGCAAATTGAGCAGACCTCCGAGTCCAAAGTTGATTGGTGTCGAGGATGGGACCGAATTCAAGATACTGTTCCTGTAGGATGGATGGCTGTCTGATAAATTGTCAAGTCCAACTGTATGTTGCAGTTGTGGCTTGAACATTAAATCGACCATCTCTTCACCCAAAATTTTGTCATCCTTTCGCAAGATAGCTCCGTATATTTTCAGCAAATCGGTGGCGCTTGCAAACAGTCCTCCACCACCAAAGTGTTCTTTAGCAGGGTAGGGCCGCTTGCTCAACCGGACCTTCTTCAAGCCTTCAGTTTCTGAGCGCTCCCAGCATTGAACTAGTCTGTCTTGTATGTCTCGGCGGTCGGAAACGAAAGTGATGTCGTTGATGCCGAGTGGATCGAAGATGTGGTATTGCATATAATCACCTAGTTTCATGTCACCGTTGACCCGTTCCACCTGAGATGAAAGAAGAAAAATTGTTAGGGAACCAGGAGGAGAGAATATTTGTGGTAGCCACCAACCATTTTTCCAGCCCAATCAATACCAGGGGAGTACTCCCATTGCTCTCCTGGATGGCGTATAAGAATGGGTTCGAAAGATTCCGCCTGTACAACGCGTCAACAATATGTTGATTGATATTGAACACAAGTATCTTCAGTAAAATTGCGAAGCTGGGGCTGTCACTAGGGTGGTGTCTTACAACTGTTCCGCCCTCAAGTGTTTTGCGGTTTCTCAGTTTCTGGAGCCGAGCCAGATCGGGGTGCATACTTTCAAATCCGTATGCCATTCCGCTCGAGTGTGTTAGTAGGTGGCTGTAACAGTGTTAGTCTATCAATTATGCCTCCTGCTTAACTTGATGGTTTTCTTACCGAAGGGTTACGACTCCTTTGCTATCCTCCAAGACAGGGTCTCCGTCCTTGTCAAATCGGACTAAAACCTTGGGATTTTGGAATTCTCTAAGGACTTTGGAAATGTCGTTGTCCAAAGCCAAGATGCCCTTTTCGACACATTGCAGGACTGCAATTGTCGTTATAAGTTTGGTGCATGACGCGATGTGATAGATCGGATTACCCGAAGGCTGCTCGATATTCTTGTCATTGGCACAGTCAAATGATTTCACGTACTCGAATGTGCCTGCACGAAGAACGTTAATCAAGCGTAAGGGTCACTGACGACTTTTGCACCAAATCCCCGTACGTACCATCTTTGTTCACCGCGCCCAGGGTAATAGGTCCTTGCAAGGGCGGATGGTTGGGACCGCTAGGCTTCATAAATTGAGCAACTATCTGATCCAAGGAATCCATTGTACGACGCGTCCTTTGAACAGACTGACTGGGAGAGGGTAACTTGGAAAGGTTCTCGCAAGATTTCTCATGGTTTTTGTCTCCTAAATCCATAGCAAGAGTCTTATATACTATTCCTAATCGTCACTCTTACTAAGTAATAAAGTGTGACGTCACAATTTAACTCCAAGTCTCAGTCTCCACTTTCCATTCTAGGCCTTTTGCCAAGACACACAGTATACCAGCTTCTACTGAACTTAGAGCGGTTATTAACGTTTGCCCACAAATATTGGCAGCGTTACTCCTTAGAGACCCAAGTACTTATACACATATCGGCAGGAGTATGATACTAGACTGCGCTATATCCGCGCCGAGTCGTAATCTCGCGTTCTCGCTCAAACGGGAAAGTAGGCGGGACCCGGGTCATAGACAAATGGGTCCAATTCCATAGAAGTCTCCCCAGTGGATCCATGGAGGGGAACTTTCAATGCCGTCATGCCGAGGCTTGGCCGTTCAGATATAATTCCGATCTTTCGACTCGGAAACTATACCTTTCCTAGGCTTATCTTCTTCACCCAGGACAGAAATACACCAAATGGTTGACATTGATATCTTCATAGTTAACAACTTGAGGCGTCTCATTCCTAGCCAGTCGTTTTATACAGCAGGCAGTGTAGGATTTTGGGATATCTTCTAAGGTAAACAATTACGCTGTTACGGACATGCTAGTCACCAATCAATGTGGAGACCTCCATGATGGGCCACCGAGAGCCAACCAATCTATCTGTCATCAGAATCACGTGCAACATCCTATACTCTGGCATCCCCAGGTATTCAGGGAAAAGAGAAACCGTGATCATGCTCACTCAGCAAGAGTATGATACGCCCTAAGCAGACCCACTCGGCAGAGGTTATCCTATATACTCGTCTTCCCAGCCAGCCTCACCCGCGTTCACGGGAATGGGTCTGTTTCACAATCCGAGATTTTTCATAATGGGCTTGGGTTTGCCGCAGTCTAGTACCTACACCCACACCCCGTGCCAATAATAGCAGGCGCCGCTTCAGTCGACGTAGATAGGACTCTAAACGCTTGAAGAATAGCCTTCAAGTAGCTTGCGAATAAAAACTTAACCTTAAGAGAAACCGACGAAGAGACGGAACACGAAGGAGCAAGAGCGGAAAGAGGACGCTGTATGGACTTTGAGAGATCTGAACGAAACACAGGAAGCGACCATGTAATATAAAATAGCATATAGTGCCTTATTGGCTTTAGGCCACCAGGCGTAATAAATTTGTATGTGTATAGATTTTATCCTCCTTCAGCCTAGCCCACGGGGGCGGTGTTCACGCATGGTGCGTGCCCATGTCTAGCTCACGTTGACTGACGTTGTTCTGTGCACGACACACATTGACTCCGAAGGCCAGGCCCGGTCGGTTTACTTTCTTCACTACTCACCACTACGTTTCGACAACAGCGACACAGAACTGGATGTTCGGTAACTCAGGATAATGGAACACTCCGTTACTCCGCTTTCTTCAGCCCTGGGCGAGGGCGAAGCGAACAGGGTCGGCGATCACCCCAACCACGTCGACGCAGAGGCTGAGGCCAAGGCCAACAAGCAGCGCAGGAAGGTTCAAAACCGGAAGAACCAAAGAGCACATCGTGAGTCTTTCCCTCAATGCCGCACCCGCTGCTGAGCTTATAAGCTTTGAAGGACTGCGGATTAGGGAGCAAAACCCGGGGTCTGTTCGAACGTCGCGCCCGTTCCAAGTCAGGCGCTGGCGCGTGGACGAACCTGATGAGTGTCCCTCCCAAGACGTCTTGTTAGCATCAAAAGGCGCAACCGCCACCCACATCTCCTCTCAACCACCTCCCAATCACGTCAGTACATCAATGCTCACACCTGGGCGCGCCCGAGTCATTCGAGGGCCACCGCCCACCACCTCAGTCCATGCCCAGACGTCCCTAACGCCCCCATCCTTTATCTTCCCCCTCTCAACCGATCACCTCCTCCATCTCGTCCAATATAATGTCTTCCGCGCCTTTGTCTCTAACAAGCGCACTCTTAATACCCTTTTAACGGGCTGGACCGATAACCCTCCCTCCCCAACTACCTGTCCCATCAGTGGTCCTTACCGTGACGACACAACCGTCTACCCCCTGAACCCCAATATTCCTCTCTCCCTCGTCCCGACCCGCCTCCAGCAAACCCGCTTGCACCCCTTCTGGATCAACCTCTTTCCCTTCCCCTGCGTCCGTGACAATCTTATAAGGCGCGAAGGAAGTTTCGACCACTGGGAGCTGCTACAAGACCTCATCGGTGAGCTTATGAGTGCCACGCCGGCTCGAAAGCAACGAGGTACGCCCCTCACCATCACTGTCTCCGACCCCCAAACCATGTGGACACCACCCCTCACAGCAGGACGTGACGAGGATGAGACCACTGCGGGGCGTAAGGGACTTATTGTTTGGGGTGAACCGCACGACATGCAGAGCTGGGAGGCTACCCCCGGCTTTCTTGAGAAGTGGTCGTGGGCTGTGGAGGGATGTGACGATTTAGTTGAATCTAGTAACCGCTGGAGGCTGATGAGAGGAGAGGAACCTATGCACCTCTGAATCGAAAAGGTAGCCGCTATGCCGAATAAGTCTTAAGGCAAGTGAAGGAATGCCGGCCAAGGGAAATACGAACTATCCTGAGAGTACTGTCGGCCATAGACTACACCTTATATTAGATAACAGACGGACGATTATGACCACTACACGCAAACCGCCATAGCTGAAAACGTTGCACCCCACATCGTCGTTACTGGGACTTCCACCTTACATAGTGCTAACAACAAGGACGGCTTTCTACCTGTCGAAGTTTTTGTCGATTCGAAGAGCTGAAGACTCGCCGCGGAGGTTGACATTGTCTCGTAGGCGAATCTCCGGATTTCGAGGCGCATGATGTCCACCTATTGCGCAACCAACTTCAGTCCCTCCCCCCCTCACTTCCGGATGAAAAGGCGGACAACGAAGGTGTTCGGGGCCTGAGCGTCGTGATGTTGGAGCTTCATATTACAAGGTTATGGACAGTAATGCAACCCATGCACCTAGGGGATGTAAGATAAATGTTTTCTCATTTCATGGAGTTGAATTATAGCAAGGTAAATTGAACGGCAAAGATATTGTTGAAGCTGCGTCAGGTTCGGGAATTCTAGGATTTTATCGGGAGCTGAATCAACCTGAGGAAGTTGCTTGCTTGCGATTTGTTTCATATGCGCCGCGTCTGGATTCCGGGTTTAGACGGAGCAGGCCTAACTCATCAAGTCCGGCACGTCTCCTAGCTAGAACGTCCACGCCTGCTTTCGCCGTCTCGCGTCTATAAACACGCGAACCAGAATGTTATGAATCGCGCTATTCTACCGCTGCTCGCAAGTCCGGGGCAGACGGCGCCCCCGAAAGTAGTTACGTAGACTTCCTTCATCTCATCACCGGGAGGGAAGCCGAGGGCCGTGTGCCGAGGCGGCTGCTACCTTTGTCGGCTAGGGAAAATCCGCTTCTTGAAACCGAGTTATACTAACGAAACCAGGATCGACGTAGCTCTTCGCTCGGGGAAAACGGGAATAGCGCGTAATGAGGCTTTCCCAAGCTGCCCTGTTGAAGGTCGGCCTGATTACCGAAACATTGAGTGCGCGCACACACCACGATGCTCGTAAGGCCCAACATTGTCGTCTTCGATACTGATGTCTTCAACTGGTCGCGCGCCTTCGTTGTTGGCAGCTTCCTGTCTGCCCCTGCGCGCCGTAATCTGTGTTGCTGTCGCACCAAGGCCCTCGTCTTCGGCGGCGACAGCGCCGCGTGCTGCAACGACGCCTAGGTCCTCGATGCCACATAGTCGTCGGCATAGCTCACAGGACCCGAGACCCATGGGGGTGGTACGGTGGCCTTACAGTCTAGCAACTAGGAGTATCCACAACAAGGGCACAGCCTAGCATGATTTCTGTTCTCGCCACGACAACGCCGAGAGATCAGTCTATTGACCCGGACGTGAAGTGATCGTGCTACAAATAAATCATAATGGTACCACGAATTGTATGGCTCCGTGGTTCATAGGGATGTATTCATCAAAGGAAATCACGAGTTTTGACTGTGTACTGAGGGCCAGACCGCTCTTGGCTCCCTACTCCTCGTCCGGCAATCCTACAAGCTTGAGCGAGTCGCTCCACAGCCTCGTCGCCTTCTCCACTTCGTAGGCGTGCGGGGAATACCCGGGCGCAGAAAACTTGTCATCCCCTTCCGCATATGGCTCTGCCACGGCGCAGTTGACGAGGTACTTACCGCCCTCATGTTCCCATGCCTTGCCGACAGCAGCCCACACCGATGTTGCGGCACCCTGCTCAACGCTTTTCATGGTGGGGTACAAGAACTCCATCCCTTTGAAGGCATCCGGGGGCATGTGCTGGGTCAGCCCCGTCTGGACAAGGCCGGGATGGACGCTGGTGGAGTGTAGGTGGCGCGAGCCATAGCGGCGCTCGATCTCGTTGGCCATGTATATGTTGGCCGTCTTGGATTGGCCGTAGGCCACACTAGGGTCATAGCCTCCTTTCTGGAAGTCGTAGTTGTCGGGGTTATTGATCCCGTGGACGTTGTGGGCCGAGGAAGCGAGACTGACGACGCGGGACGGGAGGTCGGGGGAGGCGGCAGCGAGGAGAGCGGGCTCCAAGAGCTTGTAGAAGAGGAAATGCGAGAGGTGGTTCGTGCCGAACTGGAGTTCGTGGCCATCGGCGGTTAGGCGGAGGTCGGGGATGGCCATGATGCCGGCATTGTTCACGAGAATGTGAATCTTGGAGGTCTTGGCGAGAATGGCGGCAGCGGCGGCACTGACGGAAGAGAGGGTTGCCTGGTCCATCTCGATAATCTCCATGCGGGAAGGTTCAAAGATACCAGCGAGGGCGGTTTGGGCCTTGGCGACGTCACGAGCCGTGAGAAAGAGGGTGGCGCCAGTGGTGGCCAGGGCGCGAGTTGTTTCGATGCCGATGCCAGAAGACGTACCGGTGATGACAATGACCTTGCCCTTGAGCTTGCCTTCAACGCCCTCGTCCTTGATAATTTGCAGGGCCGTCGGGCGCGCGTCGCCAGGGCCGTTTGGCTTAGCGTGGGCTTCAGCGTAGCGCGACATGATTGCGTTGGCGAGAGATACTGAGAGATGGTGATGAGGAACAAGACTTGCTTAGGTATCACGAGGAGTACTGATGTGATATTGGGAAGTTAGATTCGGAAGTCGAGTGGAAGCAGGAGGGGAAAGTGGTTCACATATGTAGTCAACTCACTTAACGTCTACACGGCGCCGTGGGCCCATTGTAGGAGAGCATTACTTGGGATGGCCATGACTTACAAATCACCGTACACTTTAGAGACCCTTTCCGGCAATAAGCCAGACTGAAAGCCCGTACCGCCCCTTCATGAATGGTTCATGGATGAAGATCAAATGATATAACGTCATGCTGTGCCCTTTCCTCGTCCTGTACCATTCCCATCACTAGACCTTGCCAACTCCCGCCAAGACTTCTTGGCGGTTCTTGGCGGGAGTACAATCCCAAATATTATGCCAAGACTAGTTGAACTGCCTATTTAGGTAATTTTATTACTAAAATAGGATTAGCTTAGTCCCATGGGACTAAAATTTACTCTAGTCCCACGGGGATGGGAGTAAAAAATTTCTACTCCCGTGGGAGTTGGCAAGGTCTACCCATCACTGATCCATTACTCGCTGTGATGACCTTTTTCCCCTTTCGGGCTAGCCACTCTCTCCACAAATAGTAAGTTCCAGAGCCAGAGCTCCAGTAGTTCCTGATTATCAATGTTTCTAAGGTCTGGAGTTAAGCTATGGGGCTAATGTCATCGAGTGGAGCTAGATAAACTGTTGTTCAAATTTGGTCAGACACACTAGGCCGAAAAGGGGGAAAATGTCATCACGGTGGGTCATAGATCTGTGACGGGAATGGAACATGTTGATTGTTTCATTCAAAGGCCGGCGTTAACTTACGGATTTATTCCTATCGCCAGGAATGACTATGGCTCGGAGTAAGACGGGGGCCGAAGTTGATGTGGCAATGGTAATAATGTTGTTCCGCGTGGAACATAAATAGGCGTCAAGCGGAACGTGATATGCAATCGCTTCTCCCTTTTTCTGCTACACCACCGTCGTCAACTCCTACCTGACTTTCCAAAGAATCCCAACAACTCGCTTCATCATGGCCTCAAGTCCTTCCTCGACGAACCTTAGAGAGCGCATTGAGGCTACTGCCCGAGCCTTCTTGTCAGCGTACGAAGAGGGCGGGGCCCAGGACGACGCCTCCATCATCAACCGCGACGTCACAGCGGACTGCACCCGGTACCTGCTTCCCGCGTCCGTTCCCCAGGCCTTTGGCCTACCGGCAGACTTCTTTTTCGACACGACGAAGTATCAGGAGACTTTTGCAAAGGACATCAAGGTGTTGAAATTCAGGAACAACATCATTGCGAACTTAGTCATCGATACTGAGGCCCGCCGGGCCGCTTTTACATCTATTGCAGACGTGCACGCTATAAGCGGAGAGTGGTATCACGCCGAGTTGGCTTGGTTCTTGTACTTCAACGAGGATGGGTCCAAAGTCAAGAAGGTGGTTGAGTTCTGCGACAAGGACGTAATCTTGAGAATGGCAAACACGGCTGCCTAGTTCTTCTTGCAGCGTACAGAGTTCGAAGGAAATCTAGACGGATCTTTGTTCAATATAAACTCAAGATATACGTTGTGACCCTTTTTATTCTTTTGTCTTCGTACGATATCATAGAACCTGGTGATGGCAACCACTTAGTTTAATAGACAGATATAGGTGGGTCTATATCGTATGAAGTTAATCACTATAGCCCTCTCTTGGCTGCGACAACGCCCAAAAAGGTGGAGTCATTTTTGACGACGCCAAGATATCTTTGGGCACTCTTGGCAAAATATGTGCATAAAATAACCTAAAGGGGTAATTTATGTATTACTTTTGCATGGTCATGGGCCTTGGGCCCATGATCGGGCGATGTTGCAGTCTATAGAGAACCGGCTTTGAAGCCACGTATACGGGCTATATCAAGGTGTAATAGTATAGAGAAACAGGGCATAGATTCAGTAGATGCCTAGCTTAGTAAGTAATTCTAGTTGAATTAATTTAATGGCGTTTTGGTTGAGATAAATACATTTAGATTTAATGGTTTGAAATAGGTGCGCCACTCGCTTGTTGAATACGTTACATAGTTAGGGAGCGATTCCTTTATTCAGCAATAAAACGGAATTGCCAGACATTATCCTGTTTATATGCGGTCGCCGGCTTTGACGTAGGGCTTGATGCTCTGGTACGCCGTCATCCCAGTGGTAGATACTCCAGCAGCGTGATCAAGATCCCACGCCCTTAGGTAATACGGCGTATCCATCTCGTGGTAGCACCACGTACTGCGATAGGGAATCGTACGGCGTACGTGGTTCGACGCGGCCAAGAATGTTGTCGCCGACCCTGAATTTCAGAATACGATCAGATCGAAGCTTATCTATCTCAACTTTCATTAACGCCCACAGGTTCTCAATTGGATATAAATCAGGCGAATGCGGAGGCCATTCCATGACCTCAATCTCCATATCTTGTAATACTTCCCGGAAGACGTGCGCTGTATGCGTTGGCGCATTATCATGCTGAAAAATGCAGACTTCATTAGACATCAAGATAGGTATGATTCGGAGGTATAAATCCCGGATAACGAATACTATTCACACCTCCACGTTCCGAGTCCGGATCCCCGAGGAGAGGAATTAGGCCAGTCCGACGTGTAGCACCCGATAAAGCAGCCCAAACATCTACTGAACTTGCTTCACTCGTGGAAGTCCTTTAACTTGCCCGAGTCGAGGCTGGTCTTTTGGCCGAGTGAATGTCCATTCACGGCGTACACCGATCCTTGCTCGACTGTACATTTGTCAGACCAAAAGACTCAAGCCCAGTCGTCGGGCGTAAAATATTGATACCGAACAGCCCATTGAAGCCGTTTAATCGCATGTTCCTTGGTCAAATAAGATCTCCAGCTACAACTCCAATTCCGGAGGTTTTAGGTATTCAATAGACGTCGGATGGAGTCGATATGGGCTTTAAGTGAGACCTCAGTAAGGAGGTCTTCGCGGGTAACTCGGGGATTCTCGTCAATCGCGTCTAAAAGACGTACTTTATCGGCTTCTTTAAGCTTTTTTCGGCCGGCCAGAGCAAGGCTTTGAAACGCCGGTACGCCTTTCTTGCTCCTTTTTAATGGTATAACGTATAGTAGATAGAGCAATCCATGGGTAGCTCTTATGGATACGTTTATAACCTCATTGAACGGCCGAGTGAAGCTCACAGATCCTTTCACGGAGGGCCGGGATAAGCTCTGAACGTGAAGGTATGTTTAGAAGGGCTTATAGTAAGAGGTAGACTTTACAAACAGTAAAAAATAGGTAAAAAGAAGGCTGAAAACGCGAGACTTACATGCCATATATTAGACTAGATTAGCATGTTTTAAGTAGGCGGTGTAAGCCATAATGAAAGGCGGTATAGGGGTGGGTCAGGGGGAGGTGAGGGGGTTTAAAACTTTTGCTGCGTCACTGTAGACCCGTTCAACAATGGTCTATTATTAGTTCAATCAATCAATCGCCTCATGATTCGTTCCCTCGGTACTAGCGCGTACGGATATCCTGCGATCCGACAGTAGCGAATTGAGGGCATTGCTCGTATGGTCGGAGCCACTAGGATCGATCAAGGTAAGGCACACGCTAAAACAGCATGCTGCATTATCCCCACCGCTATGTACAAATGGGCACAGTTGCCTCATTGCCATCTCCATAAAGCCGATGCGCGCACCTATTAAACTTGCGCCTCACGGGTATTTTTCCAGCGTCTTTGGAGATGCTTCTCTATACATCTGGCGGAAAAGGTTCCATGCGTTATATTTTCATCCATGGGAACCATGAAATCGGCTCTTTCTCTGACGAGGTAACTGTGGATGCAAAAATTGTGGTTTTCACTGGACGAGGCAACATGTATGTCGTAAATGGTTCTTTACACGAGAAGTATTGACAAAGTGGGTAGTGTATACGGCGACAACTCCGATAATTCCTCTACAAAGTATTCTTTCAGCAATGGAGTCTGTACTCATGTTGATGGCCAACCTAATAAGTTTGTTCCTGCTCGGGACTTCACTAAACGGCTTTTGAAAAACGTTTCCATTCCCACCTTTATCATGGGGGAAATTCCTACGTTAAGTTATTTAGAAATAACGGATAGGCTAATGACTAACATGGTCTGATGCTTTTTGTCTAGCGATCAAATCGGCTTTTCCTCAAAACCGCAGGACGATGTTCTTTACCTGTACGAATTGTTTTACCTTTCACCTTCGAGTCCGCTCCGCTCCTTAATTTAGCCCACGCTGATGTTTTCTCAGAGCAGTAATGGTATATGGCAGAAGTGACCGTGCACCTTGCAGTCTCGACGACAGAGTCTACCTTGGCAAAACAATGCGGAGCTTTGTGCCGTACTTTGTTCAGTCAATATCTATTAGAAGTGACAGTTACCTCCCAGGCGATGCACAGACTTTGTGCAAAGAAATCACTAAATGTCTCGAGCTGAAAGAAGATGAGAAGGAGTTGAATGATTTTATCGAAGTATATCGAAATCGCTATTTCCGCAATACTTACGTACCGAAAGAGGCTATTCTTGAATCATGCTTGCTTCACATTATCAAAATGCCTTTCGATTTCAATTCTTCCATCATGTATGGTTTAATTAAGCAATGAGATTTTTACTATTATGTTTGAAAGGCTGCTTACCACATATCATTTTTAAATTTGCACCGACTACTGAATTAAATGTGAGCTTCATGATCTTTGTCAGAAATATGGTGGATCTGCATGTGGATTTCTGGGTGATTACCCAGAATATCTTACGACATCAATGCCAGACACCTCACATAAAAGTGCATATTACTCTTTGTCAGCACGTCCCAAAAAATTGCCAATTTTATAGATTTTAGTTAACCGGCCCCTGTAATTTTTTTTCAAAAAATACGGACCCTCGCAAGCGAGGGTCCGCCACCCATATGCAATGTATCACCCATATGCAACTTTTTTTTTACCTTTTACTTTAACCTCAATTTACTACACCACCACATAGTAAAATAATTAATTTAATAAAAGACATAGATGAATTAGTCAGTTTACTACTAGAATACAAAAGCAATTTATTTTCTACTGCGTTTTTTGGCTCTTCCATGTTTCCTGATTTCGACTAACACCTTCTTCCATTTCCGCCTCATTTTTTCTTGATCGGCTTTTTCGCTCAGTTTATATTCTTTTCGCTTCATTTCTTTCATCTGGTTTGAAATTATAATACCGATAATCCGTGTTTGACGACGAGATGTATTATACCGGACGTGGCGAGCTCCCATAATAGCTTGTGTTCGATCAAATTCCATCTGTAGCTGAAGGGCCAAAGTAGCCTGCGTTTCAGCACCTTTTGCAAGCTTTGCTAACCCATCTTTAAACTGCTGAGTTGTAGAATCGTATTGACTAAGCCGTAGGCTTATTCTTCTCACCTTTTTAGCGGTTTTTGGAGTGCTAAACTCGGTGCTTTGTGACGTTGTTGGTAGTGTATCCGGCCGCGGTAGATTGTCATGATAGGGGTCATATAACTCCAATTCATCAGTAATAAGCTTGGAATTAATAGGCCAAAGGCCTGCAGTCGGTGGTAGCACGCCATATTTGATACAGCTCGCTATGGCAGAGGCCCACGAATGCATACGGGCAGCGCAACTTACCATTGAAATAGTTCATTCCATTGTCAGTGCGGATGCAACAAGTAGGAATAATCTTGGGGTGTGGTTTTACACGCTATACTACGGTGCGTCCCCTGTCACGGTAAGGCTTCATGGGGATGCTGACCGGATTCACCCAAACAGTCTTCACTGCCTCACTGGTGATCAGTGGCCGCTTATTGTGGGCACAGCATAGAGAGAATGTGGTTGACGAAGAAGGCGTCAAGGAGTCGAAAATGTTACTTAGTAAGGCAGAAACTGTTTTCCAAGAGATAGACTGTGACAACAGTCTGGTCTTGAGCTGCCTTGAATACATTCGCCGACTTGCCCGAATGTGTAGTATGAAAGGTGAGCCACTGTTTTCCATTGGCTTCCTAATGTGCATCACGAACCGCTTGTTTTTGACGATGTAGGAGAAGTCGCACTAAACACCTCCGACGGCAGCTCGGATGCTGCCTCGACCTTAGATCCGTCAGTATTGAACAACGAATCCACTTTGGATCCTGCTACTGGCTCGACGGAACCAGCGTTTCACAATGTAGAGGACATGGAGACATTCCAGCTTTTCTCATCCGAAATGTTCGACCCATCTATCTTCGAGGGCTTTGATCAATCGCCTGTCGAGGGGATTGCCACGGGAAACGGTTTGGGGGAAGGCTCTCCGCGCGGAGACATTTGAAATCTATCTAGCTAGGAGCTTCATTGAAGTATATAGTTCTCGACAGGATAATGACATCATCCGCGGGTGGCCGGGCTTATCTCCCCGACCCCCACATTTCCCCGCATGTTTATCTCCCAAATCTCCGGTCCGGCCATGGGACTACCTTAAATACCGCTTCCCAGCAAGCACCTCCTGCAGCATCATGCGCTACAGGCCTGATCATTCCATCATGTCGTCCAACCCCGCGCCCACCGCCCTTACCCAGATTCCGTTGGCCGAGGACGCCCGTCCACGCTATAGCGATGTCGAGTTGCGCGACTACTTCCAGTGTATCAAGCTCCCACGAAAGTACCTGGACTCGATTGTACTAAAAGACGCTGCCCAGGCCCGAACGAAAGAGGATGGGCTGCCCCTGCTGCAGGCCCTGACACGGCACCACGTCTGTAACGTCACTTTCGACAATCTTGTTCTTCACTACTCCGCACACAAAACCGTCAAACTTGACCCGGCGGAGCTCTACGCCAAGATAGTTCGCCGGCGCCTAGGCGGACGATGTATGGAAAACAATGGCCTTTTCGGGACCGTCCTTCGCTCGCTCGGCTATCAAGTGCGCAACTGCGGAGGCCGCGTGTCGCGGGCCATGAGTCCCTACCCAGAGGTCCGGCGCAATCAGAACACGACTTACGACGGCTGGAACCACATGCTCAATCTTGTGCGACTGGACGACGAATGGTACCTCGTGGACGTCGGAATGGGGTCCATGGGTCCCAATCTCCCCATTCCGTTGCGCGACGGATTCGAGACCATCAGCATCCGCCCACGTTTGATTCGCTTGCAGTTACGCTCTCTACCCGAGTCATACGCGACTACGTCCACCGACAGCGCACAACCGCCAAAGATGTGGTGCTTCGATGTCTGCAACAACCCAGCCGAGGCAAAAAACGAGTGGGTGCCGGTCTATTGCTTCGCCTTGACAGAGTTCTTGCCCCAAGACTACGAAGTCATGTCCTGGTTCACGTCGACAAACCCGAGATCCTTCTTTACCAGGTACGTCACCTGCACGAAAATGCTCATGGACGAGGACCAGGAGGTGATCGTGGGCAATGTCACTCTGTTCAAGGAGACAGTGAGAGAAGCCATTGGCGCCAATCGTAAGGTAATCAAGGAGTGTAGGACGGAAGAGGAGCGTTTGCAGGCGCTGGCTGAATTCTTTGACGTGCATCTCACGAATGAGGAAAAGAAGGGTATTCCAGACGATAGGAAGTTAGCATAGACAGATAAAGGGTACGGTGAGCGGAATCATGCGACTTGATCTTGATGCCAGCCATGTTATCCCATTTCCTTATACAGAAGTCAGTTCTTGGACTATACATGTGTATCTTGCATGCGTGCATCCATGCGCCATGTCGCAATTCTTACAGCATATAAGCGCGCGCGCGGCAGAGCCGAAGGGGCCACGATCGCTGACCTTAGATATATTTTCTTCAAGCTGATTCATTGTCACCTCAAGTCCTCATGTGCTCCTGTTTGAAATTTATGGTATAGCGTTTTTTCAGCACGTACTTCTATCCTTCTATGTGCTAGTAGTGATCGCGTTAGTAAGAAGGTATTGGATCATGAAAGTTTCGTATTGCCTAGTAATTTGTATGCAGAATCGAGGCTCAATGAAGGTCTGATCCTCTTGATTTAGAGGATCGAAACGAAGCTATTTAACATGCAATATGACTACGTGGCTTCTTTGAAATCGGCTTATCTTGAAGCCATGAAATGCCGTCAGAGTTGATCTAGACGGAAGCGGCAAGGTGTTGAATCCTGGCGGTAAATTTGCCCCATATTCGCTGACAGAAGGCTGTGTCATAGTTTGTCGACATGGCGAAATGTATCATTGCCCGAACGGTCTCCATATTCGGAGCCGTAGAATGTGCTGTCGAAGAGAGATTCTCCTCCCCACCTCAAGTAGAAGGACATCTTGCTCCTATAGGTATTCTTACATTGTGGTATTTGAGTCAGTACTCGCTTCAGCTCACTCTTCCTATCCGACGCTGGGTCCGAATACTGGCTTCTTTCCACTCACGAAAGACGGTCGTACAGCTACCTTGTATATCTCCCCGGCAGTTCCGCTTAACCCGTGCCATATCCAGTGCTGCCAGTTTCGCCCCCGGAGTCTTAATTCCTGGTTGACGAACACGTCAAGGCTACCCCGCTTTGACAGGAGCCGACCCACCGGGGAAAAATGATGATGCAGCCAAGGTAGTTAGATCCACTGCTGGCTCGCGAACTCCCCATGGCTGTGGCCCACCGGGACTACCATTCCGAAACTCGGCTTCTTCCCCGGATAAGGCATGCTATGTAAATAGGTTCTTCAGCATGCGCAAGAGACGCACCGAGCTAGAGCTCGTCGTTTCTTTGATCCAAATTCACCTCTAAAGATCATAGGAGAGCATACCCTAATTGTACACCCAGGGATGGATCGTCCACGGGTAGCTCGACCACCGGTAGAAATACCAAAGTCGCGAAGCACAGTGGAAGTCTATATCATCGACACAACGAGTTTCATGAGCGGGTTCCCGGCGTCGTCCTTTGTACATCCTCTTGTACCCGGCCTTGACACCATGAATGTCCCCTCTTACGCGTACCTCATCAAACACCCCGACTTGAAAACCAAATACAGCACCATGATGTTTGACCTGGGCGTGCGTAGGGGCTGGGAGAACAGCCCTGAGGCCTTCGTTGCGGGAATCAAGGACAGGGGATACAGTATAAGCGTCAACAAGGACGTCGCGACCATTCTGCGCGAGAACGGACAAGATTTGGAAGAAGTCGGGGCCATCATCTGGTCTCATTGGCACTTCGATCACACCGGCGACCCACAAACCTTTCCCACAACGACGGACCTGATTGTTAGCCCCGGCTTCAAGGCAAATATCATGCCTGGCTACCCGACGGACAAGGTCTCCCATGTGGACGAACAGGCATGGCTGAGTCGCGAGTTGCACGAAATCGACTTCACGGCCAGCGCCGGACCCCAAAGACTTCGGATTGGTGGATTCGAAGCATACGACTTCTATGGCGATGGCAGCTTCTATCTCCTAAACTCGCCCGGAAATGCAGTGGGCCATATATCTGCTCTCGCCCGTACAACCGCCGATCCTCACTCGTTCGTGCTTCTTGGCGGAGACATCGCTCATGATTGTGGCGAGCTCCGGCCGACACCGTACACTCCGCTGCCCGACATAATTTCCCCCGGCCCCCTTCGCAGTAAACCTTCCACCTTCCCGGGAAGCATCTTTCTTGCCATTCATCCTAAAAGGATCGGCAGGAACCCTTTTTTGACCCAGTTGGAGGTGATGGGTGGCACCATGATGCCCTGGAGACAATGCAGAGTATCCGGAAACTGATGGAGGCGGATGTCTACGACAATATATTTCCCCTCATGGCTCATGATATGAGCTTGACTGGTGTTGTTGATTTCTACCCGAAGCCAGCCAATGCGTGGATGGCTAAAGGGTGTAAGGAAAAGAGCAGGTGGAGGTTTCTCAATTCGTTCACTCCTGCAGATGACGGATCTCACCATTAGGTAGTAACCCGCGGCTGTAGCTTCTGTGGCCGGGTTGTCCGGGGCCTGTGTCATTTACTTGGATACGTACAATCTGTTCTTGGTGCGACGGGTGCGCATAGTCTTCATCATATGTTATTCGAGCTATACATAAACAAACCAATCTATTTAGTGAAATCAGCCCCTGCCCTTCCGGGGTTGGCGATTCTCCAAAATGCTATACCCTCTTCCCACAGTGAATCCTCCCAAACATCTGTTTTACCGTCACTTCTCCACTTTCTCACTTCGTTCGGCCTGGTCGGACCCCAACTGACCTGGTCCCCATTGACGAACGCAGCAAATCCTTCGTTCCATCCCCTCAGCCATTCTTTCTCCTGGTCCGTCAGACCCCGGGAAAAACCAGAACCCCATAACCAGATGGGTATGTCGGTCAGGTGAGTCACTCCCCATTCGGACGGTATTGTCTCCTCGACGCACACAAGACGCCGAGCATACTCCGCGTTGAGACGTTCATAAACGGCAGTGTAGGAGTCTTCTGGTGTTCGCCACCGACCGTACATGATGTTCTCATCCTTACATTCTCCATTCAGGAGGGTCACACCACGACTTTTCATTCTTCTCGCGAACCGCCCATCATTGATCCGATCAATAAGGTCCTTGGGGTAGGAGATATCATCTGCCAGGACCCGAAACTCGGAGACTTTCATTTCACTTTGAATCTCAATCAGTCTGTGACAAGGAAGAGCCCGAAGTTTGGCGAGTTTCACGTCGTTGTCCAAATCGATAGGAATACCGATCCGAGTGAGGAATTCATCAAACTGCTCCTGATGATCTTGTAGAGCCTTCGGCCTGACGCCTGGACTGTTCGAGAACATGGCGACCCTTCTAATGATGGCATTTTCTGCAGGGACACGCCACAGTTCGTGGGCCAGCTGTTGGAATGTAGAGTACGCTCCGGCTGAGTATCCAGCGACCGTGATGTTTGCTGGATTGCCGCCGAAGCATGAGATATTCGCGTGAGTCCATTCCAGAGCTATTCTCTGATCCCACAGCCCCATGTTCCCAGGCGCTTGTCCGGAAGCCCTTGCTTCGGCAACAAGTTCGCTGCTCGTAAGGAAGCCCAGCGCGTTGAGTCGGTATGACGGTAAAACCATTATCGCCTGGAAGGCGGAGTCGCTCAGGAGAGGCACCAGAGCTTCTGGGACTAGGTTAGCAGTTCCGACTTGTAGGAACCCTCCATGGATGTAGAAGCACACCGGCCAGCCGTCTTTCGGGGCAGGTCGAGCCGGCACCCAGATGTTCAGCTGTAGGCAGTTTTCGTCCACTACAGAAGCATCGGGCATGTTGCTGCTGGGAGGCTGTGGGCACACCCAAGTACCACGCGTGAACTGCCCTGGCTCAGCCGCTGTCCTGTAATGATAGCCCGGGGGCAGCCTGCGTGGCGCGCGGAAACGCCACTGAGCAGTCGGCGGCAGAGCGTATGGTAGACCTCCAAAGTAGCGCACGACTGGCGTACCATCAGAGGTGACGGTCAGGCCTTCTATATGACCCAATGGTCCAGCACTGAAACGATAAATTTCTCGCTGGTAGCTCATGGCGCATAGATTTGGGTAGGGGTCAAGAAAAAACTGGCTGTCGACTTTGTACAGTGGGGGCAAGACCTGGTGCAGAGCCACTGGTTCTTAGTAGGAAGTCTGCCAGTGACGAATCTCACAGCTGTCTCTCCTTGTGCGACAGTGCCTCACACTGGTGTCCTTCACCCGGTCTATCATCACCTGGGGACACAGCGGGAAAGCCGGCATGGGGTATCCGCACGTCCCGTAAGCGCAGATTACCTTCCCCGTTGCCAAAATGGCTTGTCGCTTTCTCCCCGTTCTTTCCCCGGCATCGGAAGCATATTTTGATTGACCTTTTGACTGCAACACACGTGATTCTAACGGCCGAATGAACTAGAAAGACAACAGTTGAAAAGATGTGGCTACAGACCTTGTTTCTCGAGATGAGACTATTTGCTTTACTACTCTTGTTTCGTCCTCATGACAGTCTCACTCCAAAGTTCGGCCTTCCTCGAGGCTATCGAGAAACATGAACCATCTTCTATTGCTGTCGTGGAGAACGACACCGGCGGCAGCTTCTCTTATAACTCCCTGCTGCACAGGATCACGCGTGCTAAAGAGCTGCTTTTGCTGAAGACGGGTAACAGCGACAGACATTTCCGGCGAGCGGATTGCTTTCATGGTAGAAAATGGCATTGATTATGTGGGTGTGAAGAATCTCGTCCAGAAGATGTCTATCCACCGCATCAGGACTAAGCGTAACCTACAGTGACCCTGCTGGCTATCCTCGCCTCCAACGCCATTGCTGTGCCATTGGCGCCTTCCTGTCCAGTTCCTGAATTGAGGTACATTCTTGATAATAGCGAGGCGCTGGTTCTGATCTCGTCGAGCAAGTTCACTGCCAAGGCAAGCGAAGTACTTGACGATGGCTTGACAAAGCCGCCCTTATACTACCAATTTGACGGAACCTGGCCTGCCCCAACAGACGATAAGGAAGTCACTCTCTATGACTTTTCCGATGAGCTGTCCGGTGGCATGATGCTATTCACCTCTGGAACTACTGCACGACCCAAAGGTGTTGTACTGTCTCTGGCCAACCTCACCGCTCAAGCAAGCAGTCTCCTAGAAGCATGGCAATATGCCCCGAGCGATCGACTCTTGCACGTCTTGCCCCTGCATCACAATCACGGCACCGTGAACGCTCTCCTAACACCGCTACTTGCCGGTAGTAGCATCGAGTTTATGTATCCTTTCAACGTGAGCTCCGTATGGACGCGGCTTGCCGCACCGTTTCTACAAACTCCGGGTATGAACGGCATCCACAAAGCGGCCGGCGATGCCAAATATGTTACACAAATGCACATAGCATTCTTTACTGCCGTACCTACGATCTGGTCTCGTCTACTACGCACCTACGAGTTGCTTTCTCCCGAGATGCAAAAACCTTGCCGGCAGGCAATCTCCCCAGGATACCTCCGACCAGGCATTTCCGGGTCAGCCGCCTTACCCAAGCCGATTCGAGACGGCTGGGCCGAACTCTCCGGGGGCAATCTGCTACTTGAGCGGTACGGAATGACCGAAGTCGGAATGGCGCTGTCCTGCGGCCTTGAAGAAGTCGATCGTGTTGACGGCTGCGTGGGCTGGCCTTTTCCATCCGTCGAAGCCCGTCTCATGGAGACCGACGACGATACCGGATCTCAAGTCGTCATTTCCCTTGGCGTAGAGACGGATCTTGACTCGGGCAGGGAACGCGTTAGGGAAATACAACTCCGCGGACCTACGGTCTTCAAAGGATATTGGCGTAACGATGAGGCGACCGCGAAGGAATTCACCACTGACGAATGGTTCAAGACAGGTGACATCGCCGTACGATGCAGGGTTCCAGGCTCGGGCTTGGGTAAGTCTGGCTCTTGGGCGCAGGGCCCCGCCTACTTCATTCGGGGTCGCCGAAGTGTGGATATTATCAAGACGGGCGGGGAGAAGGTTTCCACCCTCGAAGATCGAACGCGAGATACTGGCCCTGCCACAGGTCGAGGAATGTGCTGTGGTCGGTCTGGCTTCTGAAGCCTGGGACCACAAAGTTGCAGCGGTGATTGCGCTCTCAGAAAACAGTCCGAGTGAATCCGAGCCGATCAGCCTGCGATATTTGAGGGATTCTTTGAAGAGTCGCCTCACAGCCTACAAGATTCCGCAGGACATGGAAATCGTGGATATGTTACCGCGCAATGCCATGGGGGAGGTGAATAAGAAGGAATTGATAGCCAGTGTCTTCGGGGGTATCGAGGGCATTAGAAGAAGAAGCTTTAGTCTAGGAAAGGGGCGCGTGTCGTCAGCTGCGACCACAACTACATGAAATCGGAAGAGGAAGGTCTGATCCACGGGGATGAATCTGCTTACTTTAGAGCGATCTATATAATGTGTGAATGTTCGTGTTCTGTGACCTCGATGTAACCCCTACAAGAGTACCTAGAATTAGATTTCACCATTGAACTACCTCCGCGCAGCTCGATATGTCAAGGTTTTTATGGCAAGCGACAAAACTTTGAATTGGCGGGAATGGCCTAGCAAACTTGTATAATGCATTAATTTCTGAAGTCCTGCAATGGGAGTGAGCATAAGAGAAGCTAGTGAGGTCGAATTGCGCAATTTATTTGATTGGAAGAGAGCAAAGCATGATAATCTCTCTTTGTCCACACTATCCCCTTCAAATATCGCCTACAACAGCTGCTGAACTTGTTGGCCCGCTCCCAATACCTTGTCTTCCTCAGATCGACGCCCGACGATTTGCAACCCGATAGAGTGGCCGTCCATCGCTGAAGGGTCGTAAAGTCCCCAGTTCCAAGCGTCGTGAGCGTTGCGTGGAGAGTGATCCCGGGGCCACTTTTCATCTAGATCTTTGCAGGCTTGTCCAGCTGGAAAGGTCAACGCCGTGTAATCGAGGAAATTGAACAGCTTGGTATACCCGGTCCAGCGGCAGGATCCATGGGTGACGGCCATAAGTAGTACATCTACAGGCGGTCCAGACGGCGACCGGATTCTGTCCCACATGTCGTGATAGACCTGTTGACTTGCAACCTTCCTTTTGCTTAGCTCCCAATATTCGTAGACCGAGATTGGTCCCCCGCGATTGACGAGTGCTTCGATCTGCGGAATGAATGGCTCGCCACCTGCGGCAACGGCTCTGCGAATATCCTCGCCTCCCTCTGCGGCGTAATATTCATCCTGTCCGGTCCTGGTCAGTCTCTTGATAGAGTCTAGAAGTAATTCTGGTTTCGGGGCTGGCGGTCTTACCATGATGTCAATGCACTTGGAGTTCAAATTTGAGTCCCATTCTACGACCTCATGACCGACAGCCTTCAGTCTTGCAACAAGCTCACAAAATACCCGTTCAATAGATGGATGCACCTTTACCACACCGTCATCCAGCATTGACCCGATGACAAGTGGTCTCGTGGTCAAGTCTTGGAATACATCCTCTCTCCAAGGGATCGGTGGCAGCTGGGGGTCTATGGTCCAGGGCGCTGTGGAGATCACCAGCTTCGTCACCAATATGAGAGAGCTTAGAAACCGTGCCATCGGCCCAACCGCTGAAGGAACATGCTGTTGGCCATCTAAGGAGACCATCACACCTCGATAGGACATGCGTCCACTCTTTGAAGGGCTGTCAGCGTGGTCTGATGCAAGCGTTCTGTGTTATGCTCACACTAGGCTTCAAGCCCTATAGTCTATTCATATGACTTGGTATGCGTATGGAGCCTCCGACATCAGTCCCTCAGCCAATCAATGAGCCACCTAGAGCGAGCAAAGCTGCCTCTCCACCAGAGGAGCCCCGGGAGTGAGTTTCGAATTGGCTGGATGTGTGGTCAAGCGCCAGAGCGGATTGTCAGTCTCGCTCCACTGGTCTAGTCAGCGTGTTTGCATAGATCCACAGACCGTAAAGGGTTTCTGACCATGATACTCTGAGGGAGATTGGTTTTTGCGATTATCACTGCTCCCAGCTGCTTCAATGTATGTACCATAGGCGCATCACACTCTGCTAGAGTAAAAGCATTTCCGACATAGCCTAAAGTCGAGTCTAGTCCTTTGATATTAAATTGATCTTTGACTAACATGGGCACACCGTAGAATTGACCTATCAGTCGACCATGCGTCCGCTAGAAATCGTCTAGGTGCCTAGCTTGATCAATTGCATCGTCGAAACAGATCTCTGTCAGACAATTCGTCTAAGATCTAGCTATTAGACACTATCTTTTCGCTAATCCTTGATGTGTTATGTTACCTTTTTTTGTGCCTCACGGGCTCTGTATGATCGATCAGTGTCTAAACAGCTGCGGTCTCTCCTAGTGCACCCACCTTCCAATATAGGCGCGAATCAGCTCTTCGGCCGACACTTTTTCACAGCTCAGCAGGCTCGTTAGTGCTTCGACGTCTACGATATTAGCCCCGAGGGTGTCTGAGCGCGGGTCACTGTTTGCTGGCGCATGTTTTTGAACTTGCGCATCGCGAATGGCTCGTTTAGCTGCTAAAACTACGGCCCAAGGCATATCTGGCTTCATTGCGTGTTCTTTGGAATTCATGGCCACCTTCCCAGACAGTTCTCGCCAATGGACTCTCCAATATGATATGAGAGATCTCCTTAGTTCAACCAACTGACTCTTGATTGACGGGGACAGTCCCACACGAGCCCGGGGCACCGTCGGATTCAAAGCCGGTCGAGCCCGGCACGCTTGTCATGGCGATATACCGGCGCGGTGGCTTTCCGGGGGAGCCGCGGACCAGGCGGCTAACTCGAGGGGGCGATCCGGCTCTCGGGGAAAGTTCCCGTGTCACGTTCCCCTCTCGTTCCCTTCAAGTGGGCTTTGCCTTGGGCGCATCATGGGCATCAGTGGTAGCCCCGGCGGTCTTGTCCATGGTTAAGAGTGTACAAAGATGCCAATGTTCAAGTAACACCGAAATGTCCTTGCGACTGTAAAAGCCCTGTTCAGGAAACCGCAAACCAACCCTATCATCGATCTTTCGCCATGGCCAATACTACCCATGATACCTTTCACGTCGCCATCGTCGGTAAGCCTGCCAAAGCCCGCCTACCTTGTTGGAGCGCTCCACTGACTAGCCCTCTTATTCAGGTGCTGGCATCGGTGGTCTCGCGCTGGTGATGGCTCTCCACAAGAAGGGGATCTTCTTCACGCTGTACGAGGAAGCCGACGAGTATTCTGTAGTATGGTAAGTTTTCACCTGCAGAGCTTTTAGGGAGCTGACCACCACGACTCACGTTCTAATGGTGGTGTGATAAAGTGCCGGCATTGGATTCGCCCCTAATGGTATGTGCACCATGGATCTCATTGAACCTGGTTTCCGACCCCTGTATGAAAAGGCCTGCGTTGGAAACAAAGGCGAAGACGCCCAGAATATCTTCTTCGAGGGCATGCTTTTGGAAGAGGGGTTTGGTACGCCTGGACTCGTCCTTCTTGCGTGAACAGGGCGGTTTAAATACTGATGCTCGTTTTCCATATACAGGACGTGGTCGACCGTGGCATGGCAGATCTGGATGGGGCCACCCTAATTACGTTCGCAAATCCGTCAGTACACCGGTCGCCTCTTGGAGACCCACAAGGACGGTGCTGATCAAGTTTCCAGGCACACCGCAAAGCCTTACTTGACATCATGACCAGCTTTATCCCGATCGAAAACGTCAAATTTAGCAAGCGCCTGATGAATGTCGAACAGCGCACAGCCGGTGTCTCCCTCACATTTTCCGACGGCACGGCCGCCGAGGCTGCTATACTTGCCGGTGCGGATGGTATCAAAAGCACCGTGCGCGAGCATGTGCTGAAGGATATATACCCGAGCCAAGTGTCACCAGTGTATGCAGGTGCTTACTGCTATCGAGCTGTCATCCCAATGTCCGAAGCCTACCCAATCCTCGGCGACCTGACAGATGTGGCCAAGTTCTATTTCGGACCCAAGCGTAGCGCCGTGACCTATCGCATCAGTGGCGGTGATGTGAGCGTTCCATCCTTATCCAAGGCCCGCTTTCATAGCATTAGCACATCCTGCTAACAGATCTGTCGTTCGACAGGAATTCAACTATCTTCTCTGCGTTGCGGATTCCGACGACGCGTGGAAGCTAAAGGACGCCGTCACGGAGAAGATTACACACGAAACCATGATGGCCGATTTCGAGGGCCCGGGCGTCGACGAGAGCTTCCGACAACTTCATCGAAAAGCCAAGCCGGTTAAATGGGGGTTCTTCCATCATCGTCACACCGCGACATACTTCCGCGATCGCGTGGTTCTGGTCGGCGACAGTGCCCACGCGTCCCTGCTTTTCCAGGCAGCAGGCGCGGCACAGGGCTTAGAAGATGCCTTGGTGCTGTCGAACGTGCTCGCAGAGCTTGCCAGACTCCCGGAGCGCGGCGCAAGCCAGCTGCCCGCGATCCGTGCAGGTCTGACTGCGTACGACTCGGTGCGGCGTCCACGGGCCCAGAAGCAGCTGGAGCAGGCGGCTGAGGTAGGCCACATGATCTTCTTTCAGCACGAGGAAGCGGGCGCCGACATGGAAAAGATCCTTCCCCGGCTGCAGCAAGAGCGGTTTAACTGGCTGTGGTTCTACGATATGAACGACGATGTGCAGGAGGTGCTTGGCAGGATGCAGAAAGAGATCAGTACCAATTCTCACGGTGCGAAGATATAATTGATGGTTTCTTGGCGGTAGTGAGCGAGGAATAATGTAATTAGGGAACATCGTGGACTTCAGTATACTTGATGTTTAGTCGGTTATGTTATTACGTTGGACCATTGGATTCAATGGTATTTTAGAAGAGCAATTCTGTCTCTTCACAGGAACCGCGGACATTGAATCAAGAGTCTAAAAACATGTGCCGCTGAGATAGGAAGTTGGGCCCGTATTTTGCCAACTTGATCTCGCAAATATGCAACTCACGACACCAGGCATTCTGGGGTCGTCAAATACCGCAAAGACGTGTCTACTTGGCCATTCACTCAGTCTATGCATGCTCATTCCCTTGATACTGGGCGTTTTGCTTCCTTTTTTGGGGGGGCGGGAGGTGGTTATCCCCTTGCCTGACCAACTTGAAGCCATTTACATGCCTACATGTGTCATTGAGCAGTCAACTGCGCTCGAGTTGAGCGAGGCCTATACTCTGTTCGCATTCTCCCGGGCGAGTGGCGGGTATTTTCTTTGTTCGTCGGCTTATCAAATACACACATTCCAGGGACAAGAGCAGTTCTAGCTACAAAAACGAAAGCTTCTATGTCGGTACGTCTACAATACGTAGTATTATCAAATACTCAATCTTGCATCACAAGTTAAAGACACTGATCACTGTACGGGAGTAGAATAAGCGCGTTCTTGCATTTTAAAACTGATCCAACCCAAGCCTTCTTGCCTGGGGCGTCTTCTATTCCATCGACGAGAAGTCTTTGAACCGATGGTGACAGAAGGGCACAGGTGATCTAGTCCACCTAGGAGAGTGCTCCTGCTCATCATATTTCACAACCGGAGCCAGAACTCGCAGATCGGCGCCAAAGACAGAATCCGAGAAGTGCACATAGTACTTCTCGTCCTTGATCAGATCGCTATTTTTGTCCCACGCGTCCAAGATTGAATAGTATAAGGGCGCGACATGCACGTCGCTGGACCAAGCGGGGAATTGGTACTTGTCGTTGATTTTCTGAACAACCTGTCGTTGATACAGTCGGATTTCAGGGTCCAGTGTAGCCATGTTATAGGCTGTCAGTGAGGCGTGGCCATGATACGAGCCTCCGAACTTCGCGCGATCTCGAATGGCACACATTATAGTGAGAGCGGTCAAAATGCCTGTCGACATATCCGATATTGGCAGGCTGGGAAGCACGCCTTGACCTGGAGGGTAACCTAATGACTGGCCCATGACATATGAGGATCCGGCTGCCGCGTCCGCGACTTGCTGCCAACCGGGTCGCTCTGCGTAGTATCCATCTGGCCCGTAGCAATTCTCGTCCATGTAGATGATGCCTTTCCCCCGCTTGTTTGCCATCGCCAGTGCGGCTTGCAGACCAAAGCCGCGGCGCTCCAGGGAGCGCAGACGGTAACCCTGCAGGATGACATCGGCTTGGTCAAAGAGGTGCGTCAGCCTCTCGTGGTCGGCGGGATCCTCCAGGTGCAAATCCACGGTGGTTTTCCCCGCCGTCAGAGAGGAGGGTTGCGCCGGCGTGTAGTCCTTGAGTTTCGACGAGTTGACTCGGATAACGTCGGCACCCATGGAGGCAAGCGCGGCACCGGCGGCCGTCCCTGCTATGATGCGAACCAATTCGACCACCTTGATCCCGGCCAGGGGTCGATTGTCATCGACTTTGGGGAGAGGCGGAGGCTCGAGTGGGGGACACTGTGTCTGCTGCCGATAGTTGACGAGCGGATGTCGTGAAAGAGATCGGCCCATCTCAGTCCGACGCCACCTTTCGGGCGAAAAGACGATGGAGCCCGAGAGTCCTTTCTCAACCATGAGCTGTTCGATCTCCCGCGCACAATACGTGCGCACGCGCTCCTGGATGAGCGCATACGCGGCGTCGTGGGTGCGGATCTCGGCGTCAAGATCTCTGCCAATGCCAATGAGGGCCAACATCCTCCACGAATCGAGCGAGCCGTGAAGCTGAAACCAGACCCCGTTGTCTGCCGTCTCGTATATGGCTGTCGCGCGGTACACAAGCGGTGAGTTAGAAGCGCGGTCTTTATCCCATTGAGGGACGGTCGGCAACTTGATCACGGCTGGACCGGTGTGTCCGTCGATATTGACCAGCGCTGGAGTAGCTGGGTATAGTCCTGCGTGGTTGGTGTCGACGTAGGTAACGGTGCTGGTGGTGATGCCACGGAGACGAAGGATCTCCAAACCAACAATGCCCACCATGGCATGTAGAACTGCTGTGACAGCCTGAGACTTGATGGGTCCCGGGATGCATGGCAGATCATCGCCATGAAACACGACACCATCGAGTAGAGCTTCCTCTGTGGTGAATCCAGGCGTTCTCGCGGCGAGGATGCGCAACAGACGACTGCATTCCGCTGGAAGTGGCAGGAATTCCCTGTCAACCACCGTCCCGGCCCCATAGCTGTCTTGAGGTTCTTGTACTAAAGCGTCGGCGGCCATGATGTCTATTCGCAAACTTAATGTTCCAAGACGAGACTGAAGTCAGTTGACAGGACCGTGTTGGACGGATACATCATCCATCTCTCATGTGCTGAGGGTCGACCCGGCCCAGATCCGACTTCGGCTGAGCCGTCGATCCCCCGAGAACGCATACCCGGATTTCCCCCGCCACTTTATGACAATGCCAATTGAACATTTGCCAGCAGAGATGCGGGTATTCAACATGACTATGCTTTACTGATATATTCTTACATGCCCCAAGGGTTTGAGGCGAAGTCCAGGCACCATTCTGCGGTTGTGTCTGAACCCCGAACAAGATGCCACAAGAGATACGCACCGTTGCCATTGTCGGCTGTGGAGTGATTGGAATGGGCTGGGCCACTCTTTTTCTCTCCAGGGGCTTGAAGGTCATTGTTTCTGATCCTGTAGAGGGAGCCAATGATGCCCTCGAGCGGCATCTACAGCAGGCGAGGCCGTTCTTCGAGGAACATGGAAATTTCGACCTGCTCGCCACCAACTATGAGTTTGTTAGCGATATAGTGCCGAGGTTGGCTGAAGCAGACTTCGTTCAAGAGGTACACCTGTCTTGTACAAAGCCTTGGGCAAGTGAGCACCTCATGGTAAATCACTACGCTGACTTTGATCTTCCTTGTAGAACGGGCCAGAGCGCCACGAGTTCAAGAGAGGGCTCATGAAGACACTAGATGAGCACACTAGACCAGGTGTTGTGATTGCATCGTCATCCTCCGGTCTGCCGTCCTCGGCATTCATCAAGGGGTGCGAGCGAGATCCGAGCCGCATCCTCATCGGTCACCCATTCAACCCGCCCCATTTGGTCCCGTTGGTTGAGGTTGTGCCTCATCCCAGGACTAGCAAGCAATCCGTCTCCGCCACGATGGAGTTCTACCGATTCCTTGGGAAAGCCCCCATTCTGCTGCATTATGAGGTCCCAGGATTTGTATCAAACCGTCTCCAGGCCGCAATCAACAACGAAGCATATAGTCTCATTAGTCGGGGCATTGTTTCGACTGAGGACCTCGATTTGGCTGTTACCGAAGGGCCCGGTCTTCGCTGGGCCCTCACAGGCCCAATTGCTACTAATGCGCTTGGCGGAGGAGGTGGATCAGATGGCTTTGCACAGCGAATCGAACAGCTAGGGCCATCCATTCGAGCTTGGGAAGAAGATATATTGAAGCATAGGTTTGATTGGAGTAACGAAAGGTTATCCGCGTTGCAAGATAGTGTTACGAAGGGGCTGGGGGGTACTGACTGGTCCAATCTGGTGCAGGAGAGAGACTCGGTCCTAGGACAGCTGCTAGCCGCGAAGGGCAAAACAACTTCTATGGGCACGCAATTACCATAACACATTCTAAAGGTTTATCCTAAGTATCATTCATAGCAAACCTTGCTATTTCCTCGACATTTGTCTGCTTGTCTTCTACTTTGTATGTGTGGATTTTGTATGTGATGCTGCAACCTCGTAGACTTTGATCAACCACCTTTGGTATGCAATAAGTATATGGAAGGTGTAGCTTTGGCATTATGAAAGTGTTGTTTCCACAAAAGCTTTCCACATGTCTGGATCTACATCGCCTCTCCTCTCTTTACAGGACCAGGCAATGTGAAGATGTACAGGTTCAAGTCCCCACCTAAGTCAAGGTACAGTTGCTGGCCTAAACCAGCCGTTCTTAGATCAAGCTTGGCCCACCGCTCTTCCAGCATGTGGCATCTACGAGTATCTTTAGTCCAGTCACCAGCCAGTTCCATCGATGCATATTTACATTTTTGGGAGCCACAAGTCGAACCAGTCCGCAAAACTCTTGAAACTCTGCTCTTTTGCCCACTTCTCATAGGGATCAGTGAGACGCGCCCGTGACTTCACACACGAGGTTGTTAGCACGCCTTCTCAAGCGGAAGCAGGAGGGATACAATTACCGCGAACCCGTGACCCACATTCGCGAATATTTGCATGTTGAACAGTTTGCTGCCTTCTGCCAGGATTTCGACTGTTCTGCTTCGCTCGGCGGGCTCAAAGAGCTTGTCTTCTGCAGGCACCGAAAGAAAGATGGGTTCTGCAATTTATCAGCAGTGAGGAACACTCTGTGACTTCGTTCGTCTACGGACCGTCCACTTTGGGAATATCTCTTTCCTTCAAGAAGGAAGGGTGAGCGATAGCTCCGGCTTTGCATATCCCCTCCGCAGACAACTGCTGGCAAACAAATCGGGCACCCCAACTGATGGCAGGCATGTTAGTCTTGGCTCCACCCTGGTCTGGGTGTGGCACTCACCAGTATCCCACGCAAGCGAACTTGACGTCCTTGCTTGTGCCGTATTTCGATTTAACGTTCTTTATCTATTTCGCAGCAACCTCTTCAGAGGCCGTGAGGTGTCGGTTTTTCCAAGCCTCAAAATCGAAGTTTGGGTCACTCAACGGTGTCGCAGAGTACTTTGTTACAGGATCCTGCAGTATTTCGAGTTACTACTAAGATTCCTTTACGCGAAAATGGCTTGGACACTCATACCCCGAAGAAATAATCCACACCAAGCGTCAGATAGCCGCACTCGGCAAAAGCGTCCATCATCAAGAAGTTACTGATGTGTAGGCCAAACGCGTCGGGGAAGAAGAGGACAACATTGCCATTGGACCTCTCCGGGTGAGGTTTGGCGATATATGTGTCGACGCCCCCAATCTGCGCGATGGATCCAGTCGGCTCCCCGGTGTGAAAAGCGCCTTTCAGGCAGCACAGGTCGGCCGGTTTTGCAAGTATGTTGTCCATGATAGTAAGGGTTGTTGTTATTGCGTGAAACCTGCAGATTTCGGACGTACGATGCATTCAAGTCTGACAACAGTTAAAGATAAGACGGACTGGCCTCATTGTTGGTCGGAAGCGTCGGAAAGCGCTCCGGGGGACTAATATAAACTGATAGATCCACAGGGCAAAAGCTCCCCACTTACGGGGAAAGTTCGCGGAGTACCGGGCGGATCGTGATAACTATTGTCTTCTCACCGTCGTCGGGTTCTCGCTTGTTCTCTTGTCACCATGCAAAATTTCTGAGAAAGCCACTCAACTAGAGTTCTGGCTGTCCTGTGCTTCCAAGATACATCTGACTACACCAGGCGTTCTTTATTCCTCACTCTATAGTATCAAAACATATTGTTTCAAGCCCCTCTGGCAAGTCCCGTCCAGTTGCTAGAACTGCTTGCTCTTCAGGCGATATGTTTGGTTTCTCACCGGCGATCAAGACTGCATCGATGATAGGGGGAATATTTGGATTAGGTGGATCGGCACTGGAAGTGGGCTGGCAAGTATTGAGCTCTGCCAGCTGAGATTTTCCCGGTCTATCTGGCAGCCTGGGTAGCACACTTTCGTCCGTGGGCTTCTCCGCTCCAGCGAAACGGCCTCGATGCTATCCCAGCCCCCCCCCCCCCCCAACGTAAGCGCATTTGGTAGCCTTCACAGGGAATATTTCTCTCGGAGCAAGCCCCACAGATGGGCCGTCCACCATCGCATTTTCTGCGGCGGCGTCTGCAGGTCCAGCATCCACTGTGGGATCGGGTCTTGCGGGTGGACATGCTTTTCTCGGCCTGGCTTGAAATGGACTTCGTGAGTAATGCTGAGATGAGGATCAGGGACCATGCCTTGTGGGTGAGTGTTCAAAGGGACAAGGGGTTACCACACAGAGTCCAGGGGGGCAAGACCTTCCATGTCCGGTTAGGTGCGGATCTGCGTAAGGGACCCACTCGCCTTACGATATACTTTCTGTAGTTTCTGAAGCCCTACGAAATACTCCTATGTCGGGATCACCGAATTGTTGAAATCCCTGGGTTCCACAAAGCCGGCCTATTTCGAACAAAGTGATCAGCAAAAGAAAGTGTTCTAGATAGCACAATTTGAAAAGTTCTATGAAATCAATCCATCATCCCTTGCGTTGAACTCGCGCAACAAGCCCAACCCATTGCGGCCTGGCACACACTCAAAGATCTCCCCCGACGAATGAAAGATTCTCCTTCCCAGGCCCCCCTACTAAGAAGAGGACCGGACCAACCAAATTCAGGGATAAACAGATAAACGAGTCGTCATATGCATTCCGGTCGGAGCTTTTCGGGTTTCTGGATTTCCTTCCTCCCCTAGACTGACCTAAGCGAAGCAAGACGGGGAATGCTTGTGTTGCACTGACGTAAGTTGCCCGAGATCAACTAGTTACTTACATAGTCGTATAAACTTCTCATATGCGAAGCTCTCTTAAGAGCATGAATACGATTTGATTGAGTCCAAGGAGAGATGATATCACCATCAAGTTCAGATCATTTCCAAATTATTGAACACAAAGTTCCCTGTCAGCACATCAGGGAGTACCCCGGTGCGACATTACACACACAGGAAGATATTCTACATCTATCCGTCAAACAATACATCCCTTGGGATAACCCGGACCCACAACCTGGGTATGTAACAGTCATTGGTGCGCACGCCAACGCCTTTGCCAAGGTAGGTAGAAATCTGTATCAAATGCGTCAAACAGGGCCTCTTACCGGATGTATCGAAGATTCCTGTACTCCCCCTTCTTATGGAATCTGAATGGATATGACATTGATCAATAGAAGGTTATGAATTCAATGGGGTGCCACTGACTGGGTTACAGGAGCTATATGGGCCGCTCCGGGAGGACATCATCTGTCATGCCAAGACTTATGGGTTCCGCATCCGAGCTATTTGGATCTCTGATGTAGCTCACCAGGGACAGAGTGCGGTTTTCAACGAGGATTGGCTTGGAAATAATCGTACGTGGTCCCTTACTGCTCTATTGCAACTCTCAGTTTTCTGAGTTAGTGAATCTGCAGCCAGTTGGTTCGACCATTCCCGCGATCTACTCAACCTAGTCAATAACAAACGGACGGATATGCCACCTCCCATTGTCGGAATTGGACATAGTATGGGCGGTTCCCAACTGTTCGTTCCCCTGGTTCGTGCGGGCGTATACATCCTAATCAATATCTTTCCAATAGCGTATATCTCAGCCTGATCCATCCCTGTCTCTTCCACACCCTAGTCCTGCTAGACCCTGTGATTCAGCGGCCGGATACACGCACCCAAAACCATGATATATTGACACACGATCGGCTCATCTTTCCGTTCACACAAAAGGCTACCCACAGGAAGGATTCCTGGCAATCCAGAGAGAGGCTGCAGCCGAGACCTTTAGCCGAAGTCCTATCTACAAGGCATGGGACAAACGAGTCTTGCAAAACTGGTTGAAGTATGGACTTCGAGATGTTCCGACCCCATATCCCTTGGACGAAAGGGCTTCATATGACCAAAAGCTCACCGGTAATCTTAACTTCCTGCTATCAAGAAGCCACAAGTTTTGCACGCCCTTACTACGACAATAGCACTCACTATAGCTGGGAACAACATTGCTAACCGCACCATTTCTCATCCGGATGTTGACCCTGCGCTTATCACTTCATTCCCATTTTACCTTCCTGGGCCATCGCAGCTATTCGAGCAGCTACCCCACGTACGACCAAGCGTTCTTTATGTCTTTGCTGAAAAGTCACCTATGTGCCTACCGGCCCTCTGCGAGGATAAACTCTATCATACAGGCACGGGGATGGACGGCAGTGGTGGGGTGGCTGCGGGACGTGTTAGGTCTACTTATCTGGAGGGACTTGGTCATCTAGTTGCACAGGAAGCTCCGAATCAATGTGCTGAAATGGCGGCCCGCTGGATCGGTCCTGAAATTAAGCGCTGGCAGGACAAGAACAGCCTAATTACTACAGGCAGGAAGCAGAAGATTTCCACTGAGAAACGCGCTTTAATTTGACTGGGATTAAATCTAGGTTTTGACAAGTTTTTTGTGGCAGTTCTGTATTATTAGTATTGTTCACCAGCTTATCTCGGTGTTGATAATTTTACTAGGCGGGTGTGACTTCGCACAACAGAACCTGAGGCAGCATCTACCAAACGAATCAATTGTATTGCAGTATTTCAATGTATCAATTAGTTGCTTATTCGTTTCCGTTTGTCTCGTGTTGAAGCTGCATTGTTTGAAGTGGAGGTTGAGATTCCTTTTCAAAGCTTGGTCATATACTGTACCGGTGGCTAGACTTCTGGGGGCCATATGGGAAGGAGAGTTGCTATTAACGTTGACCATATTTGGATATATATGGTCCAATATCTCAGTAGACAACAAAATTTCCACACCGCGACATTCAACCAGCAATGATAACCAATACCGGCGTAATAACGAAATCAAGGGACCAGACAGTCTCAAACGTCAAAAAGAAGCAAACAAGAAAAGAAAAAACATACAACAGCAGGGATTCGCTGGTGGTCACCCACCCAACTACTAACCTGCCGGCGTGTGGCTTAAGTACGGCTGAGCGGACGGGAAGCCCTGTTCTCCACACCCTGTGGTCGTATGTACTGGTTAACACTAAGTGGTGTAATATAAAGTGCAAAATTATAGAGGTAGTAGGAGGAGGAGTAGTATTTTTTTTTCCGTCCGACGGACCGAGGTGCTCTGAGAAGGAGCACGCGGCCCTATAACCTCCTATAAGGTACAAGGGACACCAAGTGCGAGGACACTTTGGTTTGAAGAGAATTTCCTGGCAACTTTAAAGGAGGATTTCAGGATTCTCTTAGATCCCAAAGATGTACAGAGAACTTTAGATAGGCAATGAACTCAGTTAGACAAAGAAATCGAGTTCAATATGCTGTCACCATCGGTATAGAAAGGTAACCATTAGGACCCAAATAAATACAGAACCCCATTGACCCACGGAAAATGATACTAGAAAAATAAACCCCAAAAGAACGAAATCCGAAATCCGAAATCCTCACCGATAAACTCGGATTCAATCTTTCAAGACAGCAGTCTCTTACACACATTTGTGCTCCACAATATTCGCTCGGGAGTTTATCAAAAGTGCAACAATCAACCCATAAAGACCTTTCAAAATGTCAGTCCGAGATGCTCAATGCCACAGAAGCAGATGGAAACACCTACCCAAAACCTCTGCAAAAATGAGAATCAGTATCATGCTCACATAAAGTTTCGGCTGCTGCGCTGTCCCTCTCACACCCGCATCCCCGACAATCCCAATGGCGAATCTAGACCAGAGTCAGTACAAGATTTCTATACCAAAAACTCGGACCGAGCATACCCTGCAGCTAATCTCGCCAGACCAACAGAAAGACCTGCGCCCATTTGAACAATGCTTGTATAGAGCGTTACCTTCTGGACGAGGCCGTTTGCAATCAGAACGGAAACAACAAGTCCATATATGCCCAGAATTCCTGCCATAACAATTGGAATGATACCTTAGGGGGAGGTTAGAATGCTTCGAGTCGATCCGAGTGATTCACCAAGCTGAAGGAGGAAATAAAAATTTATCTTACTTCTCACTATCAAATCAGGCCGCAGAACCCCCATCGCACAGACACCGACACCAGCCTTTGCAGTTCCATAAGCCGCACCAAGGCTAGTGAAAACGATAGAACTGGTGCATCCCAAGACGCCGAAAAAAGGCTAAAAGCTCAAGATAAGTACTTCTCACGTGGACTTTTATCTGGGATACAGCTTACCGCGTAAACAGGGCTATTGGACTTCCTAAATTAGCATGTTCACAATTACTTTAAATCCCAAGATAATAGGAAAATCACCAAAATTCAGATACCATCTTCAGGTCAAAGAGCAGCAGAAAAGCTCCGAATTTGTTTTATCTTTTCGATTCTACGGAGGAAGAGAGCAATGTCGGATGCACTTGCGGGGAAATCGGCTATAGCTATTCTATATGATATGGGATGCCTATTAGGCCAACGCACCCTGCCAAGTCAAGGTTTGATTTCTGCGCTGTAGGGTGAGATTTTCTACACTTCTAGTGCCTCTAATTGGACAAATAAACCCCTAACTATATACGGTATATATCTCGCAGCCTGTACTGTCGCTTACTCAGTGTAGTATTTGTACAGCAGAGTAAGATTTTCTAAGCTTCTAGTACTTCCAATTGGGTAGATAATTTCCTAACTACATACGGTATATGTCTCGCAGCCTGCGCTGCCACTTGATGTCTGTGCGACAGAGTAAGACTTTCTAGGCTTCTAGTGCCTCCGATTGGACAAATAAACTTCTAGCTACATATAACTTGCAGCCTACGCCGCATCAGTCCAGGGTCCTTTCATTGGATTTGTCTTGATCCCCTCCTATTAGTGTGAACCATGACCAAACTAGGCGGCAACTTATACAACTGTCTTTGCTATCCACTCGCATAATACTCTGTTGATCGCGTTCGCCCGAGGAAAACCGACCGATCAATCAGAAGGACGTACTTCACCTCGTAACGTGCAAGTTCGTTGACCAATTTTCGTGCATACGCGGAGAGTTATTGGAACAGGCCACTGCTGTGGGTCTCTTGTTTCACAGGGAATTGGAGTTATTATAGGGAAACCGAGCCGATCTAGTCTTATTCCGTCATTTACATGAATAAAAGGCCTTATTTTAGGTATCGCAAGTATAGGTTTTGATACTGATGATGTGCAGAATCCTAAGACACTACCAAGGCATTTTACCGGTCAAGATCATCGTCTCGCACTCATCGGCGAGTTCGCGACTATCCCATAACCCTTCCCTCCGGCGTAAGGAACGCAAGACAGAAACACTGCGGAGTCGAGTCTCTCGATCCTCGCACGACATGCAGATCCACGTCAACGCAGGAAGCAGATCTCCGCAGGGCGCAAAGCTCGGATGCTTTTGCGACTGATACATTAGAGCCAAAGATTCTGCCTGCGACAGCACTGTCTGACAGCTTTCAATGCTTAGTGCGTCTTCGAAAGTCACCGTCTCCGTTATTAGATTCCACACGCTTTGTTCTAAAGAAAAGAATATATCATCCGGTTGCGGCTCGGGTGCTGGAATGTCGGATTGCTGAAGAAGCTTGAACCGTGCATTCCAGATGTGGAACGCTTCTCGGGCAGAATTCATCGCTCTATTCTCTTGTATTTCGAACCCACACCCTTCTGTAGGCTGAGGCTCAGGGAGAACGACTGGCGAGACAAAAGAGATGTTATAGATGACGTCCACCCGTTGTAGCATGCCCGAGGCTTCGTCGTAACTCGTAAAAGGCTCATGTCGACTGCCCATGTCAGGTCTCGGGTAGTCGAAAGGTAGATCCCCAATGACATTTTCCCCGTTGAAGATAGCTGCATCAATACTAAACTGGTAGAAGACTTTAAGTACGGCATTCCTCAGGTCCCGTGGGGCCGACGATCCTCGAGGATTGGAGCTTGAGCGCAACAGACCACAGCCCGCTTGTAAATGACGAACACACTCTGTATAGCGGCCTAGAAGCTGCTCAATACATATGAAAACCACACAGCATATCAGGGGAACATAAGCATCTATTCCTTGGTGATCGTGGCAAGCATGATCCTGGATCTGGGTAATGGCGGCGTTGTATTTTTCGATTGCGATAATCTCGGAACTCAAAACGTCGTCCTTAGAGCCATTCAGATCGCCGGACCCACTAAGCATAAAATGTCGATGGGCAGCCCCTAGCGCACATAATGCGTAGTTGAGAGGCATTGCGATATGAGCGAGCGGCATCGCATAGGAATGCCAAAAATCGGCAGGGTCAGACACGAAGGCCATCTCGTCGAGCACGAAAAGTTGCGCGTGATTCAATAAGGCAGAATCCCTGTCATTGGTAAACATCCTCTCGGGTAGTAATCTGGGGACTTGGATGCGCCATGGTGCTAGCATTGGCTGGGCATCATTCCGTTGTATGGGTCGGCGTGGCAGAATGGTTCTCCCTAGTCCAGCATCTTTGCATATTTGCTGCAACAGAAGAATATTGGCTTCAGAATCAGGCTTCGGCTTCGGTTTAGACTTGGGGCCAGGTTTTAATCTAGGAACTGTTTTATAGCCATCACATGTGCGGTGGTCTTGCTGGCATCGCCGACAACTTGGCTTGGTCTCGTCGCATTTCACATGGCGAATTCTGAACAACGGTCAATTCATCTAGCTGAACTGCACTCTATTGAGACTACCCACTTGCTAGTTCTCATCAAACGAGTCAGTTCCATCACCCAAGACCCTTATATACTGAAGAATATAGACCGAACTGTGGTGACATACCAAGTATTGCATCCTGTTCTCACTCGAGGGGCCTTGGATCGACCAGGCTTCTGCTTGTCACCATCTCCACACCTTGTAGTCATTGTAGTCCCAAGGCCAATCTTTTCAAGAGGTCATGAACATGGAGGACGCTTTAGAACATGGTTTCGACAACCAAGAATCATGGAGAATCCAGAATCTAGGCACCAAGAACATGGCGGAAACCGCCAAGATTACATAAGTCTAGGCTGACGCATTTTCGGGTGGGCCCGAGAGGGGGGAGTGTAGTCAGATTGGCTGTGTTTTACAGTATAATTCTCGGATACCAAATGTCTTGATCAGTTCATATATCTGAATCTGATAAGGTCCAGTCTTAGATGTCCATTCATGTTCTAGGTAACCTACACAAAGTTAGGGCCATGTGAAGGACTATCCGCCCAATACACCTTGTCGCTACTTCCTAGCTTGATTCTGTCTATGTTGAACCGCTAGAGTAATCATTCTCGGCTTCCTTATAGAGGGTTAAAGGTCACTAGGACAGGATCAAGCTTTCTATGTACTCTTTGGGTTAGCCCAGAGCAAGAAAAGGACCCCCAAAAACTAATGAACATGCAAAAAGCTAAGAACAAAACATTCTTTGTATAGCAGCAGGTATTCGCCTGAAGTTACTTACCTAACCCCTCACCGGCCGACATATGCCTTGAACACAGCCAGAAGGTGAGTAGGTGTTATCTGGGTGAGCTAGCAGGTAAGGCTTTACTGTTATTTCCGACACCTTGCAGAATATGGTGATGATCGGGAGAACTGGAATTTGAAGCAATCCTGTTAAACACACATATATGATATATCCTATTAAACACACACGTTAAACACTACTTTTTCTTTATTAAACACAAGATCTGGCCCTCAAATATCAACCGCCCGGCCTAGTGGTATGTATGACTTTCGCTTAGGGCAATTAACCCAAGATATAAACCGTGTTTAATGTGATGTCACCGGAGGCCCGGAACCACGGCACCGAGGCCGCTTGGCCACGTGCAGGTTAACGTGGCTATATAGCAGCAACAAAGTTCCGAGTATAAAACCTTCACATAGAAGACATTCCTTTCACTCTCACAAGAGGGAGTTAAGGGAACCTGTGCTTGCTCCCCTGACTCGAATTTGAGCAGTAAGTATGATTATCAACAAGAACTAATTAGTTGCATATATACACCGTCCGTCACATTCTCGACCAGCCGACATTGTCCCATTTGGTCTATTTCCTACATACTCCGTAGTGTAAGTGAATGCTAAACAGCCTGCATAATATGAAACCATGCCATTAGTTAAAAAGAAGAAACGACATTTACCAGGCACCCGGAAAAGTGCTTTCCCTCCGCCCTAGGGTGACTAATGTGTCGAGTCCGCACCATCAACCACACCCGAGATTTTGGCTCCACACCAGCCCACAACACACACACTACGGCTTCAATATAACCAACCCACCCCCAAGGACAAAAAAACATAAGAAAACGCGGCCCGAGCCGCGGATTGAACGCGGGACCTCTCGCAGATTTGCTTGGGTTGAGACCCTAAGCGAGAATCATACCACTAGACCACCCGGGCGCTTTATATTAACTGTTTAAAACTGTGTTATAAAAGAAAAAGTGTTCTGAGTGGAGACATATTAAGGGAGAATTCGGAGAATCATACGGTGTACTACTAGCAGCCCGGGGGGTTGAGAAAGCAAGATGTCAGAATGCTGAGCTATAGCCAGATACCATTTCTTCACAGAGAAGGTGACAGCACTCAGATCCATCGGTACCAGGCGGTAGGAATATCATTCATTAGCAGCCCCATTAAGACAATACTGCGAATACTTTACCTTCTTGGGGACAGAGATACGGCTGCTTAAAGAAACTGGTAAATGCCCTGGTAGACCAATATAATTGGGTGGTGGTGTATTGCTTAGTATGTCAATTCACGTTGCATAAGAAGATTTTGGTGCATGTAGATGCCATGGGGATTCCATGAGCTGTTCATGCTGAACTGAAGCTGCAAGAATGACTCATCTTCGGGTCTAATGGTGTGCTGACTCTTGAAGGTTCGTTAACCAGCGAAGGAGCAAACATGACTGGATACTTAGAACCCCCTACGTTGACCTCGCCAATCTTTGTTAGCAAGTACAATTGCAACTGCGCTACCAATGCTGATTTAATCATTTAATAGATATTCATATGATTAGAATAAAGCGTTCTTGGACATAGGGTCACGCATACAATTCTCCCAAAGAAAAAGAAATGGTCAAATCATTTATTTACAATACTCAGCGCCACGCTCTAAAACTGGGTGCCAACATGAATTCCACCATCCGCCAGCACGTTAGTTCCCGTCACAAAACTGGCGAGCGGACTGGCCAGAAATACAGCAACGTTGGCGATCTCCTTGGGGCCACCAAGACGCTTCAAGGGAATCTTTTGGCGCTGCTCCTCTACCCACTCGGGCATTAATTTGGAATACTTCTCCCACGGACCGCCCTCACATAGGACCGGCCCGGGCGAGATGGCGTTAACGCGGATTCCCTTCGGTCCCAGGGAGTGCGAAAGCTCCTGTACGTGTTGTAGCTGAGCGGCCTTGCACGGACCGTAGGCGGCCGGAGGACTGCGGTAGAATTCGCGACCCATGAAGGAGCTTTGGACGATGATGGACGCCTGTGGCGATTTCTCGAGGTACGGCTCGGCAGCCTTGACTAGTTCCACGAATCCCATTACGTCGATGGCGAAGCTTTCTTGCCAATGTTTCGTTTCGCCTTCCATGTGCATGGGCGAGGCTTGGCATGTTAAGTTAGCTTTGGCTACTATACGGTATTGCGGGACAGGAAGAGGAGTCGTTACCATTTGCAATGACGACATCAATTCGGCCTAATCGGTCGGCAGACGCATTCACCCAGTCGATGATGGCTTCCTTCGAAGCTACATTTAAAGCTGTGCCAACTGCACGGGCGGGGTTATCGGCAGGAAGCGTCTGGTGGAATTCATCGTACTCGGTGTTGGTGACGGTGCGGGCGCAATAAGACACGCTGGCGCCTTCCTTCAGAAATTCATGTACCATGGACTGGCCCATGCCGCGGGTTCCTCCTACATACGGTGTTAGTAGGGTAAAACTACCTAGGAAATGGAGTCTCTGTCTTACCCGTAATGAGGACATGAGCGCCCTTCAGACCGGTTTCGAGAGGCATTGTGAATGATGAGAGTGGATCCTGGGGATAGTGGTAGTAGTGCTGTACTTGGAAGGTAGTGCTTGAATACTGAAGAGAAGAGATATGAAATGCAAGAAGCAGAGCTATATTTAAAGTCCTGTTAGAATGTTCTTTGGATCTGTAATCATCTGTAACTAGTCAAGTCACTACTCACTAGTTCTGGGGGCCATTTAGGGTTGCGCCCAAAGGGGAAGTCCGTGGTACTCCGAGAAACTCCGAGGCCGCATTGGGTAATTTCCTCAATCGGCCATCGGGAGGAAAAGATCGGACTGCTCCTTGTATCAGGGAGTTCTCTTCCCTCTCCTGCTCTCGCATTTGTAATTAAGACACTTATATATCCTAGAGGAACCCGCAAGTTTTCATTATGCCAATACAATCGCCATTCTACCAAAGCTTGCAACAAGATCACTTCTGGAAGCACTATCCAGAACGCGGCCCGTGAAACCATGGAGTGTCAAAAAGGCCCTTCACAGGAGCCACTCTCCAGCGCTTCTAGCACCACAATTGTTGAGCCTATAGCCTGCAGTGTTAAGAAATTTCTGGGGCTAAGATATAAAGGCGAGCAACAACCGACTAGTGTGGTATTGGATCATGTATCGGTGGAAGGAAGCGGAACGGGGGTAAGTAAAGGCCATGAATTCCATCTGACCATTTAGCTGACATGGATGCACGAATAGTCCCAGCCTGCACCCACAGTGGTGTCAGCAGCCAAGTCTGGCTTTGGCATTCTGAGTCCCATTCAGAACAGGCTCGGCAGTCAATCATCACGGCCCATTCTTCGCGATTTCTCTGCGGCTATGAACTCGGGAGAGATGGTGCTGGTCATTGGAAAACCGGGAAGCGGATGCACCACTTTTCTGAAGACCTTAGCTGGAATGTGGGATGAGTACAAGAATGTCCAAGGCGAGCTCACTTTGGGCGGTTATCCAATGATGGAGACGATGTCTGAGCGACCTCAGGATGTCGTATTTTGCGGTAGGTCTCAAACAGAACCATTAGTATGCGTGCGCAACTGACGAATGGAAAAGGCGAGTCAGACGACCATTTCCCTAACCTGACGGTAATGGAGACCTTGCGATTTGCCATCAGAGCTCGATGTGGCCCGGACGTGTCGGGAAAAGAGGTCGACGAAATGGTCTCTCAACTGGCCAAGCTTGTCGGTTTGAGCCACGTTATGAATACCAAGGTGGGAGATGCATACATTCGAGGAGTCAGTGGAGGCGAGAGGCGCCGAGTATCACTCGCAGAAGCGTTAGCAACATGTGCACGGTAAGTACCTAATTTCCGACCGTAGGATGCAAGCTCGACTGACAGGCCATACACAGACTTATCTGCCTGGACAATCCCACAAACGGACTTGATTCCTCAACAGCATTGGAATTCATGGAGATGATGCACGAATGGACTCAACAGAGCCAATGCGTAACGGCAATGAGCGTCTACCAGGGCAGCGACGCCATAATCCCCTATTTTGACAAGGTCGTGGTGATCAACGCCGGCCGCCAGATCTTCTACGGCACCATTCCCGAGGCCAAAGAGTACTTCGTCAACCTAGGTTTCGAATACTCGCCCACAACTACCATGTCTGACTACTTAAACTCGATGTCAGCAAGCCCCGAGGCTCGGCGTGCAGTTGAAGGTCGCCAATATCAGGTTCCCAGGACGCCAGATGAGTTCCAGAGTGCATTTCGCTCAAGCCAATATTTCAGCCAGCTGCAGATTCGCGTTCAGGAAACGAAGTCTCAACCTACGGTGCCGTGGCCCTTGAATGCAGAGCGCTTTGCTCTTCCGCTATATCAGCAAATATGGCATTGTGCTACTCGTCAGGTGCGCATAATCACTAGCGACTACAACTCATGGTTGGTCGAGGCAGCATGCATCACCATTCAGAGTTTAGTACTCGGTACGCTATTTCGGGACCAAAAGCAATCAACCCAGTCTCTGTTTATTTTCGCATCGGCCCTGTTCTACTCGGTTCTTGTCCCTGCCTTACAGTCTATGAGCGAGTTTCGCAACACCTTCGAACAGCGGCCGCTCATCCTGAAGCACAAACGATATCAGCTATATCGGCCCATTGCCTACGCCTTCGGACTTGTTGTGACTGATGTAGTCTGGAAGATCGCGGCCATTTGCTACAATATTCCTCTGTACTTTCTGACAGGATTTCAACGCACACCAGAAAACTTCTTCATCTGGTTCCTGGTCGTGTATGTTGAACATCTGGCCTTGTCCATGTTCTTCCGATCGGTCGCTGTTTTCTCAACAAATATGAACCGCGCTGTGCTCCCTGTGGGCCTCTTCTTCAACATGTACGTGCTATATACCGGACTTTACGTACCGCCACCTCAGATGCAAGTCTGGCTAGGCTGGCTACGATACCTGAATGTGAGTCAATTCAGTACCCATCCTAACGCGAGTGACGAAATTCTAACAGCAGTAGCCCTTATACTACGGCTTTGAGTCTGTCATGGTGAACGAGTTTGGCACCCTCAGGTATGAATGCAGTCCAAACGACTTGGTACCAACCGGTCCCGGATACGATAGCATTCGCAACCAAGTCTGCGCTATTGTCGGCTCGAAGCCAGGAGAACGCCTCCTGTCGGGAATTAGCTACCTACAAGCCCAGTATGGCTTTGAACAGTCGCACTTGTGGAGGAACGTCGGCATCAACATTGCCTTCTTCATTGTGTTCGCTGTATTGTCCGGGTGGGTCAAATTCTTTACATTGATTTAATAGCCATGCATGTTGGTCCAGAGCTAACGGAAACAGAATTGGGATGGAGAGACTCAAGCAGCCGGCTGGTCGCCTCGCTACTGTCTTTTATCGAGGCATGGAGTCTGGGAACAAACGCTCTGGCGATAATAAATCGGATAAAGAGAGTGGAGAAATGGAAGACGACGTTCCCCCAGAAATCGCACCACAGTCTAGCACCGTGCAGCCAGCTCTCAGTCATGCATACGAGCATCACGGCACTCTCACGTGGAGAAATTTCAGCCTCGATGTTAAGACCAAAGATGGCGAGCGGCGACTCCTTGACAGTCTGAACGGATCTGCTCAGAGTGGCCAGATGAAAGCTCTTATGGGTGTATCTGGAGCTGGAAAAACTACGCTTCTTAACGCCCTCGCCGGAAGATCGAAGGTGGGAGCCTTAACTGGAACCTTGGAGCTTAATAGACAGCTCTTGCCAAAGTCTTTCAACGGGCGCATGGGCTACGTACAACAACAGGACATTCACCTTCCAACCCAGAGCGTTCGTGAAGCCCTGCAGATGACTGCGCAGCTACGCCAATCACAACAATTGTCGCGCAAGGAGAAGTACGCCTATGTCGAGAAGGTGATTGAGTGGCTGAACATGGAATCTATTGCGGACGCCCTGATCGGCGTGCCTGGTGCTGGGCTTAACCTCGAACAACGCAAACGGGTCAGCATTGGTGTGGAAATGGCATCGAAGCCCGAGATTCTGTTCCTGGACGAGCCCACTTCCGGCCTCGATGGTCAGTCGGCATACTCGATCATTCGTCTTCTGAGAAGATTGGCAGACTCGGGTCAGGCGATTGTGTGCACCATCCATCAACCAGCCGCCGGACTGATGAATTATTTTGACGAGCTGTATCTGTTGGGACGTGGTGGCCGGCTAGTGTACGACGGACCCCTGGGAACCGACTGTCGCCTTGCCGTCGACTATTTCGAGCAGTTTTCAAGACCTTGCGCTGATGATGAGAACCCCGCTGAGTACTTCTTGGATGTCATCGGAGCAGGTGCCCGCAAGGAAGTGAGCCTGGACTGGGTTGGACTGTGGCAGCAGAGTGATCTCTATCAAGAAAGGCGCCAGAAGCAAGCAAACACTGTGTCCTCGAGTTCTTTCGAGTCAACCTCTTCAATCTACGCAGCTCCTTTCCATGTGCAGCTCTGTGTGGTTCTCCGCCGGACATGGTTGTACTACTGGCGAGAACCTGATTATGCCGTCTCAAAGCTCTGGTTGAACGTGGGTCTCGCTCTAATGAACTCAATGACCTATCTCCAATCCCCGACAACCCAACGCGGCGCATATAACCGTGTCTTTTCAGCCTTCATGTCTCTTATCGTCGGTCCTCCACTGGGTCTGCAGGTGCAGCCGCGATTCGTCACGCTGCGAGATATCTTCGTACATCGAGAGAAAGAGAGCCTAACGTACCACTGGCTGACCTTTGTCTTCTCAGCGATCTTGGTTGAGCTACCATATGCATTTATAACCTCGATGGTGTACTGGCTATTGTGGTACTACCCTGTGGGCTATTTCACTGAGCCCACCCGCGCAGGATACAGCTTCCTCATGTACGAGTTGTTCGCGATCTTTGCTACAAGTTTAGCTCAGCTTTGCGCATCTCTGATGCCAGATCTCCAGGCCGCCTTCGCTGCTAACGGGTTCTTCTTCATGTTCTGCAATACCTTTGCCGGCACTCTCTCGCCCAAGCCTGTCACTCCATCGGGATGGAAGTGGTATTACAAACTGTCTCCACTGTTCTACATGGGCGAAGGCGTCACTTCAAACGCATTATATAATCTGAATATTCAATGTCAGCCATCTGAGGTTTCCATATTCAATCCCACGAACGGCACGTGTGGAGAATACGCGGCCAATTTCTTGAAGGAAGCTACGGGTTACCTGCTGAACCCTGACAGCACGATTGGCTGCCAATACTGTCGGTATAAAGACGGACAATCCTATGTGAGTTCACTTAGATTCTCCGAATATTAAACATAAAATACTGACTCGGACAGTACGTGCAATACGGCTATGAATTTGCTCGCCGCTACTCTAATGTTGGAATTTTCATCGGATTTATCGCCTTCAATTTCACCATGGTGTTGGTTATGACTTATCTAACGCGAGTGAGACGCTGAGATGTTCCAAAGAGATATAGAATAGATTCACTGCCTTATGACTTTATTTAATGGACTAATTAAGCTATGCTTTGTTTGAATGGGTACCGCATACCTAGAGACGTATGCTTCGTCACGGCGATTTCAATCTAAATCTCGTAACTGTTTCTTCTTCCATTGCTTCAGATCAAACGTACCATCGCGTTGCTCACCATGTTCTCCATCCCATAAGAAAGTAAGCCCATGGATAGTCTCTTGGACGTTGTCGTCATCATTCAAAAGATCAATCATGCAAGATCTCAAACAGTACTTCCCCGTCTCATTGGCCGCAAGCCGGTCAACCTGCGTCTGCGGCAGGATTTCATACGCTATGCCATTCACTGACTGGAGTGAACTTGTGTTCTTCTCAATAAGGGCAGGATAGGGCCCCCAAAGCTTGATTTCGTATCCTACGACTCTGGCACGACGCATGACGGGCGGGATGTGTGGCCTTGGCAATTTTAGGACTTGAGAGAGCGTATCTGGATCCATAAGCGTCCCGTAAAAGAAGTAATATGCTCGGCGGAAGGGGTATTGAGGCTTGTCGTTTTCAGAAGAATGGTCAGACGCTATTGGAGTCTGTTTTGACGCGGCCTCCGAGGCATCTTGTGCGCGCATTTTGCGCATCATCAGGGACATGGGTCTTTCGCTCATTGTGTGGGTGATAGATGATTTCCCTAACCAGAGACCACAGAAGTGAGGTGAGGCTGTATTTTTTGCTATCTCTATGCTATAGTGTGATGGAGAGAGAAATGGGCAAGGAAATGAGTCGTGGGAGCTGTCTTTTCGGGTGCTTGTGGTATCCGATGACTGACGGAGGATTTACGTCAGCGGTGCCTCTTCTAACTCGGGAGAGTCAACGAAGAAACCACAGAGTAAGGAAGAATAGGATGTCTTCTAATCAAGGTGAAATTAGCAGCTATTTTCATATCGGTCATTAGAGCTATAAGCCTATATAGGTAATTAGTGGAGTTGGTTGTGGAGACTCAAAAATCTCCCAATTTCGGTGAATGTATGAATTAGTATCTCTTCCACCTATGGTAATCAACATTGTAGAGTAGAAATTAACGGTAAAAGGGCTTACTTTCGATTAGCTGTGACAAAAGATTAGCTGGAACATAGCCTGTGTTGTAGAGCGCGCGAAAAAAAATGCTTTCCGAGGATCACTCGTGGGGCTTTGACAAGCACTGTAAAGGTCTCGAGGAGGCCATCGGTTTAGGGCTTGGGATGTCACGGGTACGCTCATTCCCTTTTAGGTGTGAGGGAGTTATTATCCATACGATATGCAAAATCTGACTTCAACTGAATGAAAGAAAGTTTGGAGCTTTACTTCAAGAGCTACAAAGACGGATAACAAATGCATCAGTTTTGTTTCAAAGGCGCTTTCCGATGGCACTGCAGAAGTTGCGAAGATATCAGGAGAAGCCAAATGACCTCCGAAGAACCAGTCACTTTCTAGTGGCCGTTGCCAAGTTTAGGAAGGTCGACATCGTCGGTGATTTCTTTCCCTAGTAGGCAAGTAAATATACATCGGTATTGCTACGTATTGGACGTCACGAGATAGATCGGATAAGAAAGATAAAGGAAGAAGAAGGGCTATCTCGCTAGCAGGAGATGGGGTGGCAATGCCAATGGCGACTAGCCCGGGAACGAGGAACCATATTCAAGTCTTGGCTTGCATTTATGGAAAAGGAGTTGAGATAGCTTTGTCTGGGCAGCAAGTTTGCAAATATAGACTGTTAGAGGTTACCTAATAGTGGCACATAGTGAAGGTTTAGAGTTTACAAAGAAATAAAATAAAAATCAATGTTATGTCGTCTTCTAAAATCAACTTTTTGCTGCGATAATGATTCTAAGTGAGTGTGCCGAAATACCCAAAGCATATAGGGTTATACTCAGGACTAGATGAATAAATCCTTCTTAGAGATGACACCAGGCATGTGAAATGAACTTTCGTTTGTCTCCGCTGGCATTTGTTGGCGAGAAGGGTTACATATGCAACATTTTAGAGGATGGTGGAGTTGTTTCAAGGGAGAAAAACTGGTAGATGATCCCCGAATCAGACAATTCTTGAATCGGACAATCGCTGGATCAGATACAGACTCCTGCGCCCTAGCACAAATTGAGTATGCATAGTTTTATGGCTACCTGGAGGACAGTTAAAAGAAGACTTTTTCAGAGTTCTGCTTGAAAATAATTTTTTTTTTTTTTTTTTTTTTTTTTTTCCGTAGATCAGTATTATAAAACACATTGTTTCTTTTTGTGGCCCTTTGGAAAGAAAGAGTAATGATATTTTCAAGTGCCGTTAGTCCTTTAGCTCAAATTGTTGGGAGAATGCTTTGGTCAAAGACTTTTTTAAGATTTGACATGACAAGCAAATTAGCTTTCTCTTCGCAGAGAGAAACAAATAGCAGTGAAGAAGTATGATACTGAACCGAATCCACAGCCTGGCCAGAGTCCAAAGTCCCGCCTCGTATCCTACAGTGTAGTGACGTCATTCATTCTTCTCGCAAGCACATCGCCCATAAATATGGACAACAGATTACCTATAGTTTGAAGTTTTCTTACTGCATATAAGACACTTAGTTCATGTTTAATGTCTCCTGGTGATGTGTAAGCAGGAATATTTGCAAGGAGCTGCCAAAAATAAGCCGAGCCATTGGCAGCGTTGCTGCAACCAGACTCGGGGATTAAGGATACAATTAATAGAATCAAAAACGGATAAGTAGAATGTTCTGTCGGAATAAGGGTCACCGTCGAGGACTAGATTGATCGACGCCATTACTGATCACGTCCAAATAGGGATTAGTTGTCGCCATTGTCAGTTACTCGGCCACTTTTATGCTGACGAAAATATCAATTCTTCTATTTTGCTGTCGACAATTTCGGTCTCGGTGGCTTATCAATATCTCCTGGGTTGTAGCTGTCGTGGTGGTAGGATATAACCTGGCCGTCATCCTCATTGCCGGGCTACAATGCATCCCGCTATCGGATCTCTGGACAGGAGGGCCTTCATGCATTAACACCGAACCACCTTTCATCGCATTAGCGTGAGTTAGCTAACCCCGTCTATGGGTTTATGCTGTTGAAATTTCCTCATCGGTCTCTAGAGTTGTCAATATCATCACGGATGTGGCTATATTGACCTCACCAATAAAACCAGTTCTGCAACTGAGCATGCGAACAGCTCGCAAAGTGCAGGTACTTTGTATTTTCCTACTGGGAGGAGTGTAAGTTCTCTTCTCTTATAATAATAGATTACTCGGCCCATTCTTGCGTTGAATAGATCTAACGAATCTCGTTCCCAGTGTCTGTATTTTCGGCATCGTCCGCGCCATCGCCATAACACACCTAAGCATCAAAGATCCAACTTGTCCGTATCGATTGCCAAGCCCCTATTCTTTACCTGTATTCAAACAATAGCCTAGGAAATACTAACCCCAAACAATAGGGACAGCAGTAGGCGCGGCTTTCTAGTCCTTTGTCGAGATATCCGTCGGCATCGTCGCCGCCTGTTTGCCAACTTTGGCACCGCTCCTGAAGAGCAGACATCCATCGAGTACGACTCAAACCGGCACTAGTGAACATATTAAATCAAGAAAGCTCAGCGGGCCTCGGTCGAGTCATCAGGAACATGTTTCTTGTACAGATGACTGGATGCGGTGCGTAACCGGTGCTGTCATGGGACACGAGCGACCGTTTGTAGAAAGACATTGCGACCCTCCAAGTTGTTGGCATCGTCGACTCATGAAAATGGAATTCTAGTGCGAAAAGAAATCTAGCATACGACTACAATCCTTTCCTGAGGGAGTGGACTTTGTCATAGGCTTACTTAATCTTAATATTGATTGTAAGATATATTAGTTGAATGGGGTAATCACTTACTTTACTGATATCATATCTTACCTTTCTCAAGGATCTTTAAGACGATCATATTGGGGCCGAGGGCAAAGGAAGTCAGCTATGTTCATTCAAGTCAAGAAAAGAAGATAACATAAAATAAAATCATAATTTAGATCGAGAAGTGCTACTTAATACGAAATGGAGCTTTTGAATGACAACTGCTTGGGTAGGCTAAAATATCAGGCCCAATCTAATTGAGTGACTGGATATACTTAATTTAGTAACATATAAGCTTTCACCTAAACCAACTAAGTATGCTTGCGGAAGTTGGCTCGACAGGCTCTAATGAAACTTGATTTTGGAAGAAATAGTTAGCCAGATAACCTTACATTCCCTGCCTCTCTCTGTCTGTGCATTTTTTTCGTTGGATTCAGTTATCATATCTACTGCACATACTCCCCTATGTTTATAATTACACTTTTAATTCCCCAGAACCCAGCCCCTCAATTTTCGCAAAAGAAAACATGAAATATTCACCCTAGGAAATGTGTTACCCCTAGAGGACTTTTATTGTGGCGGACTTTTTCCGTAGCGGGGTTTTACCGTAAGTCTAGCTTTTACCGTAGTTCGACCTTTGACCGTAATTCCGAATTTTACGTACCTAGATGAACTGATTCAGGAGACGCACAACGTATCTGAACACAAAACGAAAAGAAATATAACAACATTGAGAAATATTTGAGCCAGCTCTTAGTAAATACCATTCCCCAAAGCCTCCTGGAGTGACCAAAGTTACTACCTTCCATGGCTTCCTTCACCAGGTTCCTCACTGCTCGGGCTCGGAGCACTTGTCGAGTGCATCAGGACCTGATACAGCAGTGCCGCTAAGATAACTCCGATAGTAGCCGCCTGATAGAACGAGTCAGCTATCTCCCTCACATAGATTCAAAGGTTTAGTTTCAGTACTCACCAACGACAAATCAAACCCCTCCGCAACCTCCAGCTCCCATTTCGGTCGCTTAATCGGCAAGTACACAGAAACCATATCGGTTAACTTCACCACCATCACCAACGACCCATTGTAGTAGACATGTGTCTTGTACTTCCAGATATCCTGTCCCCGGACCTCAAGCACCACGTCCTCTCCGTTCCCGCTAGCATTCTTGAAATGCACGTCGAACTTGTCCTTCAGCGCGTGTAATCTCGGCGCGATGGTGGCGATGGGCTTCGCCTCTTCACTGTCGCTGTCTCCCGGAAGATGCACGAACCACGTCACTCCCATTCGTTTGCGACGGATCTCGAAGAGAGGGAGACCCGAGGCGTCGCGGACATGTCGTCGCTGAGATAACGACGCAACCTCGCCGTCCACGGTGAACAGCGTTTCCAAATCGGAACTATGATCGGATCGGGTGGATACCGTGAAGTCGCCGGCCTTCAAGGCCTTGGTGTGTTGTTTAACTACCAGGGATGTAGGGCGCGAGGCGACATGGTCTGGCCGGATAGAGAGCGGCTGTTTTAGCATTGCGAGCGTTGAATCTGACGGCATGATGTCGAGTAGACTGGGCAATAGTCAAGCCTCGGGGTGGAAACAAATAGAGAATGTGGTTTTCTTTCTAGTTTAGACATGTTCTAGAAAACCAGCGTGATTCTGTGGCCTTTTATATGAGCACGGTTCGATCGCATGTGGGGGATTCTTCTCCAGATGGCAAGGCTATCGGAAATCCTTAGAATAGTGGAAACAACTAGCGTGCAAACCTCAATCACGCAACACGAGTTGCCCACAGGCGCAAGGCTTTAAATACGGGAGGCCCGTAAGCGCAGGCGTGAACAGCGGGCCATCGGGCACGCTACGTCTTAGTCTCCCACGCCATGATCTCATTTCATAGGTGAGCGCGCTCCGCCCAGTCTCTGCGGGTCGTTTAATATTATTTAACCTCACTTTGGAATAAACTGAGATTGGCATTTGGCTGTCAGAAAAGGGACGATGCCCCCAGCCACTGATGACCGCATAGGGCGATCTTACCATATTCAGACCGATTTCTCACGATGACTCGATTTGAGGGCCGTGACTGGTGTTCCTTATCTGATCAACATTTTTGAAGCCCCAGTGGTCCCATGGATTTCCCTTGTGGCTGTTCCAATGTTAAATGAGTAAGCGCTGGGTTTTTCCTATTTGGGATAATAAGATGCAGGATTTTCAGCTTGGTCATCACATCTACATCTCCTGTATGCAACTTTCAAAGATAATTCACACCCTCATGAAAAGAGATGAAATGAATAACAACCCCTTTATTGCCTTGCTGTCTCGCGTTGATTGAGGGCTGAGTCTTCTGGCTCTCGTCCCATTGACGGACGAGGATGAGATCAGTCTTGCTAACTGTTCCCCTTTTTTTTTGAGATATGCAACGTGCGTGATATACAAGAGAGATGGATCGAGAGATCCCTATCTAGGAAGCCATTGTGGGTGGCGCTAGTCTACATATGGCAATGGGGGCGAAGGGCTTGGAGCACCTCCTCAACATTTATTACATTAAATATGGAGCATAACTCCAAAGTAATTTTTGCAATTGCTGGTGTCCGATATAGAATATCAAAATACAGAAGGAAATAGGAAGGCTTTCCCCGGAATACCTCCCGGCAAACGAAAGAGTGCAGCATACGAGTGAAATAACGCGAGTAGAAAGACAAAGGATCGTAGATCCCGAAAGTGGTCAGGCCATACCTTAAAGTCTGTATATCATTGCAGCTTGATTGGGGATGGTTTAGGTATCTTGGATGCCCATATTATCATAGATAGCGGTCATAATTAATTACGGAGATCAATAACTACAGAACCAAGGGCGGCTACGAACACGCTCATAGAGAGCCTTCAGACCATTCCAGGGTATTGTCTCACCTTGTGGCATGAAGGCAGGATAGGGCTTAATTGAACAGTATTTTATAGGACTGACCTCCATGATATTATGGTTCCATTCTGCGGTCATTGCTGCTAGAGTCGCATTTGAGAGTGTGATGGTTCAGGACCCGAGATATATATCCGCAGATGTCGACTATAGTTAACAGAAACATTCCTCGAACAACACTAGTAACACCACAAGCACAAGATATCTGACTATCAACCCAACAAAATATCAACTATGTTCGTAAATAGAGCATCTTCGCCTATTTTCTTAGACATACCAAACCAAACAAAGCTTCTCTGGATCATAGTACTAATTATTTTTTTAAGCTTATAGACCAATAAAATAGGATTATTAATATCAACCAGCGTTGGTAGTGTAACGGTTATCATCCTTGCCTTCCAAGCAAGGGACCCGGGTTCGACTCCCGGCCGACGCATCATTTCTCTTCTCCTTTCTTTTTTGTTTTTCTTTCTTCTCTTTCCCAACCAACACTTTAACTTCACTAAATATAGTAAGTAATTGGGCGGAAGGATCGAAATCCTTGCGGTCACTCCGCCCCCAATCTTTCGTTTCACCTTTCAAACCACAACTCATTGAGTCTGCTCTTTTTTTGATTTTCCTTTCTTTTCGACAATACTACCTACATAAAAAGTCTCCACAATGACCTTCGACTCGGAACTCTTCTTCCAGTCGCATAACCCCGGCCATGAAACCATCCTCCTCATCCACGGCGCATGCGGCAGCAGCGCCGAGTACAAGGATGTCACCTCTCCCCTGACCAAAGCGGGTTATCATCTGCTGATTCCCGATCTCCCCGCCCACGGCCAATCCACGCACATCAGCCCATTCACCGTGGAATTCGCCGCAGAACACCTCCTCCAGCTGATCGCCGATCACGCACATAATGGCGCCGCCCACGTCATCGGAATGAGTCTGGGCGCGCACATCGCCGCACACATGGCGGCGCGCGCACGACCGGGCCAGATCCTCTCACTGGTCGCAACGGGCTACAGCACCTTCCGACCGCCCACGTTCTTGATTCCCCTCATCACGGTGCCCATATATGCGCTGCATCATACGCTGCAACTGCTTTTCAAACCCTCCGTCGAGATTAGGCAGTGGAGTCGGGGGGAGAGTTCATATGCGCTTATTGCGGAGGTCGCGAGGACGCTTATGAACCCGCGCGTGTTGCAGGATATTCCGGTTAGGACGCTCGTGATCGCCGCGACGAAACCGACCATGGGGATCGCGGATCGCACGGAAAGTGCGAAATGGATGTTTGGTGTTGTGGTTGGGGGCAAGGAGAATGGGAGTCGGGTGGTGCAGCATCGCGGGGTGAGACATCCGTGGCATGTTGAGGAGGCTGCGCAGTTTGCTGAGATGGTGAGGCGGTGGGTTGGGGGGTTGGAGCTGGGAGAGGAGTTTGAGGATATTGAGTGATTTTTTTTATACGGGGGTGTGTATAGTTTAGTTGCTCTTGTGCATGTATATACCTGCGATTGGAGCGGACTTTGGCCAATTAGTCTTGAGTGGTGAGATATCTGTTATATTTGTTAAATGTATTGGGCCGAAAGAACTGTGCTCCGCGTTAGTTCAAGCTTTCCATGCTCGAGCAAGCTTTGTCCTGAGCAAGTCTCCCTAGCTTTGCTAACTCGGCCGTCAAATCAGCTAGAGACTCTAGGTGAATCATCTCGGCGATGGTGAATTCGCGGATAGGAGTCTGCCGGATCAATGCTGGGACCTCGCCTAGGATATCTAGGTCATGCGTTATGGAACTGTTCAGTGGGTCTTCGAGCACGCTTGAAAACATGACCATGATCGCTGTGATGGGATAGAAAAGAACAACCCTGCCAGTGGAAGAATCGTAAATTATATGATGCCAGATTTTACTGGAGGGAATTGGAACTCACCAGAAACACTCATCTTCCACAACGGGCAGTGCCTTGCGTAAATACGTCAATGTAGATCTGCTGGCATCAACGCACAGACTGATACTTGACTCGACGCGCCCCGACCGGCTGTGCGGACTTTCCGGCAGCTCCCTGCAGTGGACGACGGCTCGGTGAATCATGGCGACGCAATGATAGTATGCAAGACGAAGCATGACGGCTTGCGTATTAATTCTGGCGTTGATGGGCGTCTCGGGTGAGAAACTCAACGTTGGTCGGAAATCGGGATGTAAAGATTGCCTCCATTGCTCTAGAGCTTCGTCAAGAGCTCGGATATACTCTAGTATCTCGGGTTGTGATTTGCGACGGGCGCGGACAGAGTAGAGACCATTGTAGGTGGAGTACTTGATCCTAGAAAGCCGGGGGTCCCAGGGATATAAAGGAAGAGTGGATTCGTTGATCTCAATGTCATCGCTCAGGATGTTAGAGTTTTGTCGTTCTTCATAACCCATTGGTAGTGTCAAATCGCAATGTTCATCGTTGATCGTGGGCGGATGGCCCGTTCTTAATGCCATATCCCTGTCGAAAGAGTAGCATAACCAGAAAAGATCCCGTAGATGGCATTCAGGAATACTCTTGCGATAAACGGGCGGTCCTGGTTGAATATGCGCCTCAAGAGCGTAGACGAGACGACTGGCAGCTGCAACAAGGGCTTCAGCGGAAGGCAAATCGCCAATAAAGTAGTGATATTGAATCTGAACGATAATTAACAAATTTTGAGAAGGGAAAGGAGATAAGTAGATGACTTGAGCAACGGTTACTGACCAGTATAACCAAAGCCTGTAGTCCTTCGGCGGTGCTCTCATGCAGAATCCGAGGGACTTGCGCCTCTGCAGTCAATACATATGACCTGCAAGTATCGCTTCCAATGATCCCGTCATCAATTCCAAATAAAGACACTAATGCGAGGAATGAAAAGACGCAAGCACTTGCATTGGTCGAGCCAGAAACGTTTCTCGGTCCGTAGGCCGAATCTAGTGTTTTTGCGAAAAGTGACTTACTAACCACGGGAAACACAAGACATTCGAACGATGAACAATATTTCGAAGCGTACTGCTCAACCAACAGCCGGTTTGGAAGCTCAGAACATGTGTAGGATGTCCCATCACTTTCAAGCTTTTGGTTACGGTTTTGCCACGGAAGTTGTAGAGCTCGGAGTGTTTCATCTGACACTCTTTCACCGGCCAGGGATTGAATCCAAGACTGTGCCTCTTCAGACATTAAAGGCAGGCCATTTAGAAGGTTCATGTAAACATGATTGGAATGGGACAATGCCGATTGATTTTCTGGAATAGCATCTTCCTGACGTGAAGTCGAACTCACGTTTTCAGGTGCCACGCGGTTGTCAATCGATACAGGCCCAGTGCTAGGAGGTAGGCTTTTTGTTGGACCGTGAACAACGTCTCTATTTCAATTCAAATCGATCAGGTCCGAGGCATCCGGCTTGATATTGAAACTATATTAAGATTTTATATTCACTGGTGAGTTCCTCACCTTCTTGTCCCATACGTATCGGTCAGTCTCTCGTATGTGCAAGGGACGTCATGGTGTTTGCACCAGTTACATTGTGGGGATTCTCGATCACATTGAATCTGTTAGTATTTAGCACCTGGGAATTCCAGGAAAGGGAAATTTCACATTGTGTTGTGAATGGGCATGGGTGGAGTGTACTTTTCTCTTGGAGCAAGAATCGCATGCCTTGCGCCGCCGACCCCTCCTGGACACAGGCATGCCATCCAAATAATTAGGAGATCGTGGCGAGATTTGTTATTTAAGGAAGGAAAAAATGGGGTAAAGACGAGAGATGAACGAGATGAAGATGGAAGGTGAATGGGAGATGACAAACTGGGCATAACGTAATCGGCAAGCGAGTCGGCCACGTAAGCGAGTCGGCCATCCCAACAAGAATTACCGCCTCTTTAAAAATAAGACTATTCAAACATCCAAAAATGCCTAAATCATCAAAAATTTCGGTGGAACAAGAGGGAAGACTCTCCTTAGCAGTTGATACTATTCAGAAGTGTCAAATCAAGTCAATGGTAAAGCAACTCGTGTTTTTCAAGTTCCTCGCTCAACACTTCAAGGTCGTTTAAATGGTATTACTTTTCGCAAGGAAACACGCGCTAATTCGCGTAAATTGACTCCGTTGGAGGAGGAATCACTTGTTAAATGGATTATCTCGTTGGATCAACGCGGCGCGCCGCCGAGACAGTTCCAGGTCCGTGATATGGCGTCAATCTTAATTCGGAAGCGTTCCCAAGATGCAACAGCCTTTGTCGGTGTGACCTCCTGAAATCAGGGAACTTCCCGGTGCGGAGGAACGTTCTGGTTAGTTATTATAGGATCGAGGGACCCTCCGGTAGGCATCCAGGAACCTTCCTGGATGCTCTGCAGGCATTCCTGCCTGAGGCGAAGCCTCGGGCAGTATATAGACGCTCTAGATCCTCCCTCCTAGATAGCCTTTCCTCTCCATGAAATGGGTATATAACTTCATTTCCCGGCATGATTCCTTGAAAAGTCGGTTTTCTCGTCCGATTAGCTATAAACGGGCGAAGTGTGAGGATCCTAAGGTTATACAAGCCTGGTTTCAACGTGTACAAGCCGCTATCGCCATGTACGGGATTGCTGATGAAGATATCTATGTGACGAACGGCTACGCAGGCGATAAGGAATCGCGAGAATGTAGGGCATGCATTCAACGAAGAAACTAAGCTAGGTTGTGAAGCTATTCAGGAGCTGGTCACAATATGTGTGGGACAGCTCTGAAGCTAGTCCCGATCGGGTAGTTAGGTCATAGGGTATCACGAAGGAAGGTCTTTGGAGGCTGGTTGTCACCTCCTGAGCCAAGGACTTCCCGATACGAACTTCCTGATATGGAGGACCCTCCGGTAGTACATAGAGGATAGATCCTCCCTCATAGATAGCCTTTCCTCTCCATGGGAAAATTCTTTGACTACGAGTCATAAACAAACTTGTCTTTTACTAAGCTCCTTTGTAGACCGTCACAGTTATGCAGATCCAAAGAGAATAGTAAGATGTATGGTACAAATGTTCAATTATCTTTAGCACGTACGACCACAGGGTGTGGAGAACAGGGCTTCCCGTCCGCTCAGCCGTACTTAAGCCACACGCCGGCAGGTTAGTAGTTGGGTGGGTGACCACCAGCGAATCCCTGCTGTTGTACGTTTTTTTGTTTTTGTTAATTTTTACGCTTTAGAGACAAAATCAAGCCCCGCTTGCTTTCTGTCCTTCTGTTTTGAAATATGCCGTTGATTAACCCGGTTAATCCATCCATTTGGCGATATATTGATACGCCATGAAGGTATATTGCCTCCAAACCAGGCTTGTATATAAGTCTTTGCCTTCACTACCAAGTATGCCAATAACACCCATCCAGCGGCATTAATACACTCAATTGAAGTTATCCATTCCCGATTATCAGGCTGTATAAGAAAGGGCCTTCCCTCACAGGATGAACGTGTCACTACCTTAGCAGTAGCTACCAGGCCCATGGCGAAGCCTGTTTCATCAAAATTGTAGATTGTCACGGACTGTGACCAGTGTGACGGTCTACAAAGGAGCCTAGTAAAAGATTAGTTTGTTTATGACTCGTAGTCAAGGAATTTTCCCATGGAGAAGAAAGGCTATCTATGAGGGAGGATCTATCCTCTATGTACTACCGGAGGGTCCTCCATATCAGGAAGTTCGTATCGGGAAGTCCTTGGCTCAGGAGGTGACAATAACCAGATCCTTTAGATTATTAGTGTGGGTAGAATTGCTGCTTGACCTCCACATGCTTCCATATAAGGCGTCCACTCTTGCTGTTTCATTGAATAGCGGTAGACTCTATCAGAGATGCAGATTTATAAAAAATCGGTAAATACTGGCTCAAGAAACACTTTATTCCTTATATTAAGGACCGGAGAACAGGTCAATATAGCCTCTTACTCCTTGACGGACATGACTCCGATTTAATACCTCAATTTGATAATATATGTCGTTAATATGATATTATACCGATCTGCATGCCCGCTAATTCCTCTCATCTCTGTCAACCGTTGGATATTGTAAGGCACCGGGCCGTTGACTTTACCACTGCACTACATGCCAAAAAGGCACAATGAATGACCAACAGGTCATTCAGTCAACGTACTATATAGGGACCCTGACAGATATAGCCTGCTATTCACCATTTAAAAAGGCCTACAGCAATCTTATTGAAAGGCTTGTACAAACAGGATATCATCATATTGATAAAGTTGACTTTCTTGATATCTATTTAGAAGCCCACGTCCAAGCCTTTAAGAAGGCCAATATCCAGAGTGCTTTCAAAGCCTCCGGAATTGTTCCTTTTGACCCGACAAAGGTTCTGGATAACCTCATCTTCTACGGAGAGGAGAGCCGGCGAAACAGCCAAGGAACTACTTCAACTATTACTAAAATGCCTTTAAATTTGAAGTAACTCAAGAAACATGAGTCAACAATCTCTCAATTACTTCAACAAGCGGATTCCCCGGCTTCGCCCATGCAAACAGCGTTATCATACATCTTTAAGGGAGCAGAGATTTGAATCGGGCGGTTCTCTTAGAGCATGAAAACCTTCAACTTCGTGAGACTGTTGAACGACGAAAAAGAACGCAGCAGCGCAATCAACCCCAGATGCATAGTCTGGATGGCTTCACAATTCAGGAAGCCCGTGAGGCCTTCGCCAACGCGCAGGCTGCGGAGGAAGCAGCTGGTAATACAGGACCTCTGGATAGTCAGCCACGTCGGCGGGCGCCGCCGCGGTGTAGTCAGTATCATGTTGTTGGACATATACGTACAAGATGCCCGAATCAAACTATCTACTCCCGGGCTTCTAAACAGTTTAACTTATATATGAAGAGCTTCATTTTTGGTGTAAGAATCATATAGGTATATACGCTGGCCCGCCAAGCCGGCCAAGGTGGCCGACTCGCTTACCGATTGTTACGTTAACTATATTAGTCATTTCATCTACATAACTAACCCGCATAAGCAAATTATGCATTTGATTGATCTATTGGTTCGTCTCTCACTATGACATAGGTACACCTATTTACATTCACTACTTCACTTTCTAATCTTCTGTCCCTCCTTCATTTCCTCCACCCTCCACATCTCTCTTCAACAGCGCTACACACGCTTCCATCTCCATCATGGATTACCTGACCTTTTTCAGCGACACTTGGGTCCACGAGTACGTCGATTTCGAAAGACCATATCCCTCCAGATGGGCGATCGTTGAACTCATATTCGAACACCCCCACCAACAAATCGGGCAATACGAGGATGAAACACTCGACCCCCCAACCCCGTCCTACTCCCAAGCGACTTTCCTCTGTCGCAGCGTGCGGGAGCCATCCCGCGAAGCCTTCCTCAGAGTATACATGCAAGTTCCGCACCTAGGCACCGAAAATGCATCTCATGCCATCCGGTCGGCACAGGCAGGTAGTCGCACTCATGATGACATCGAAGCTCTGGCCCTGTTTAGGGACAAGCGCGCAAAGCATCTCCCGAGATGTCTGGACGTCAAGGAAACGAAACAAGATGTTACTGGGCTGGTTCCGGGAGGATACATGTCTTATATGCTGTGGGAGAAGCTTCCTGGGGTTCGTCTCGATGATGAAATGTTTTGGTCCTTGGATAGGAATGAGCGGGATGGGGTGCGAGAGGCCTTTGAAGCTGCGTACAAGTAAGATCGGATGTCTTTTCTTACGATGTGTTCTATATGGATGCTCACCCTTTCTGGCCTATCATAGGGAGCTTTATGATCTTGGTCTGAAGCCCCTACATTGTGGCCTGGATCATCTGCTCTGGGATCAGAAGAATTGTACAGTGTGAGTCTCTGCTGTCGCTTTCGCCAACCCGACGTTACCGAGCTAATCACCCTTTCGAGTTATATCATTGGATTTAGGTTCACTATGCCAATGGTTCTGGATGATGCTTGGCATGAGACACTGTTCGCAGTGTGGGAGCTAGCCATTCCTCCAAAACCTGTCAAATGGTGGGAGGCGGATTGGGTACCTAAGGGGATCGAAGGCTGGAAACTTTGATGGTGGTAGGATTTGTTGGATGACCATGTATGTTCTCATATGGATCAAGGGCATGGATAGGTGCTAGGCTTTAATGGAAAATGGGATTGATTTGTCGAGTGGTATGCTCGAGATATAGGTGACTAGGAGCATCCAAGATTGTATGAACATCTAAGGAGTTGATAAACAAGTTAATTGAACAATTGGGGACACAAGGGTGTTACTTATGCTCCACGATGTTGTTTTTCTTTTTCCTAATACGGGCGGAGTCCGAGATGCGCGGGACCTGTTTCTGATTGCGCATCACACTACGGGGAGTGTTAATCGAACAGCCCTTATCAGGTTGAAAGGACAGCCATGCCCTGATCATGAAGGTAGTCTATAAAGGTGCTTGTATAGAATCTTTCACGTACTGAATTTAAGATACCTTCCTCTAGTAATTAAGTATTTGGGGTCTATCAGGGATTAGTTATCATTATTTATGATTAGAATGTAAACATTTCAAGTTATCAGATATTCAGCGTTTATATCTTTTGTTTTATATAATTTACGAGGATCGGGATAGCTAGAATATCAAGTAAAAGAGATAGTTAAATAGGTAGTATAATACCATTACGGCCCGGTTAACGTACCCCAACGTTACCATTTCCTATTTTCCCCGAAAATGAACAGGGGTCCCTGCTCCAAGGTGCATTGAAACAGGCACAATGGACAGAGCGGGGTTCATAATGGAATGGTGTATATATATAAGGCTCCCCCGTCACAGACCTGGTCTTTTAAATATCCCAGAATCCGAACCTTGTGCGTCTTCCCAAATATCCAGTCCCCCTAATCCGACCGACTATTAACTAAGACCCAGTACCGTATTCCAACACATCTAAGAACAAAATAACATGTCTACCCTCCAGTACTACAACTACCCCGGTGTCGGCACAACGAACAACCGCGAGTTCTCCTACTCCCAATCTGTGCGGGTCGGCGATATCGTCAAGTGCTCCGGCCAAGGTGGATGGGACGATGAGGGCAACATCGATGCGAATAACCTTCCCGGTCAAATCGAGAGAGCATTCCACAATGTCGAGAAGAACCTTCGGGATGCGGGACTGCGGGGATGGGAGGACGTGTACTCCGTGCGCAGCTACCACATCTCGCTCGCGGACTCGTTCGATTTAATGGTGCAGCAATTGAGGAAGGCTATGCCCAATCATCAGCCAATCTGGACCTGCGTGGGCGTGCGAGAACTGGGTATTCCTGGGATGATTGTGGAGATTGAGGTCGAGGCTAAGGCGACCTAGATGGGAATCACTCTTTCGATGTTACCTCAATAGTTGTTTCTAATCTCCCAAGTCATTAGGGGCCAATTGAAAGCTTTTTTATAATCAGAAATCCGAGTGCTCGCTCTGGGTTCGCGAGTCATGTTTGAGATGTATGACATTTCTCACACATAGATAGAATATATTGTTTTCTGTTCACAGGAGACGAGACTTCCTTGCCAGTCTGTCTGCTCAAATGAAACAGCCAAGAATTTACCCCTCTTTGACGCACATTGACTTATTCTGGAAGTTTGGAAGAGTGGTGTTCGGGCCACTCTAGCTCTCCTTATCAGTCGCACTTTCGACGCACGCATTGGACTATGGAGAGGGTCAGCCAATATCATTCAAGTCAGTACGGAGTAGTCTAACAGGAATTACCCCGCATTACCTACAACCAGTGACACCACGATTCGACAAGCCACCCCACTTCCTGATATCACAAGGAACGCACTACTAGTAGTGCTACCGGCACACCCCTCAGGCTACACACCTCTGCCAAAGCGCTCAGATCCCCTGTAAGAATCAAAGATAATACCCTCTCCGCCAGTAAAAGGAATTTAAGGCTATTCAAGAATCATGTCAGGTTAAGTTAAAAGTAGAAACGTAGGGCTCATCCACTAGGAAAGATCTTTTTTATCTCATCTAGAGCTACTTGGTTGTAAAAATATTAATGTTTACTATAGAAAAAGATACTAAGAGTTGTGAGTTGTTCGAGGACCGTAGTATACTGTTTACGATATAGTTTATTTCTATGTGAAATACAGCACATACGACCACAGGGTGTGGAGAACAGGGCTTCCCGTCCGCTCAGCCGTACTTAAGCCACACGCCGGCAGGTTAGTAGTTGGGTGGGTGACCACCAGCGAATCCCTGCTGTTGTATGTTTTTGTTTTTGTTTCATATAGTTCTTGATGAAAGCTATAGATAGTCGCGAGGTTCGCTCGATTGCCAAAAGCATCACTCGCTGAACGAATACCGAAAGATTCGCATTGAGAACTAGCGCAGGCTACCCTTAGAGATTTTCACTGACCAGTTCCGAGTAACAATGACACGATACCGCGCCTTAGTGAGTGGGTCATCGGACGAAATAAGCTTCCCGCTGAAGCACTGTATGAGCACCACTTGATTTGGCTCGGACGACAGCTCCTAATCTTAAAATTTTGTCCGAGATAGTTCCTTTGCTATGTCCATCTAATGGACTACAAAAAGCAAAATTGAGAATATATGAACCCTCCAAGTTTTCTATTCACATAACCTCATTCATTCTCGTATTCCTTACATAATTGCTGCATTTCTCTCAAAATATTCGCGCAAACAATTGAGATTATTGATGTCACCGGTAACACAGACCGCACGATAGTTAGCGAATTACTATCCTTATCTACGGATTTTGTACGCTGCCTATCTTGCTTCTGCTTTCTAACTTCTCTAATTCATTTGATACTTATAGAAAATTACTTCTTTCACCCGAGAGTCCTCCATCGATAGCCAAAAAAAATCAAACTTTCAAAGCGAAAGGTATTCGTATCGTTAGCTACAATCTAGACGGACCCTGTTAAAAGCTTATTAGCCAGCTAAAAGATATTGATACCCTTATCTCTTGCATAACCTGGGAGCATCTTAGCTTGCAACTTCCTTGGATCGAAGCAGCGAAGGAAGCTGGAGTAAACCGTTTTATTCCTTCGGAATAGGTAAGATCATGTCCTAAGGGTGTCCACTGGATCAAAGATCATGTATGTATTTATTCAAGTGCTGCAAACGACATATAAACTGACAACGGCTTGCAGAAAATTGAGATCTTCGGCGCAATCTAACGCGCACGTCTCCCATATACTATTATCGATGTCGGCTGTTGGTACTCGATCTTTAGTCTCGTCCGAGAGATCAGATAAAGCCTATATGCGCTACATCGACTACCGCATTGTAGCGGATGGCGCAGTACATTTCCCCACAGGTCGGACATAGTTTGATATGGGAATTGCTTGTCTCATGCAGCATAGTCTGTGCTTGGTCCTTGTCGGTGACGCTCCAAATACAGCTGAGTATGCACAAGTCGATCGATCCATCACCCTGAGTGATTCGGATCGACATATACCAAAGTTGACGGGGGGTTGGAGTGTTTCGTATGCACTAATAGGGAGGTCAAACTCACATCTTCTTCAGCTAGACGAAAATACAATTATGAACTTTTTATTTGTTACGCCCTAACCCAGCACATCATATGTGGACAAACCCCTTTCTCAGTCTCCGTCTTCCTATGCCATTACATTCTCTCTGGTATATTCCTTATTCATTTCCAAAGTACCTACCTCAATATGAACACGCAGATTCTTCTTGCTATTATTCCGTTGATGTGCACGGCGCTGGCCGACGGGAATCAAAACTATCAAGACATTTGCAAGGCCACTCCCCCCAAATCGCAGGAGAAAGTGGATGGAGTGTCGTTCAAATACACGTGCAATTCGGGCTGCGACACTGCAAATCTAGTCAAGATTTCGGGCAATTTTGACCATCCTGATGACTGTGCAAAAGAAATCGCCTCTTCCTCAGAAGAACTCATCACATGGGTGCCTTGGGGTGCGTGCTGGAAGTGCACGGCGCCTGGGACAGGACCGGTGTCGTATGACACCATAGTGATGGAGAAGGTCAAGAGTAGCCCTTTCTCTCCGCCTCCTTTGACCTGTGACGATAAGCTGCTTCAGTGTGAGGCCGATTTGAAGAAATGCCAGGGGAGCACAGGAAGCGGTTCTGGCAGCTCTGGTAGCACTGGTAGTGGCACTGGCGGTTCTGGAGGTAGCTCCAGTAGTGCAGGTAGTGGTGCAGGTAGCGGTTCTAACTCCAGATCTACGCCCACCTGTATGTCCCTTCCCTATCGTACAATTCGACAATAATAAGTCACTAACATAGCTTAGGTGGCAAGGCCTATAATCGTGGTGGTAATGACTGGGAAATCAACTGCAACAAGAGTAAGTAAGCCACAGGTCTCACAACTATACACCAACGACTAACCCCCGACGTCGTAGTTACTGGTGGTCCCAAGAAAATTAAGGAGCCCGGCAAAGGTCTGCAGGAGTGTATCGATAAGTGTATTGCTAAAGGGAAGGACTGCGACACTGTCGGCTATTTCAAAAGGATAAACCAGTGCATGTTATTCTCCGGGACTCCAGCGGTGACGAAGAACAATTTAGACGTGGATGCAGCAGTGAAGAAATAGGTGGCTTGGACCCCAATTCCCCTCTGCGAGCGATATAGACCAGGCAGAGTAGGAACTGCTTTCTTCTGAAAGAAATGATTGTACGGGGAATATGTTTCTTTGTTCCTTTATACTCTGTCATAAGCGTACTTTAACCGACATTTACATGATGGAAGCGATCAATGATGACTGCATAATATTCTTGCCCAGTTTTAAGAGACATAATTGTAGGCCAATGATTCCTATGTTTCTATACTTCTAGGGATTGATGCCGCCGAGCTGCTCAGTCGGTTAGTTGCAGCTTAATCGGCGAGACTGAGATACGGATTCTATGACATACGGGGGTTTTGATTTACTTACCATACTGCTTCTACTTATGCCCTCTCTATTATTATGTTTTCGCGACTAACCAAGAGATGTTAGCAGGTTAGGACCTTGATCTACTCATTTGAACTCCCAGCTTGCTCTTTGGTGGCTCATTATTATTATTCTACTCGTACCTAGGGCGCTCTGTTTCAGAGGTCCTCGATCTCTGTGAAGAAGTGGCGATAGCGGTAATCGCCGGTTTGAAGCTAAGATTTGCCTTTTGAGGATCTATACTTTTTACCGTTGTAAGGGGCGCGGGTGTAACGGGCAGGCTAGAAGCTAGACTCGGGGAATATGGGATATTACAAGAGAGTAATTAAATGTCACACTAGAAGGATTCCTTGTAATTGAAGACCTCGCCGATATAGTGGGTCGCCCGCTGTACCCTAAGAAGCGCCTTGCCGGGCATCCGATTACTACATGTTGGTAGCCACTTTGCTGCTCTATGGTTATAAATGACTAACTTCTCACGCAGCATTCCCAACTTGAAAATCGTAATAAAAACTATGGAGACCGCTAACCATGAAAGTCTTGAGACCAAGGTGTCATTGCCTCAGACGGAACTCCCGGCATGGGAGGATGATCCAGCCAATGCGCAAAATTGGGATCTATCTAAAAAGGTTTACAACACTGCCGTGCCGTCAATCCTGTGTCTTCTAATGTGAGCATCAAAGTAGACCCACAATATGTCGTCGCAAGCGGATTTGAACTAACGTGTTGCATATAGATCATTCGGACTTGCTATCTACTCCCCATCGCACGAACATGTTCAAGCCGACTTTCACACCTCTGCCACCAAGTCACTTCTGCCATTCACCATGTACGTCTATGGACTGGCATTCGGGCCTATGATTGCTGCTCCCATCAGCGAGACTCATGGCCGGCGCTTTATCTACCTCGTTATGACCCCCTTCGCCCTGCTGTTTATTCTTGGAGCCGGGTTTTCCCAGAACTTGGGCAGCCTAGTGGTGTGCCGCCTGCTGGCGGGCCTGTTCATCTCGGCTCCGCTGGCTGTCGGCGCTGGGACTATCATGGACATGTGGAGCGGGCCAGCAGCTGGTCGTGGCGTGATAATCCTCATGACTATCGCCTTCATGGGACCAGCGCTTGGATCTTTGGTCGGCGGCTGGGTGGCACAATACAATACCTGGCGCTGGTCGCAGTGGACTACGCTGCTTTTGGGGGCTAGCTGCTGGGCCTTCAGCATGGGCGCGCAGGAGTCTTACGCATACCCAATCATCCGCCGTCGTGCCGTCAAACTAGGCCTGCCTGTCCCTCCCAATCCTATACCGGGAGGCCTGGCCGGCATTCAGATGATGCTGACTGTGACCCTGGCGCGACCGATCTACATGTTCTTGGCCGAGCCTATTGTCGCTTTGTGCTCTCTTTACTCCTCGCTCAATTTCTCCGTTCTATTTTGTTTTCTTGCCTGTATCCCCCTCATTTATACCGATGTCTACGGCTTTACTCCGGGTCAATGTGGACTGGTTTTTATCTCGCTGGCCCTGGGATGCGCCTTCGGATGCTTCGCTCTCCTCGTGATAGACCACTATACTAGGGCCCTCTATCGACGAAACCACACTGGAGGCCTCAGTCCCCCACCGCCGGAACTGGTCTTATGGGCCGCTATGCTGGCTAGTCCGTTTATGCCCGCCGCCTTGTTCTGGTTCGCGTGGACATCAACCTGTAATGTCCACTGGATGAGTAGCATCATCGCAGTCGGGCTCTTTGGTTGCTCCAATCTCATGATTTTTGTACGTGGCCTTGAATACCCGTTTCTAACCCTCAGCCCCTTCTCTGACTGCTTATCTTTCTTGTCATCGACATTTTTTTCATAGGTTTCAACTGCCCTCTATTTGACACGTGTGTACGGGGCCAAATTTGGGGCCTCCGCGTTGGCTGCAAATGGCCTGCTCCGTTACGGTATCGGTGGTTCTTTTCCTCTCTTCACCCTCGCTCGTACGTGCATCCAATTCTTTACATTGCCTTCGAGGTGCTCCGTAATTTCTAATTGTCCCCAGTGTACCATAACCTCGGCTATAGCTGGGCGTCAAGCTTACTGGGCTTCTTGGCAGTGTTCTTTGCGCCCTTGCCCTGGTTGTTCTTTCGATGGGGAAGTCATATCAGGGAGCGTAGTGCTTATACTTCGTGATGAATATGGGCTCAGAGAGAGGAAGGTATGATATTAAGGATAGCGTAAATAAGTAGCTCTGTGGTATCAATTGTGCAGCATGTGGTTACATATTTATGCGTGGCGATCTGTCATCTAGCCACCATGTTCTTCATTTCGGACATGGGCTTGATTTACTAAAGTCAATGCACTTCAATGACCTTTTCTGTTGTAATAATTGTACACTTATTTCTAGCATAACTAAATCATAACTGTGGTTATGTAATCTTATGCCCAAACACCGATTACGTCAATATTAATGACAGTGGGGCTTGTCCAGTAAATGGTGAGTCAGAATAATTTCTTCAAGTTATCTCGAAAGTCTGCATTTTCTGTTCATTATTCGCTTTTCTTCCTGTGCGTAAATTTCACATATCCATTTTTCGAATAGTGAAAATGTCTCCGTCTCACGCTCCATATGGGAAATGGAAAAGCCCGCTCACCGCGGAACGGTTGGCAACCGACAGCATTTCGCTGCATGAAGTAGTCGTCGATGTAAGGCTTCGCGTTTCCTCTAGCGTAGATGATGCATCTCTAATCTATGTAGGAGTCATCCGGTGCTATATACTCGGTTGAATGCCATCCCACCGAGGGTGGACGCTTTGCGATTATCCAACATCTCAATGAACAAAGCCGAGATGTTTTGCCGAAAGAATATAGTGCACATGCAACGGTGCAGGAGCTCGGAGGTGGTTCCATTTTAATGAGACCTGATGGAAAAGTTCTCTTTACGAATGAAACGACTTGCAACATCCATCTGTTGGATCCCGCGTCGAGCCAGGTTACTCTTGTTCATTCGGCAGTCGAGGGCATTCGGTATGCTGATTTCTGCAATCATCCTGTCCACACACAATGGATCCTTGCTATTAAAGAAGATCACCGGGATGCGACGCATGAGACTCAGGCAACTCACGTGCATAACACGTTGGTGGCGATTGACATTGTCTCCGACACCGAGGTCACCATTGCCCAAGGCGATGACTTCTACTCGCATCCTAAATTCGATCCGTCGGGCAAATATGTCTCATGGATTCAATGGACCCATCCTGACATGCCATGGACAGGAACCGTGCTTTACGTCGCTGAGTGGGCAGATGGAGCTCTGAAAAATGTGACTAAGGTGGCTGGGAAATACCAGGAGGAGAGCATTGCCCAGCCGCGATGGGGCTTGGATGGAGCACTGTACTTTGCAAGCGATCAGACAGGATATTTGCAGCTATACTCATACAACGTGCATGATGCTTCTGTGCGCTATCTATCCCTCGAGGGTCTAGAAAACGCAGACTTTGCGGCTGCTGAGTGGGAGTTGGGAAGGTAACTCCTGCGTCATTCGCCATTTGATAAATCAAACTGACTCTCACAGTTCCACATATTTCTTACTCGATGAAAAGACCATGGTCGCGACGGCAATCACTCATGCCACCAGTGAGGTTGTTCTTATCGACATTCCCACGTTGTCGGTCCGAAGCCTGGGACTTCCATACGTTGACATTGGGGTTCGCGCCAATGGGATTTTTCGAGCTTCGTCCAGCTCCTTCGTTGTCGTCGGCGCTTCCAGAACTTCTCCTCAGGAACTAGCTTTGGTTTCACTCGCTCCTTCATTCGAAGCGAAAGCAACCGTTCTGACGTCGACTGCATCATTCGATCTGGCGCCGGAATACGTCTCTATCGCCAGACAATACACCGCTCCTCAGAAATATGGCCCACTATGCGACGGAAACGTACACATGTTCTACTTCCCCCCTTGCAACCCTGAATTCAAGTGCGAGGACCGTCTTCCCCCTCTCCTGATGAACGTCCATGGAGGACCAAATGGATGCGTCACTCCTGCCCTGAACCTGGAAATTCAATATTGGACCACACGCGGGTTTGCTGTCTGCGCCCTCAACTACACTGGTTCCACCGGGTTCGGACGAGAATACCGAGAACGACTTTCCGGGTACTGGGGCCTAGTAGATACAGGCGATGCAGTCACCGCGGTAGAATTTCTAGCCAACGAAGAGCTGATTGACAGAGCCCGCGTGGGCATTTACGGTGGCAGCGCGGGTGGATACCTCACCCTGCAGGCTCTCCATATGTACCCAGATGTCTGGGCAGCGGGCGTGAGCTCCTACGGTATCAGCGATGTGAAGGCTCTACAGGCGGATTCATATAAGTTCGAGAGTCAGGATGTGGACCGAATATTGCTGAGCAAAACTGCGAAAGAGGATAGGGAGCAGGAGCTCACGAATCGCAGTCCGTGTCATTATGCCGATAAGATGAAGGCTCCGTTGCTCTTGTTGCAGGGAACCTCGGATATGGTAGTTCCTGTGGCACAGGCGAGAATGATGGCTAGCGCTATGCATGCGCATGGACGTGTCGCGGATGTAGTTGAATTCGAGGGTGAGGGCCATGGGTGGGTTGGTGAGAATACTATCTATGAGTCTTATAAGCGGAAGGAGGATTGGTGGTTACGCCACTTGACTTGATTTGAGAAGATGATATTTATATGCGATGTATAGATGAAGTGTTGTGTTCTTTAACTTGAATGTTCACATTCACAGGCTCTAGTTCATAAGCGAGGTGTTTTATGCAGTGCAATTTTTGTGGGACTTATTGAAATTGAGCATTATAGTCGAACAGAAATATATATCTTCTTCGATTAACTAACGTTACAGATCATTCTCCTATTCCCTGCAGCTAACAAAGAGTAAGCAAAATCATGAAAATAAAATAAACAACCACGGTCGGCGGCTGGAGACAAAATATATTTTCAACGTGTTTCTCCCTCTGTCCATGCACCACTCCTGTCATGCTACTACTACACACACCTAATTGTCTTGTTTTGAATGCACTTATTATGTTTCCTTGGCTTTTCCAGCAAAGCCTTCCTTTTCTTTCTCTCTCTTAGAATGTTCGGTCTAAAAATTAGACACCAAAAAAACGAAAAACATACAACAGCAGGGATTCGCTGGTGGTCACCCACCCAACTACTAACCTGCCGGCGTGTGGCTTAAGTACGGCTGAGCGGACGGGAAGCCCTGTTCTCCACACCCTGTGGTCGTATGTACTTAGCTGAGATGGATAACAATCCATATGATGCAAGAATGATAACATTGACAAACGGTCCTTGACATCGGAGTCCCCGACCGTTTGACTGAACTTTGAAGCTGATCGACACTCCCCAAGCACCTGATACATCGGATCTACACTGGACGGATCTACACTGCGAACAGGACCAGGAACAGGAATAGGAACAGGAACCGGACTCGGAGCATGGAATCAAAAACGTGGCCAGGAAGTAAAATCTTAATAGGAGAAGATGTGCAGATTCGTAAGACGCAGTTGGAGTCTGAATTTTGAGTTCAGTTGTGTGGATGGGGGAAAATCGGGTAAATCGTGGGATTTCGGGGCCGAGGTTCACCTATTTGGAATGACACAGAGTACGGAGTAAGTACGATGGCACCGAGGTTTCCTCGGTCTCTTCGGGTTCCCGAGGTAATTGGAGGACTGGAGACTTATAGGCATTTTTTGATGTTTCATGCGATATAAACGATGCTGAATAGTCTTCTATGCTGTATACCAAAAGTCACAGGGGCAGGCAGACGGGAACAGATCGTACGATATACCAGGGACTGAAGGTAGGAACACTGGCCACTCACAGCAACCAACCCATGGAGACCGACCTGGGCCCTAACTCTCAGAATTATTTCCAAGGCCTCTCAGCGTCCCCACCCGTCTCCATCATCGCCGAAGCTAAGGAACCATGTTGACATCCATGGCCGTGGCTTGACGCTAGTCCGGCCTAGGCAGCTCCGACGTCTTCGGGCTAGAGCAGTAGTAAGCTGTTAGCAATTTAGCACATTAGCAACGTTGCATTTCAACCCCTGCATTCGTCGTGCATGCATTTCGGCAGTTCCCAGACTGAAGATTACGTCGCATATACCGACCTCTTGGCGGCATTCTTGATTTTACGTATATCTCAAGTTGGCTGCACAGTGTAGAGGATAAGAGAAGTTGGGAAATCGCTGTGGCTGTCAAATTGATCCGATCTGCCACTTCCAGAGATCGCAGCACAGAACGCAAAATGGTCGGGACCGTCGGGGCCGGGCCACCGGCACGCCCGTGGATCCGTTTCCACCGATCGAGTTGGAGCCTTGCTCTAGGGACGGACTAGGGTCGGCCGTTAGCGAAACCAGGCGCAATATTTCAGACACTCCGCGGTTGTCTTTAGTCATAATAATAAACCGTCATAAACCTCGGTCGAAAGAACTAGTAACATGGGTATAATTTGCTTTAATATAGGGCAAGGTTAGTGGTTGTAGCTATGTAACTCCGAACATGGATGGTATTCCTGCTGAGTGTACTCCAAGTAATATCGACGCCATAATGCCAAGTGAACACCCACAATTTAATAACAATCTAATTATCAATCCATCCGTATTAACTCATTAACTCCAACCGACCAATCCGTCTATGTGTATAAATAATGTATATTGGCGTATATATGTAGCTGGCTAGATCGCAAATGATCTACCAGCTCTCATGAACCCGCTGCGGCTGTGGTTCGCCGCTATTATGGCTGCTTCGTCGATCCTCAGTGGTAACCTCCACGCGGTTCGAAACGACAATGCCTCCTGGTCCAGCAGCCTGGTCTCCATGTCCAGGCGCTTGGCCAGCTTCGGCCACAGCGGCGCTGTCAAATGCCTTGAGATTCTGCATCTTCACGTCCTCCGCCATCATGCGTTCTTCGCTCTCAGTGAACGTTAAGTCCATGGTTATCGGGTGTCCGCTGCCCGGTCCGCGCTTGTTACTTCGAGTATGCGATTCCCCATAGGTGCCACCTCCGATGGTCTTGAAGCCGCCCGACGGTGTCTTGTACGTTTGTCCAGTGGAGGCGAACGCGCTGCCGAAGGCCTTGTTGAGCCAGAGACGCAGGATGTGGAAGATCATGGGCAGGTTGGTGGTGATTACGGCCGCGAAGGCTTCACGCGTGCCCCATGCTGCGCTGAGTTGGCCGCCGTTGATCGGTTCCTATTGATGAAGTCGATGAGTTAGGGCTTGAATCGTGCAGGTGACCGCGGGGTGGATGGCGATGGTTACTCACCACTAACACAAAGACACTTTTGAGCGTCGCGCAGACAAGCGTGAACACTCCCGTGCTGAGCACAATCGTTGAGGCGATCTTTTTAATCAACTTTAGACTCGATTTCCAGAGCATGGGAATCGGAATGAATATCAGGTATAAGTCGGTGGAGACGTTTGCGGCGAAGGATACCCAGATGATGGGCTTGGATACGGCGGCTTGGCAGATCTCTACATTCGACGAGAGAAATTAGCAGTTGAAGAGCGATGAGTCCTAGGGGGGTCACTTACCGCCGGGGTCGGGGTTTATTTGCCAGTATTTGTGAAATGGCCGACATGAACCCAGGATGGTGACGACGCTTGCGATGAAGGTGCTGATCACAAGTCCGAATCCGATATAGACGGGAACTCGATAGCGTTTCCCAAGACCGTCCTGTTTCCCCAGCGTCAGTTATCTTGAGACCCTGTGATATTTCGGCGGATGGTTATCGTACCGTGAGCCGAAGGAAGAAACACAGCATCGACAATTTCAGCGACCAGATCAGTGCCGAATATGTCGTCCATCCTGCGAGTTGAATCTTCGATCCAATAACCCTATATAGACACCACCCTGTATTAACGTTCGACCCTTTGGCGGTTGGTGATGACATCGTAAGATATACCTGTAACTGTATTCCGGATCGTCGACTGACAGCGCAGCCCGCTGCGCATCCGTCATTCCACTATTGGCAAGACCATTAGCGGCGGTGCCCACGCAGTATGCAAGGGCCGTTTGCGCGGTGTAGAATAACTGCAGGGATCAAGCATTAGCTTAGCAACATGCAGAGGCCGCTATTGAATCTTTAGGGAGACACGAACAACTCCGACCCACACGAGATAATCGTCCGCTCGTAGGTGTTTATATCCCACCGCATTTCCTCGCGCGTATGTTCTGAGCAAGGTTGAAGCAAGTCCAAACGCATACAATGTCCACGACTCCACGGCGGACTTGTGGAGGGCCGCCTGAACGGCGTCCTGCTCGGAAGCCCTAGCCGTTAAGTCGGACATGAAACCGGTCGACATAACTCCTCCGTATTCAATGACAGGGATGGTTTAGAAAGACATGTTGATGCAATGTACGTCTGGAAAGGTTCGAGATGGAAGGAAATAGGACGATAAAATTAAGTGCAATGGAATAAAAAATTTCTCACGTCTTCATCACACCACGGCCTAGCAACTTCGCACAGCCGTTTATTTAATTGCAAATGAATCAAGGAGGGACCGAGTGCCACATGTATACAGTCATTGCAGCCCCCGTCTATAATAAGACCAAGCAAAAAATAAGAAAGGTTAAAAAAAAGGACCAAATTTTGCGGTCGCCACAAGGTACAACTGCCGGCGCGATTGACCGAATCCTTCTCAGAGCAAAGTTGAAAATACCAGTCCATGGAGCGATTATTATTATGGAGATTGGAGAATGTTCTTGATTACTGATTAGCGTTCCAAAGTTGGTGGAGAGGGCTCGGTTAACGGAAAGTTTTTGGGGGCGACCGGTCCTGTTATCAGCACCCCATAGTCGCTGTCAAGGTTTGGGAGGGATTCCGAAGCCTCCGACTAGGTTAATTCCTCGACTTTGAATCCCCGTTGTTTGCATTTTTGGGAAAATCGCAATCCCCATTCCAGTTCTCTCGCGTGGCGAAGGATTCCTTAGCGTTAGGTAAACTAAAAGGTCCTACTCCGTGCAGCTAACGGGTTAGTTATCTTTTTAGTCGTTTGCTCCGGCTTGCAACCATTCCTGGTCGAAGGTGACCTTGGAGAGTGAATCGGGTGGGTATCCCAAGTTCTGGTACCCAATGGCGCCATCCGAGGTTGCAGAGTCTAATATATTGTGCTGGTGGAGAATCCATCCAACCAAAATTGAATTAGAAGATGCGCCCCAAGCACGCGGTCGCCGACCCATGCACCATTGCAAATGATAGCCTGCGTTAGGGCTGCCTTAGTCTGAGACAGGCTACGGAGAGGTCGGAGATTGGGACATCAGCCAATATCCGGGAAATTCAATTATAATAGCTACAAAGTACTTCGCATCCTTCACAACTCTCTCTACGCAACTCTCTTTAGTGGTGAGCAGGGATTCAGATCCAGCTGAATTACAGTTTTTTAAGGTGCTTCCCTCAGTGAAAACTTTCTTTCCTCCTTACATTCCTCCTGCAGCTGTGAAACTAGGGGCCAGTTGTGCGCGTGCCCTTCTTTTTGGATCTTCCATTTTACCTTTGCCTTCCTGCATCTTGTTCCACCGTGATATAACAAAACTATCTTTGCTGGAGCCAATATGCGTTTGCAAGTAGCCACCGCCGTCGCCGCGTGGGCTGTTACCTCGGCCTGCCAGAACCTGTGGACTCGCGATACCGATTACAAGGAGCTCAGCGAGAAGCTCTCATCCTCTGCTAAGGTTTACTATCCTGGATCGGACGAATTTAAGGATGCTTCCGTCCGGTGGTCGAATTTGGAGACTCCCACCGTGAACGTCGTCGTCGTTCCGGGCACGGAGAATGATGTCGTTGAGACGGTAAGCTTATCTTTCTTTTTCTATCCCCTGTCGATCAATCGATCTATCTTTGCCTCCAATTCAATTCTTTTCCCGCATGATCTATTTTCCACATATTCTGTTTCCCCGCATGTGGCGAACTCATCTCGGTTCCACCAGCTATACCCGGGTGACACAGCAAGAGCCAACTAACTTCGCAATTTAGGTGAAATTCGCCAACAAGAAGGAATTGCCCTTCCTGGCTTACAATGGCGCTCATGGAGCTATTACCACCCTGGGTCAGATGACCAGCGGTATCGAGATTTACCTGAACCAGCTCAGCGGCGTCGACGTTGCCGATGATGGCAAGACGGTTACCATTGCCGGTGGAACCAAGTCCAAGCTGGTGACTGACACGCTTTGGGATGCCGGAAAGCAGACCGGTAAGTCTACCTTGAGTTACCTAAGTATCTTCGAAATAAATGGATCAGTAGATGCTAATTTACTCCAGTAACTGGAACCTGCGAATGTGTCAGCTTCCTTGGTCCCGCGCTGGGTGGCGGTCACGGCTGGCTTCAGGGCCACCACGGTCTAATTGCTGATCAGTTCGAGTCGATGAACATCGTGCTTGCCAACGGCACTTTGGCTACCCTGGACTCCAGCTCCGAGCTCTGGTGGGCCGTCAAGGGTGCCGGCCACAACTTCGGCATCGTTACCTCTGTCACCTCCAAGGTCTTCGACATCGAGCACAGCGACTGGGCCATCGAGACCATCACCTTCAGCGGCGACAAGGTCGAGCAGGTCTACGAGGCTGCTAACACGTACCTTCTGAAGAACGGCAGCCAGCCCGCCGACGTCATTAACTGGTCGTACTGGCTTAATAACCCCGATGCTGATGCTAGCAACGTGAGTTCCCCCTCCTGCTATCCGCTTTTCCTCCCATTGTCTAACGGTAACTCCTAGCCCGTCATCATTATGTACATCATTCAAGAGGGCGTCAAGACCGTCGACTCCGCCTACACCACTCCCTTCCACGAGCTGAGCCCCATCTCCACCGTACGCCAGAGCGGCACCTACAAAGACCTCGCCGCCTGGACCAACATCGCCTTGGACTCCGTGCCCTGCCAGAATGCTGGAACTATCAACCCCCGCTGGCCCAACTACCTCGAAAAGTACGACCCGGCTGCTCAGAAGACGGCCTACGATGTCTTCGCCGAAAATGTCCGTGGTTCCTCCGCCTTCAACGGCTCCATCTTCATGTTCGAGGGCTACTCCATGGGAGGTGTGAAGGCCATCGACGCCGAGAGCACCGCCTTCGCTTTCCGCGACGAGAACATCCTCTCCGCCCCCCTGATCACCTACAAGCCTGATGGCGCCGAGTTGGACCAGAAGGCCACCAAGCTGGGAACCCAGCTCCGTCAGATCCTGCAGGATGCTAGTGGCACCGAGAATGTCCGCGCGTACGTCAATTATGCGTTTGGTGACGAGGGCGCCGAGGGCTGGTATGGCAGTGAGAGCTGGAGACAGAGCCGCCTGCAGAGCTTGAAGACGAAGTATGATCCTAATGGCATGTTCAGCTTCTACGCGCCGATTGCTTAGATCGACCGGCCATGGCTGATTTGTACGATTGTTCTTTTGTGATGTGTAAATATGATTGTACCTGATGCTAAGGATGCAGGAGATTTTTGAACCTGCTTGCAATTTACTATGTAGTAATGAATAATACCATGCTTATCAAGATGCTCTTTTTTTCCTTGTATCCCACGTTAAGATAACTGCCTGGACTACACTCTTTTTAATTGGCTTGGAAGATAAATCGGTACTGAATGATGGCGTTAGAAACCAATTGTGATCTGAATCTTTCGAATCGCTTAGAAATCGTGGGAGACTGTTCTTAGGTAGGTAGGTTAGCAGTCGTAGTTGATACCATGATTCTATTGTCTCTTGGGTCCGCGACCGACTACCACAGACTAGACTGGGAGCAGAAACGCTCCAACCTCGCCTCTTTTGGCCCCCTTGATTCGTTTGCATTGCTCTCCTTCGGTACACTGTGTCCCTTGATCTACGTCCGGGACTTGATCCTACATTCCCTTTACCACTGAGACGCTGTCGTGCTTGCCACGACACCCTAAGCCCGAGCAATAGTTCGGTGATGTTATCATAAACCACGATCCCCTCGTACTCGTGACACTCTTAGGATATGCGACCAGCATGTGTCCCGTCGACATCCGCCATGGACGACGCATCACTCAATTGGACGGACGAAGGTAGGTCGTGCCTCGTGCGATCGGCGTGATAAAAGGGGGGGGGGGGGGGGGTTACGGTAAACGGGACTTATCAGCGTGGTAAACCGGCCTATATGCAAGGGAGATGATGTTAGTCTCTTTTCTTCGTGTTTGAGGGTGGCGAGGGATGTTGCAAGATAGTCAGGTCAAGGGAACATACCAACATATACACTGCGAAACAAGATGGCACATCATGGTCGCTGAGACTGTGAGGGAGCATGATATTAAGCGCGACCATGCAATGACCAGTGTAGGTAGTGCTGCCTGTCGTTCTAGGCGAGAATCTCGGAGAACCTATTGATCCGGATGCCATCCCACCGCCTACTTTGAAGGGTCGAAACAGATAAGATAAGCGATAAGACAAGGTTTACGATTGTTTTGATTCTCGTGATGGTTTAGAATTTAGATGCCGATGATCTGATATACGAGATGTGGGGGACACATCGACGTTTTGGGGGCTGTTGGTTGCTTGTTTTGGTTAAACATTAAGAAACAATCAACTGATTACATGGAAAAGGCAAGGCCGTGTGCACTGATCCCTCTCGCGCGTCGGAAAATATACCCACTAACTAGTTACCTCTAGGAGGAGCAGTCAGCAGAGATTCACAGGAGCCTTTAAGGCGAAGGATCATTTTCGAATGGGTAAGGACTAGCATTGCTCGGATAGAACGCTCGTTCAGTCATCTACCCAGCGTTGGGTGTGTCTTTATAGGACCCTTTCTAATGGGGCAGGTACCATTGTATCACTAACATGACTCCAAAGTTTTGAAAGTAGACTCGATGAATGAATAATACGCGGAAGAAAGGTTGTTTGATCTTATTTGAAATTTTGAATATCTTGTCCCCTGATCTTGGGGCTGACGGAGCGCAGCGAACGAAAGCTGGCCGTTCTCCCCGCCGCGCTAATTGCGATCGGCGCCCCCAAGATGAATCGAGTCTCGGTCGTTGGCCCTTCAAAGCCGTTCTTTGGACAGTCCAAGGTTAACCCGACAGGGACTGAATGCCATGAACACGGTTCCCTCTTACTCAGTACCGTGAGAAACGTGGAAAACCCTGCATGGGAACATGCCACGTTCTATGCCCTGGTCACCAGGACGAAGGCAACTAAAGCGGTCCCCACTGCACTAAATGGCTACTGCCGTACTTAAGCTGCACGATGGCAGCACCATCGCGAGCGAAGTCGACCGTTCGACCATTCAGCTTCGGTCGTCCTGCTGACTGCTTCTAGTTAGGCCGTATGGTCCGATAGCCTTGTGTTGATCACTCGCCAATTAGGCCACGATGGGCAAGGCTATCAAGAACCACCGGCAATCTTTCTCTTGAAACTAGAAAGTCGCAGGATCTTCATTTTTCGCCCTCCCTTACGTTCTGAATTCTTACACCTTGCGGAGCAAGTCTTGTCCATGTTGCGGACACCATCGCCCCCAACGCCACTTCCACTATGACAACGATGACAGCCACCGCGAGCGAAACACAAAAATCGCACCTTCCCCTGACGACGACGTTCACACCACCGGCTTCATGTATCAGTAACGTTTGGCTCGCTAGCACTAGCGGAAAGACATGGATGAACCTGGGCCCGATAAACCACACGGAGTGTCTTCCATCGGGGTGGTCAAAATCAGATTATTATTCCCCGGGGATATGTCCGACGGGTTATGCGATTGCTGCCAGTGGCATCGTGATTGATGGACCTAAGACCGAGACTGCAGCGACCTGCTGCCCAACGTAAGTCTATCCACACGCCCAGAAAAAATCAAGGGGAGAGAGAATACTTACGGTCGTGAACTAACATGCCCGGCCGTTCTCAGATTTGGTAATAACAAATATGCGACCCGAGCGGCAGAATCGTCTACGATATCCGAATTAATAGACTGCACATGGCAACCAGGCCCCGACGTTACGACCGAGTTCAAGTACACCTGGACGGATGACGAGGGACGGACGTCCACCACGGACAGCGCGCTGAGCAGCAACGGCCACCTCAATGCATACGGCGTCTACATCCGATGGCAGTCGAGGGATTTCAGCACACCCCCAGCCACGACGCCGGTCTCGAACACCGCTACAACCACCACTGCTGCCGCTACATCCTCGCAAACTTCCACAGAACCATCGGGATCGTCGGAACTTTCGGCCGGGGCCAAAGCGGGTATCGGCGTCGGAGTCGCCGTGGGGGCCATTTTAGCGATTATGGCCCTAGCGCTGTTCTTTATTCGGCGACGAAGAGCCCGACCGGCGCAGTACCAACAGAGCCACGACGAAACAGGTGCAGCGGGATCAGTATACTACCCACCAACCGAGCTGCCAACAGGAGATCCAAGGGAATCCACGAAATACGCTGTCGAGCTGCCTGCTGGAACAGACATGCCTGAATTGGACGGGTCCAGAAAATGAACAGATGAATATTCTTTGACGATGAGACTTTTAAATACCATGGTTCAGCGCGTTTGATTTTCATGCTTAACGGCATACCAGTCGGCCTCTGGAGGAGTGCTGGATTCTTCGGAACTTCTAATACTAATTTCCATCTTATATCGATCTATATAACCAACTTTTGAGCGTGGGCCTGGCGCAGGCCGTTCGATTTAATAGAAATTTAACTTGTCCATACGTTCTGGATAATGGAAAGTAGACATCCTGTTAATTCAATTGTCTTCGAATAATGTAAGACCCTGCACGTAACGAACCGTAGTGATATAGGTTGGTATTTGTGGTGGTGATGTTCCTCCTTAGTCCGCGCGCTATACATCACATGGTTTAATAGTCAAGAATCAGTACTACTGAATACTACTGCGCGCATAAGAATTAAATTTTATTCTGACTTGGACACGGCGGAAACTAGTAAAAGTTGGGGAAACCCCCATAGACCGAGACATTGTTAAGACAGAGGTTTCTTTGCCTTTGTCGATGTGTAAATTCAAATACAAGTAGATTCTTTTTTTGTTTTCAGTTTTCGGTTTTCGGTGTTTCTTTTTCTTCAAACAACAGCTAGTCCCACACCGGGCAGGACAACTTATTCCGGAAGCAGTTGTCGGCAGACGTGGAGGTCATATTTCTGCAGATAGGAGTATAATACGTTAACGGATTTCTTTCTCTCTTCCTTTTTTTTTTGGTTTGCAGTATTTGTTTGGTTGATTGGAACCAAGCGATGGGGAGTTTGATTAAAGCAAGAGCCTTTGATAAGGGCTTTTCGTCATTTGAAGTTAACTCAGCTTCTAAAGCAAGTGACCCTGTCAATGGTCTAGACACCGAAGCGTTCAAAGACAGTAGTCATCATTCCCAGCACCGCGCATCCATTCGAGCAGTACTTCGTGTATTCACTTTGTCCAATAATATCATCGCAGTACCAAAACACATGCCACCAATCATCGCAATGCTCACCACCCACGTACTTGCAACCTTCTATCAGGACACGGTCTGTGTAACGCCAACCTGTATGTTATTAACATTTGGATATATCATGATCTCAAACCACGTACCATCACCATAGTGGTTTAGTGCTTTTCCACAGTAATGCAACCCAGTGCGACACTTCCAAGCTGTTGTGCCTTGAAGAAGGGTTGCTCCCACAAGTAAAAAAACAGCAAGCTTCATGGCGTTAGAGTGCAGTTCGTAATTGATATCGGGTAAAGATTATGTGAAACGAAGGGTTGAATGTAGTAAATGAAGAGCATAATCTGCTAAGGAGATTCGTAGATAAGATAGTGGGATTTAAGCACCAGCAAAAGGCATTAAATCATAGCTCAGGCTTGCTGCAGGTCTTAGCAAATATGTAGACCCTTTGCGCCAAATTACGGTGAAGATATGTAGCCCCGAGAACGTCCCTCTGGTTCCTTACTCAAGGTATACACGGTTATATCGGAAGATGGGAGCCATAATATAGTCGGACAACGAAACGGCGCGATGGCGCCGGTACATCATGATAGTTAATAAATGCTCCTAAAATAACCTATATGATCGAATAACCGTTTTCTTTCTCTCTTCTTGTAGGAAGGGATAGTTTGGCTGCCTAATAAAGGGATGTATCTTGGAGACTAGACGTAAAGAAGAGAAAGAGTGGAGTTGATAACGTCGGCTGATGGCACGGCCCGGAAGTAAGGCGGCAGAGGCCGTTAGGAATGTTAAGGCATGGTAGTGTTGAATCCGCCATACCTACCGCACCGCCTGTATCTGGTCTGGTGACTCTAGCGTGGCCCCAGAATAAATGAGTGTTTCCGCAATCGCCATTGGGGTGTCTTTATCTCATCCATGGGTACTATATTCGCTGCAACTGCTGCGCCGGCGCTGCAGACCACCAGTATACGCACCGTGCAAAATCCCAAATGCTATGGCGATTACGCAACCTACTGTGACGGCGAATTTAAGTATTTTCTTCGTTTAAAATACATCTGTTCTCGTTTAGCAACTGTTTCTTTGGGAGTTGGCGCAATCCTGGCCATAGTGCTCCTATTGCATCTCCGAAGGAAATCGGGCTTGTTTACTGACCCGCGCGGCTTGGCTGGCATTGCGGCAATGGCAGCTCGGTCACCAATCCCAGCAGACTTTGAGGATATGGATAGTGACATTCACGATGATATCCATGATAAGATTCAAAACCGACGATACATTTTACAGGATCATCGTCTTACGCTGCTTGGCGAAGGTGAAATCAAGCAGAAAGCTGTAACAGATACCTCCAAGTCACGATTTCAACGAACTCAATACAAGCTCAATATTGCTGAAAAGTAGAGGTCATCCAGTGAACATTAATTGCCAGCATTGGTAACGAATTCTGACTTGTCCAACCATCAAGAGATAGCGCGATTGACGAAGCTAAAGACATCAAGATTCGAAGCTCATTATCAAGAGCATCAAGCCGAAGATATAATCGGCGTGAAACAGTATCCGCACTTAGTACAAAGTCCTGAAAGCCTGCAGATCTCAGCATAGCCTTAAATGAAGGTTGTTTAACGCATGTAAACGGCTGGCAGGTCGATACAATCCAATTTAGGGCAGCTTCTTCGAATAGGAGCTTCTTTTCCTTAGAAATCCATGAGCTTAATGGTCTTTGGCACTCTGGATGACCGTCCTGAAAGAGCTTGTGTGTTTGCTGCAGATACTATTTTAATGCTATAGTTAAAGATCGCAGTTTAGATACAAATCGAAAGAATCGACAGCTAGATAGCAATACAATACATTGGTATTTAAATTCGAACCGCTCCTTATTTCCTAATCTCCAGGTACCAGATTCAGGTATTGTACGGTAATATTTCTATACCCAGTTCCGCTCTTTCGACTTACTCTCATCTTTCTGCTTGATTTTAACCCTCTCAACCCCGTATTCGACCTGAGAGATTGATTGTGATGAGCATATGTCCGTATCAAAGTTCGATAACATCGCTGGAAGCCGTAGGGAACATTGAAATCGGAGGAGTCGGTAACTTAGAAACGGGCTGGACCGCTCTCTTCTTTCGAGGGGGCGGGAGTGTGTTACCTCCTGAAGCCAGGGAGCTTCCCCGTACGGAGGAACGTTCCTCCGGAACGTTCTGGTTAGTTAGTATAGGATCAAGGGATCCTCTGCGGTAGGAATCCAGGAACATTCCTAGGTATCCTGCAAGAATTCCTGCCTGAGGCAAAGCCCCAGGCAGTATATAGAGCCCCTGGATTCTCTCTCCTAGAGAGCCTTTCCTCGCCATGGGAAAATTCCTTGACTACGAGTCATAAACAAACTTGTCTTTTACTAAGCTCCTTTGTAGACCGTCACAGAGTGATACATCCTCTGCAAGGAAGCTGTATTTATTAAGTGCTACATAATTGCGTTTATTCTTTCTAGTATTAGGACAGTCGAATGTTGTAGCAAGTAGAGAAGTCATTTAACGTTTCATTAGTATATCAAGCTTGTATCTTGCTTGATTGCTTACTCTGGAGTACCCAGAAGTGATAATTTCTGATAGCTTTTTTTTACTTCGATTCGAATGTTGTTCTAATTAAAAGCACATAAGCGCGGAAATGCGTTCTTGTAGAATCTCCGCTAACCCGATTAGACGATCTATTTACTCTACATTGAATAAAAATATGCAACTATTGATATTTTGGCTCTATATTGATGTGTTACGTGTATCTCGAGGTAATCTATGAAATAATCTAAATTTGAAGCGAAATCGACTATAAATAAGGTTGTGTTCTTATTGAGTAAATTTAGAGGTAAAGAATATATATTATATGCATGGACGTAGCTGGCAAAAAATTATATTTATTGATACTGCCCGACTTGATTTACCGCCTTCCTAATGAGGATTTAATACAGAAAGTTCGCAAACATCGAATCGAATTCGAATCGGTCATGAATTCGAATTCGTACGAATCGATATTTTCAATAGTAATTCGATTCGTGCGGAGCGGTACCTGGAGAACATCCAAGGGCACATAATGCATCGATACGCCGACCCTAGTATCCCCAAGCGTCGGTGGAAGAAGGGTGTGTGTTTGCAAGATATGCGAGCTTGACTTTGGGTGCGGGCAACTCCGGGGAAGCAGCCTCTCTGGAATGACAAATTCAAACCCAACTCGGCACTCTTCACCTCCTTTTAAAATCCGAGAATTTGTTTTATCGATCTTTTCGAGGGCCTGGTGGAGTGAAAGGAAGCATTGTTGGACAGCAGGGTATCCGCGCCCTAAATCTCTCGAAATATCAACCTGCGACCAGCCTACCAAATAATCAGCCTCCTGTCGTTCACCCAAACAAGCGGCTTGAGATACCCTGGAGTGATATTTCTAACCGCCCGAGTGCAGTATCATCTCGAGGGACAATTGACACTGAGCCTGCAATGAGATCCCTAGTTGTGTAGGGTCTGTCAATTCCGGATTCGTGACTGTCAAGCTGAATGTGAACATTTGAGTGTGAGGTTTTTGCAAAGATCGATAGTGGTGGCATTTCCCTTTTAACTTAAGACTATGGATGAAATTGTTACAAAGTGGACAAGCTGGGAGAGAAGAGAGAAATATATTCAAACATGTGTTTGTTCATCCCGAGTGAAGTACAAGCAGCCCTTTAGCAGTTCTTGCGGCCGTGACTGCCAATAGTAAGCCTAAATTAGTCAGATGGTGAGGCTGGGGCAATTTGAGAGCCAGGTCTCTGCCACCATGTGCCTTGTGACATTCCATGGGCTCTCGGCACTTTAATAAATTCCCGTGATTGGCTATATTGGTTCTATTGAGAACGGCCCAATTATATCAAACATTGATAGTACAGTGTTGCAACTGGTTCCACATGGGCTCAGGGGCCCATGCCATGTTACCGGACACTAGGGCCGGTGCTGAATTATCTTGCCACTACCCTGGTTAATTCAGGACAAGGGTACAAACATGAGCAACAAAACTCAGGGCGAAGAAAGAAAAATGAAATCATGGCATCATGGCTTATACAGTACTCAGCACAACTTTTTAATGGCAAAGTATATGGCTGAGATGAGGAAAGATACAGTAAAACAGAAACGTTGTACTGATCAAACAGTCGCGTCGAAACCTTTCCTCTCGGACTTTGCATGAGGAAGGACTATACTAATGGCCAACTACGCTGTCATGAACAAATGCTTTCTATCCTGCGGGATTCCACTGGTGCGTTACGCTGGCGGGCTCTCCAAACAATAATTATATTATCGTCTGTACTTAGAAGGCTCTGCTTTAGTTTGATGCTGATTCATGCAATTTATCTCTGGAACCATCGAAAGCCACTTGTGATTGGCTGGGTCGCATGTTAGAGGAGAGTGCCCGTGGTGCCTTGGGGACCCACTCTCCGGACAATGACGCATGACACTTTGAGCCCTAGACTCGAGAACTTTTTAATGGCGTTGCTCAGGGGTTCTCGGATATTCGCAATCTCATATCCTGTGTTTAACGAGTGTTTCAATTCAATTCCGTGAAGATTCCAATACACGCAAAATGCGTCGATCTAGTCGTCTGGCCCCCCAAGAGACTCCGGAATCAAACGTTGAGCTGGAAGCTGTTCCAGAGAACTCTACAAATGAAGGGGTTAGTTTGGCTTTCCCCGAAGGTGGACGGGAGGCATGGATTTGCTTGCTGGGATCAGCTTTGATGATGTTTCCTTCATTTGGCTTTCAGACGGCAGGTAAGCAACATGAATATCCCTGCAGTCATTCGATCGACAGGATTGCTGACATGGCATAGTCGGATCGGTGCAGGATTATATAGCCACTCATCAGTTATCTAACTATGGTGATCGCGATGTTGGTTGGATCACCGCCGTCATGGTGTTTCTGACATTATTTCTCGGCGTGCAAGTTGGGCCGCTTTTCGACCGCTATGGACCCAGAGTATTGTTGACCTGCGGATCACTGGCGAATTTTGTCTCCTATATTCTCCTTGCAGAATGCTCACTATATTGGCACTTTATGCTATGCCTCGGGGTGCTTTGTGGAATCTCCTCTGCGGTCATCACGACAGTTTCGATTGCAGTCCTGAGCCATTGGTTCAACCGCCGACGGGCGCTGGCGTCCGGAATATGCATGGGAGGCTCGTCGGCCGGTGGTGCCATTATCCCGTTAATGCTACGAACACTATTTGATAAGTATGGCTGGGCCTGGGCTATTCTGATAGTCGCTTTTATGGCCTTAGGATGCTACATAGTTGGCATTCTCCTTATCCGAGGACGTCTTCCCGCCGGCCAAAAGAGTAGAGTGACCATCGATCTTAGGGCCTTCAAATCTCCACGTCTCTGCTTCCTCGCAATCGCCGTCTTCTCCTTCGAGTTCATTATATTTGGATGCGCCGCGTTGCTACCCTCTTATGTCCGGTACAGCGGGTTCTCATTGGATGTGCAATTCTATTCCCTGACTGTCCTGAATAGCATGAGTCTTCTAGGCAGAGTTCTCCCCGGCTTTGCTGCCGATCAAGTCGGTCGGTTTAACATCCTCCTGGTTCTGGTAATCATAACCATGATTATTATGGCGGGGGTATGGTTGCCATATGGATCTCATAACGAAGGCACTCTCTACGCCGTTGTGGCAATTTTCGGGTTTGGTTCTGGTGGGTGGCTCTCGTTGGCACCTGTCTGTGCCGGCCAGCTGTGCGACACTAAAGACTATGGCAAATTTTACGGGACTGTTTATTCGGTTGCGTCGTTCGGGGTTTTGATCACCGTTCCAATCGGGGGTCAGTTATTACAGGCGACCACGCCTCGGGTTCTAATCGGGTTCTATTCTGCGGTGTTACTCGCAGGATTAGTTAGTGTTGCCATGTCTCGTTGGGCTATTTTGGAATGGAGCTGGAAGTGGAAGGTTAAGGTATAGATTTTGGTGAAATTTTGGATAGAACTACGGCTGTTCTCACGGGTTGGTTGGATCTTTAGTTTGAAATGTTATTATGTATAAACTATCACATATACTACGAGAAGATTATTGGCCGAATCAGGGTGTTCCTGAAGAAAGCATATCTTACCCTAAAACAGCCTGTATCGACTACTCTAAGAACTAATTGGAAGAGCTTCGAATATCGATTTCTAGAAGCCTTTCAGCCTACACAGTATAACATTACTGAATCTGATATCGACCAGTATTTTGATACTCCTACAATCAGCACTGGTTTCGAAAGAAGCTAGAGCCAGACTGAGTTTATACTGAACTGGTAAAAGGCTAACAGACTTGAATTTACTTGTATAGCTAAGGTAGCCCAAGATTATCTTGCTATACCAGCAGCAGAGGTAGATATCGAGAGATTATTCAATAGTAGAAGAGATGTACTGGGAATTCGACGTTTCTCTATGAAAGGCAAGACTCTTAGGACGCTAATATGGCTGAAAGATGTTGAACGTTGGAAGTCTGAATAGTTAAATAGTTATAGTTTTTATAGCGTAGAATAAAAGTTATGAACCGTACCTAGAACACCCTTCGTGCGAATCCAATGGATGCAGTGGCCAGGGTTGTTAAGGTTATGGCTGTCTGCATGAGCAAACCCCTACTTGAATACTAGATATTAGTTCGCGAACCTGTTCGAAAATTCGTGCGGAGCGGTATCTCCAGGTCTCCTACTCCATCCGAGTTGTCTTATTCTCTCCTCAGAGGGCGGAGTCATCAGAAAAGCCCATATCAACAACTATACAACCAATTCGAGTGATTCCAAGAGTCTATGAAGCACCTCCCGTCGAATTATTTGGGGGTCTGCTATATTCCATATCAGAGGAGAATATTTTAAGACATGGATTGCTTCAAAACCAGCAAGGCCGGCTTTTTGTGTCTGCATCACAGCCTCGACCAATTCAATTACTCGGCGACAATTCGTCACAGAGAGGCGAAGTCACCACCACCGTACTAGTATGCCCCCAGTTTGTTCCAGATGACATAGAACTGCCGCCTGAATTTGAATCAATAACCACCAAGTTGGGCATCATAACCTTCTATGGTGCCAAGGCGTGGGAAGACCTACCTGAATTACTGCTTGGGGCACCCTCAATGCAACACAGCGGTCGAAGCCTACACTGGAGAAGTCTCTTGCTTTCTAAAATGTGCGTCAAGTCCGTGCCATGGAAGAAAAGCGAAGAGTCCTTCACCTCAAACTATTCAATGGACTCCAATGTACGGCCAGAAGAAGGGTCAGGTTCAAAAGCGTCATACTTAGCATCAATACTGATACCTATTGCAGCTCCAGATGTAGAAGGTCTTGTTCCCACCTTCCACTCATGTCTGATTTCTCGGATCTATCTACTTGATATATCGTTGTCTTATCGTGTGCCTGGGGCGAAGTTTCTCACGCGGCATACTCGTCTCCGTGTACCTATTCAAGTCATTCATTGATCAATTTCATTCAGTTCAGGCGACTTTGGATACTATTGTCTCTACCCCAGTGATCATTAGCTGTCCAGGGGTCAGCTAATCTTTGCTCTAAAGAAGATGACTATTTACCACATAACTTGACAAGACTCAACCACCTCTGAGGCAAGGAATTCTTACTTATTGTATTCTCGATACAGAACAGATTGGACTTTCTTTCTTTCTTTTTTTTACTAGAGACTCAACTTAGGTACAATGAAATAATAAATAAGTTGAATTCGATCCTAGATAAACCCAAGACGTCAGACTGAGAAGACGTATGTTTGGTGGATATATATCACCTCCCGCCCCATCTAGTCTTAATCGAACTCGATTTGAAGCTCCAAAAATATGAATAGATAGAATGAAATTTCAATCTTCTCTTGCCAGATACAGTGTATGAGAGAGAGCACTCAACAAAAAGACAAAAAGACAAAAAGGAAAAAGAAATGACAAGAGTGGGATTCGAACCCACGCCATCGTTAGATGAGTAGGAAACTCGGAAGAGTTGTTAGTTAAGGTAACACCTTAACCTACCGCCTTGGACCGCTCGGCCATCTTGCCGGTTGATAAATACTAGGCGAAAACTCTGATATTATAATCAGAGCTTCAGACCCCAGCATCCACGGCAAAAGAGAAATCAACAAGCCTCACCGCCGTCCACATTTCTCTATCTGAGGTATGCGTTGGCGGTAGAGCTGTTAACGATACGATATCGGCACTGTTTCCTTATATCGTCAATCGGCACCGTCAACTTCGAAGTCTGCCGATATCGTACCGGCAATCGATATCGACAAATTCAAAAACAGCCAATATCGTATCGTCAATATCGGTATATCGGCAATATCGTTAACAGCCCTAGTTGGCGGCTCTATTTTTTGTTTTCTATTTGAAAGGCTCATCAAAGGACAACCCTTCCTTCCAGTAGGGTCCACTGCCTCAATGTAAACCAATCATTTGTATTTTCTGTGAAGTGCTCCATTCCAAATCAAGTAATCCCAAACGGATACGACTGTTTTCCTGTTTAGGACAGCGATCAGCAGTTTCAGGCACCATTAATCAATCTAGTTTATACCCCAAACCGTGGCTCGTCAAAGCAGATTCTAAAACCGGACCTGCCTTATTTTCCATCAACTTGCTCCTTGGACATACCAATCAGGTACCCGGATCGTTTCCAATTCCGTGTCAAGTTAAATCGAGTGATGAACGTGCCACCAAAAGTGGAATCGTGATGCCTTGATGGCTCGCATTAAAGCCGAGTACCCGGGTTTTATTCTGTTGTTTAAAGTAATTTCGTGGGTCAAAGATCGTCACCACAAGGTAGACGACATTTTTTGAACGTATTCGTATCTAGCACTGCATGCTAAAATGCATATATATCAAGGGCAATACGTCCCTGTCCTCATGGCTATCAAGTTAACCTACTCTCTTTCTCTCAACTGACTGCCTAACTGCAAAATGCTACAATTTTTTCATATAGCTCTCTTTTCTCTGGTATTAGCCACCCTCCCCCTAGCATCCGCCACGCTGCATTGCAAAGCTTCCCCCGGAGATTCGACCTGGCCATCTACCAATGAGTGGAATGCCCTGAATCGGTCCATCGATGGCACTCTCATAAGAACGGCTCCTGCCGCTTCATCATGCTACCCCGGCAACCCATTTGGGTCCCCCGAAAACTGCACAAATGTGAAGAATCACTGGTCCTATGCTGCGTACCATGCTTCTTGGCCTGAGAGTATCGACTACTCTATGTATGCGAATAACTCGTGTTTGCCGCCTGGAGTTGATGGATACTCGAAAGAGAAAGGATGCAGTATTGGAGGCTTGCCGCAGTACGTTGTGAACGCCACAACTGAGCAGCATGTGGCTACGGCGATGAAATGGGCTTCGGATAGAAATATTCGCATTGTCGTGAAAGGAACCGGACATGATCTTGGTGGTCGGTATGTGACTTCTCTCCATCTTCCACTGATTACTGGCTCGGATTGAGGAGGTCTAACACTTTGCAGTTCCACTGGCGCCTTTGCACTTTCGATCCTGACACGCAACTTCAAGCATATCGAAAGACATCCTAGTTGGCGAGTGCCTGGAGCCAACACTACCGAAGATGTGGTAGTGTGTGGTAGTGGAAACAATTGGGGTACTGTCTATACTGCCGTTCACAAGATGGGCCGAACGGTTGTCGGTGGTGAGGACGCCACGGTCGGTCTAGGAGGTTTGATCCAGAACGGAGGACACGGTCTTCTTTCAAGTCACTATGGCCTTGCCTCTGATCAAGTCTTCCAAGTGACCGTGGTAACAACCGACGGCCAACGCCTAGTTGCCAATGATGTACAGAACCAAGACATTTTCTGGGCCGTTCGTGGTGCTGGCGGAGGTCAGTATGGGGTCGTCACGGAATTCATCTTGAAGACACACCCTGTACCAGCTAATATCGTCACCGGTGGTTTCTCGTTCTATCCCCGCCAAAACTCGGCCGCCAGTGGAAACGCATCTTGGAGCGCCTTGGCTGAAGTGGTGGCTCGCATTCCCGACTTGATGGATAGTGGTCTCATGGGAACTATGACAGGTCTCAACAAAAAGAAGGCAGTGACATACGTGGGCCTGAAAGAAGAGCTGCCTGGAGCTTCGGGAATGGTCAGCCTGGCTGGGTTCAATATGACAACTCAACGCATGAATGAAACCATCCATAAACTAGTGGCCCAGCTTAACCGCGAGCATGTGAAAGTTACTTTCCAACCAGTGTCTTCCGAGAGCTACTGGGCCTCCACAAAGCCAAACTTCATGGCTAGCGCCTCCTCCGGCTCTTCTAGCTTGATGACGAGCCGACTTCTAGGCAGACGCGAGCTCTCCAACATCACAAGAGAGGCATTGGCCACATACCTCGAAGGTATTATGATCTCGCAGGATCCTGGTGCCGGCTCAATGCTTTTGTTTGGACTACAAGGAGGGAAGGGACCTGCGAGTACACCCGAGTTAAGACGTGGAAGTGTGCTCCCCGCTTGGCGTACTGCCTACGCCCATGCGATGGCCTACAGCGCTTCTTTGAATGCTACTGGAAATCCTAGTCAGGAATTAAAGGCCGGAGGCGATTGGATTAACGCAGCTCAAGAGACTGTTTGGCAGAGATGGGCTCCTGAGAGTGGCGCCTATATGAACGAGGCCAACCCCTTCAACAGCAACTGGAAACATGACTACTATGGAGACAACTATGACCGTCTTCTGGAGGTCAAGCACAAGTATGATCCCAATGGTAGTTTGTTTGTCTGGAGTGGAGTTGGAAGCGATGAATGGAACTACGATTTGAACAGTGGCCTGTTGTGTCGCGTTTAGGGGCTTATGTGCATGGCTTTTTTCCTTTGGAAGCGAAGGTGTGGGTTTAGTTTGGTTTGGGGGATTCTTAGATATCCGCGGATTTCATGAGAGCAGGTGGTAAAACAAGGAATATGATGCTATCGAGTAAAGATATAATATAACATTGACTTAGTCTGCCCTTTCAAATCAATGTTTCTTAGTATAAATAAGCACACACCACTACGATGACAGTTAATATTCGGCTCCAGGGCCAATCATGACATGAGCGGAAGGGTTCGCTCCATCCGAAGCATCTCATTTGTCTTGGAGTGCACACCAGTGGAATCCTGCATTGGAAGAACATACTCCTTCACTCCTGCCTTGTGAACACGACCATTGATCATGATTATGTTCAGCTTATCATGATCTTGCAGGATTGAAATGTCTTTCAATGGATCGCCGTCGACTACTAAACAGTCCGCATAATTGCCCTCTTTGATCTGGCCCATTTCATCAGACCGCATGAACAACTTAGCCATGCCGTATGTCGCTGCAATAATAGACTCGTGTGGCGTGAAGTCGAAACGGTCAACAAAGTGAGAAAGGTCTCGAGCATAGGTACCATGTGGTGTCCACGCAAATCCATAATCGCTGAAATAAATTGTCAGCATTCAGTTGCTGTGGCATTAAAAAGGATCTCACAGGCTCACCCTCCAGGAAGTATGACTATTCCTCTTCGATGCATCTCCCGCATGGCACGATCAGCTGCATCCAGTTCCTTCTGGTAACCAACCTGTTCGGCCTTCTCTGTTGTATAGCCGAACATTACAGCGTCATGAAGGGTAGCGATCAGCCAGTTAATAGCTGGTGCCACGACATGCTTGGATCTGTTCTTCTCTAGGGCATCCATGCCTGTTCGAAACAAATAAGGAGGATCCATGACAACATCCAAAATCTGCAGACGACTTACCTTTCTCGTCGATATAAGATGCATGATAAATCACATCCACGCCATAATCAATACTTTGCTGGACAGAGTCCCGGGCTCGCGCGTGAGAGCAAACTCGCTTCTTATGTTTGTGGGCTTCATCAACACATGCCGCCGTTTCCTCAGGGGTAAAATAACAATCCTCAGCATATCGAACCTCCGTGATCTAACATCAAACATAATTAACTTTGGACCTCTTACGAGGTCGCACAAGAAGCCTACCGATTCTCCGGACATCGAAAGTTTCACTTGGTCCACGCCCAGTTCAATATGCTCGCGAATCCTGGCCCAGAATTAGAATTGCGGTCGGGTTAGATTGTTTAAGGTTCTTTGTGAGCACTTACACGTCTCTCATTTCAGTCGCGCCATCCGCATAAGCGGTGATTCCTCCAACTAACTCCCCTCCTCTTCGGGCCATCTCTTGCCCATTTGCCAGGAAGCGAGGACCCGGGATATCGCCTGCGTTGATAGCGTCCCTTATGACAACATCCAGACGTTTCTTAGCAGATGCGGCTCCGAAACACATGGTATAGCCTGAATCCAAGAAGCATTCTGCGCTTCTCGCAGTGAGGAGTGTATGCTCTTCGACGCCAAGGCCACCCAAACGATCTAAATCGCCTCCGTTCCATGTGAAATGAGTATGGGCGTCCCCAAGGCCTGGTATCAATGTGCGCCCCCTCCCATGGAATACGCGCACGCTTGAATCAGCGACCAGTTTCTCTTTTTTGGGAACGGTGCCCACATGAGCGAAATTTTGGCCTGTGAACCACTTTTGATAAGCTTGTTTCAAGTAGCAAATACCGCTCGAATCCATTATCGTCGCATTCGTGACGTACCCACAATGAGAACATCACCTCGATAAGGCTCCCGTCCAGTGGCCTCCAGGATATCGACGTCCAAGATGAGTACTTTCGATGACGAAGCTGTACCGGAAATCTCGTAGTTTACAGGCTGGAGCTGAGGGTCGAACTCAAGTTGATCGATGTAGGCAATATTGCGAGGAGGTCCGTCATACTTGACGAAAGGATAGTCGGGTGAAACCCACGAGACCTGCGACATGACAAACCAATTCGAGTAGAGAGTAATAGGCAGGATTCCGAATTGGTATCAAGGAAGGTGCAATTTCTGAAAAGCAGAAAGAGTTGCCAACCCCAGCCCATTGATATTTGAAAGGACGAAACGAGGGGAGATGCCCGCGGTGTGGGCACCAATCGGGGATACTTCCCCAGCTCTAACGGCTTTGCCGCTTTCTCCGCGCTTCTCCGCGAGTTGGGGACCAGCGATCAGATGTAATTTGGAACCGTCTTTCTCGTTCCTGCAACTGCAACCACCAAAATATCTCAAAATGAGTTGGCTAGCTCTACGAAGCCGGCTTCAAGAGTCGGCAACTGTTACACCTGTGTCAACAGAGGTCGCAAATCACAAAGGTTCGACTGAACATGTTGAACACGTCGAGCACGTCAAGCATATCGCACCTCCGAACCGTTTCCAGCATGCCCAGAAATTTGACAACAAGCTCAGCGGCTCCAAATTTTCATTCCAAGACTTGTCCATCGCCGAGGATGCTTTGCCTTTCATTCCACCTACAGTTGTCAAAGACCAACGAAGCCTCCTCTCACAAGGTCAGGGTCGTGCTTGGACCGTCGTGAACAATATTGTCTACGACTGTACGGATTTCATTCAGCAGCATCCGGGGGGCGACACCGTCATACGAAGCTTTGTTGGGGAAGATTGCTCTTGGCAGTTTTGGCGCTTTCATTCCAAGGAGATCATGGACCAGTGGGGACGACCCTTACGTGTTGGGCGAACAGAAGGGGCAGAGAATCGATTCTCCGAGCCTCCTAGATTTTTTGGACGCCGAGGATCGCATAAATAATTTTGAAAAGAACTTCTCAAATCTCAATACTTTCTGCGTGTAGATGGTTGCTGTAAATCACACTATCTTTTAAGTATCATGTTGAGATATGTGCGTAGACTAGAAGTCGCGAGTTCTTGTGATTTGTAATAGTCCTCAGCCCATGCTCATAAAGACCCAATCTCTTCATCAGAACCAGGTACCGTAACCCTGCAGAAGTCGTCACGAATGATCGCCGCGGGGTGGTGGCGCGGAGATGCGCGGCGATGAGCGGTGATGGCGAGAAATTGACGCCATCTCCGAGAAAGTGGGGGGAAACTCCGATGTGGGGTAAACATCATCCCTGAATATTGAGAGATGATTCCTTTATTTATAAAAGCGTGCGGGTGGTCAACCGGCAAATATCAACGCAAGGAGCGAATCTCTGCAACGTCGCCCATCGTTACAAGATGACTGTTTCCGGAGTTAACGCCCTCACCAACTATGTGGCATACCTGGAGCCCGAAAGGGGCCCTCGGATCGGCCATCTCGAATTTGAGACCTCGACTATCACCCCCCTGTCCTTCAAATCTGGCACACCATTGACGGATCTTTACCAGGTTATCACTGCCGGGGGGGATGGTATTACACCGTCCGGCACCCAGTCTTTGCCTCTGTCAAGCGTGAAACATCTGCCCCCTATCTCGGGTCGGGATGTGCTTGCCGTCGGAAAAAATTACGTCGAACATGCTCGCGAATTCAACTCCTCAGGATACGATGCCAGTGACAAAGTTGATCAGCCGACGCACCCTGTCATTTTCACCAAGCGCGCGACTTCCATCGTCGGTCCAGGGGACGAGATTCTTCTGCATCCAAACTTTACAGAGACCGTCGACTACGAGGGGGAGATTGGCGTTATCATTGGGAAGACAGGCTTCCAAGTCACGGAAGAGAATGCGATGGACTACGTATGGGGGTATTCAATCATAAATGATGTTACTGCACGGGAACGTCAGCGCGATCATAAACAATTCTTCCTTGGCAAATCGCCTGATACCTTCTGCCCAATCGGCCCAGTTGCGGTTCCCAAGCAGAGCCTGCCAGCCAACCTAAAGATTCAGACTTTCGTGAATCAAGAGAAGCGTCAGGAAGCCACTCTTAGTGATCTTATCTTCAGCATTCCTAAGCTTGTCGCCACCATTAGTGCCGCTCAGACATTACAAGTTGGTGATGTCCTCGCCACTGGTACTCCTGCGGGCGTTGGATTTGGGTTCAGACCCATGAAGTTTTTGAAGACAGGCGACGAGATCAGTGTCTCCGTCACTGGACTAGGAACTTTGACAAATCGGATTGCCACTTGCGACGCGGTCAACACTACCTCTGAGCGCAGGGAGTCTCATATTCCTGTGACCAACCAAAAGGCGCCTTTCAACTCGGGGCTGACCAACATCAATGGAAAATATCTTTTCTACCAACGCCTGGGTCTTGAGAATGGGCCTCCGGTGTTCTTCATCCATGGGCTAGGAGGATCCTCAAACTACTTCTATCCGCTTATCGCAAAGTTGCGGTCGACACATGCCTTGTATCTCTTGGATTTGGAAGGACATGGACTCTCACCAACGTCAGCTCTCAGCTCTCTTTCTATTGCATCTTTTGCGCAGGATTTCTATCATATGTCACAAGCTGCAGGAGTCAAAAATGATGTAAACGTGATCGCCCATTCAATGGGCTGTCTAGTGGCTCTCAAGCTTGCCTTGAACCATCCCGAGCTAATCTCCAAGCTCATCCTCATGGGCCCTCCCCCGAATCCACTCCCTGAATCAGGAGCTCAAGGCTCGTATGCCCGGGCCGCACTCGTCCGGAAGGAGGGAATGTTGAGTGTTGTTGACGCAATCACCGCGGCTGGAACATCGACCTACGTTCAGCAGCACAAACATTTGGCTGTCGCCGCGGTTCGCATCTCTCTTCTCGGTCAGAATGCAGAGGGTTATGCCAAGGCATGTGCAGCACTTGCTGGATCTGCCGCCGATGTCTTGGATGTGGCCCGTCTTCGCGTTCCCGTTTATATCGTGACAGGTGAGGAAGACAAGGTCAGCCCCCCGGCCCTCTGTCAGCAATATTCCCAGGCAACTGGAGGTGGAGACGTCGAGGTGCTCCCGAATGTCGCACACTGGCATCTGTTTGAGGATGAGGATCGAGTTGTCAGGGCGGTCCTGGCGCAGATTTGAGGCTCGCATTTCGGATCGCTATCGGTTGCGCCTTTTCATTCGCTGGGTTGAACCAATGCATATCTGTCTCGTTATATATTAGAGAAAATAGAGAGAAATTCTAATAGACCGATAACCTGAGACTGGTGGGCTTCAGAAGTTGTATCTGTCATGAGAAAATACAGGCAGGGATAAACCTGTATTTTCGGGCAAATTGAGACCTCGGTGCCGAGCTGCGCGACTTGCCATAATTTATAGCATAAATTCAAATTTAGAGATACAGCTTTATTATGCATTTTATGTATTCGAGAATGATATCTGGTCTTTTACTAGTATTTTTGAAATTGACTTCTGCTGTTCGGGTCCCTGTCCTGATGTCTAGACTCCGAGGTAGCTTCGGAAATTATTCACATAGTTCTTTCATTCACAGTTCGGAGACCGTCGCTTACTTCCGAGGCAAATACTCGGAGTCATGAAGCCTACAAGACTTCCTGTCCATGTTCTGATCATACGAATATTACAGCTCCAAAACCATACATCCATGAAATCGGTTGCCGGGAAGCAGAAGTGACTTGCCACCTCTGCCTCTCAAAGAATATTGTTTCTATCTGTCCAAGGGAAAACTGCCGGTGATAACCATTTTTCGCAGGGTATTTTAGACACAATTTCCTCGAAACTCTCCGGAAGGGACCAGAAGGTTGGGTCGAGGTTGTCAGGTGAATCGCTTGTAGCAATCGGCATGGAATCCAGGCTTGAGACGACATCATTCGAGAATGTGTCAGATGGCGTGCGCTGAGCAAGTTCTCCGAGTATTGACTGGTCCAGGATGGATGCGGCTCGCTTACAGATCTCACTCTGTGGGGCATATTCATGGAATCGCCGGGCACAACTTTGCATAGCTTGCAGTATGAGGTGTCGAGGGGTAGATAGATCCACTTCCTTTCTCAGTAAGACCAACAAGGTGGATATTGCTAAGAAGGCATGGAATGAACCAAGACCATGAATATACCAGCTGTACGGTTGGAATTCGTACCGCAAACTCAGCCTTTCATGGTTTGAAAGCATGGCAAGAGCAGCCTCCTCGCATTTTTCGTAGCTTGTTTTGAGACTTGCGTGTTCGAACTCGTGTGGCTTCATGAGACAGATCCGATGTAGCATTAGAATCAGGTGATTGGTGTAGTTATTCAAAATGAAGGAATGCGCCTGGTGATATAACGGCAAATCAACTTGCGCTGTGAAACGTTTTGACTGAGCTTGTAATTCAGTCTGGATCTGATAATCTAGCGCCTGAATCTTTCTCCAACAGGGTGCATATTCTTCGGAGCTCAGTATGCATATGCTTGAGGCCAGAGAGTATAGTCGAAATTTGAATAAGATGTAGGACATCTTCGTCGGTCGGCTCCTCCTTGATAGCGGCTCGGTCCTGTACATGATTTCGTGCAGGGACTCGGGCATGATATCTGTGTCTTCTATATCTGCCGGTAGCTGTACATTATTCTCAACAGTGAACGGAACTAAATTCCCAAGGCAAGTATTCTGGATAGTGTAGAGCATCATTAGCCCCGCCCAGGCCCGTCGCCTCTCTTGGACCTCGACAGGATCTAAGTTTAGCAGTGCAGGATCAACATGGCACCCCATGGCAATGGCAATGTTGAGCGTCGTTCCGAGAAGAGCCCAAGCTGGGCCCTGCGCGTGATTGATGGCATAAATCAGCAAAACCAGGCATTGCAAAGTTTGCAAGCTATGCTGCCACATGAAATTATCTGCAGCTAAGCACCTCATCGCCGCCTGTCGATATTTTGCTGCTAATGATCTCGCGCTTTCTGCTGGGGAAGCCTCTCGGCCCAAATCAAACAGTACAGCACTTTCTTTGTTGATGGCAGTCACAGCAAGCCCTAAGGCGACAAAGATCAGCCCGATGAAAGGCAGCGGGGCTTTCTGAGGATCTTGTTTGAAATTTGCATAGTTTGATTCGAATTTCCCGTCGTGTAGAATGTGAAAGAGGGGCGAGAACACCTCGTTGAATGTAGCGAGGAGTTCATCGCAATGACGAAAAGGTGGTAGCGTATCTAAAAGAGATTGTCTGCTAGGAAATGTCTCCCCAAAGAGGGACACGCTAGACACTGAATCCGATTGAGATTGGCCTTGAAGCGAGTGGAAAACATCTTGATCCCGACCGGTACCGTGAGGAATGTACCGCACATGGCCCGATGGAGACTCGACGACAGTGCCAATGTGCGGATGCTGAGAACCAGCACTAATGCGAGTAAGACGGCTGGTATCCGTGAGGTTTGGAACAGCTCTGTCAGTTCTGTCGTCCAGAGCGCGCGGGAGATCATTCTGGGATGCGGGCGAACGGAGGGCCTCGTTCGGTCGAGCGTTCGAGGTTGATACGAGCTCGATATTCTTAAGCAAGAGATCTTCTAGCTCTGATATTCGCCGAAGAAGAAGATCCTGAGTCGCCTCGAGTCGTTCTCTTTGCTGGTTTTGTTCAACGTTGCGCTTGAATTGACAAGTAGACGCCACTCCACGCTTTAGGCAGGTGTTGCATGGCACGCCCGAACCAAAACAACGGATCTTCCTCTGTCGGCAATTCTCACAACTCAGAGGTAGCCTTTTCGACATGGTGACGGCGGGTGAGTAGTTACTTGAGGGAGACGGGGGCGCAGGGGAAGCGAGAATTTGCAACTGGGAAAGTCTCGTGTGTCGATCAGGGAAGCTGCGCCAGACAATGCGGGGTTGCATGCGGGGGAACTTTGGAAATTTTCTACTTGAATTCTAGTGCTTAATATGTCCAACTACATACGCTTACCGGATGAGAAAGTAGCATATGTAAGTGGTTCTTGAGTAGGGAAACAATCCTCATGATCGGGAGTTGTCAAATTTTGAGATGGTTGCTGAGATTCCTTATCTGATCATCTGTGGCACGCTGTATTTCGTCGGGTTCTACTTCATAGTTGGATTTCCTACCAGGGCCGGTGTCTCGGGGCAATTTTTCTTGGAAATGGTCTTGTACCAATTCTTGTATACGGCCCTTGGGCAAGGAATAGCTATGTTCTCTCCTAACGAATATTTCGCCTCATTGGTCAATCCGCTTGTGCTTAGTGCAATCTTCGTTGATTTCTGTGGTGTCCTAGTCCCTTTCAACACTTTGAGTGTCTTCTGGCGGTACTGGCTATACTTCCTCGATCCATTCACCTATGTGGTGCAATCATTGTTCACTCTGACCGTCTGGGATGTGGAAGTCAAATGCACAGTCAGTGGACTGAGTATCATCACCCCTCCACCGGATCAAACATGTGGCAGCTATATGGTAGACTTTATCAGCGCCCATTCAGCTTACCTGAACAACCCAGACGCTCGTTCCAGCTGCGAATATTTCCAGTATTCAATGGGAAGTGACTATGCCAAAACATTCAATATCAATGCCAAATACTACGGTTGGCGTGGGGTAAGTTCTCTCTCCTTTCGCTCAATCTCCTTCATTGGCAACATGTCGTCTGACAGACTGTCTAATTCTAGACTGGCATGATGGCAATATTTGTCATCTCCACATATTTTTTGGTTTACCTGATCATGAAGATCCGGACTAAGGCAACTAAGAGGGCCGAAAATGACTGATTGCCTTCTTGCGTCTTAAATACTTATCTATATCTGGTTGAATGGATGGGGCCCTAAACAATTACTTGGGGGGCTGCCAGATTCCAGGCATCCTGAGAAATGCAGCTTACCACAGATGCACATCAGCCTTTGCTTACATCCAAATCTTTCGACCTTTTGGAAGCCCTCGATGATTGTGTTGGCCTATTGTAGCCGAGCGGTTGTTTCCATGACCAGTTCGCTCTCTTGGTGAGTTGCTTCAAACCCGCTAGAACGCCTTGGCAAAACATTCCACGGAATTTCCCATCGTCGCCCAGAGGTTATTTGAAATTCCCTTTCTCGTTTCCGAATCAACTTCGGATGTATTGCTGTCGGTTGACTTGGTCATTGCCCTAAGCAGATATCCTATCGATTCAATGGAATGTAGGTATATGCTCGGTGGGTAAAAGTGAAGTCTTATTCTAAACTACTCGCTTCGTTGAAGATATAATAGCTGCCTATGCCAAGGAGTCACATGACTTAGGCATATCAGCTGAATAATGGTTCCAACAATTGCTTTTGTGAATAATAATTTTATTTAATATCATGTTTTTGGAAATGGTACATAATTGTGGTTTTCTTGTGAAGCTTTTGGGGTTTGAGATACGTAATCTCGCAGACTTATCACCCGACAGAATCACTAGACTCAAATAGAAGAGCTTATAGGGCTAGATGCTTCCTCAACTGCGAATATTCAGGGCGAAAGCCCATAAACCGGTGAAGTCGACGAAGATATCCTGACATAAAGTCAGGTGATGTAATTAAAGCCTATTCTTGACGACATTAAATGTAGGTATTGCTCGATTGGTTGATCGCACTTTACTCGGGAGCTGGTCCGAAAGTACTGTACAAAATATCGGCTGCAGCAAAGTAGATATGAATCGGGCAAGACCAAAGCCAATGTTGCTCTATTGAGAGCACATCTTTAGTTGCTTGACAAATTTATTCACAGCACTTTGGTTTATAACAAATCTGCATCTCTGATAGAGTCTACCGCTATTCAATGAAACAGCAAGAGTGGACGCCTTGGATGGAAGCATGTGGAGGTCAAGCAGCAATTCCACCCACACTAATAATCTAGGGGATCTGGTTATGCAGATCCAAAGAAAATAGTAAGATATATGATACAAATGTTCATATATTTCCGGCACGTACGACCACAGGGTGTGGAGAACAGGGCTTCCCGTCCGCTCAGCCGTACTTAAGCCACACGCCGGCAGGTTAGTAGTTGGGTGGGTGACCACCAGCGAATCCCTGCTGTTGTATGTCCGTGTTCACCCAGTTTTTTGGGCTGGTGGGGTTTAGCGCCCGTGCCGCCCTGTCTTCAGTTCCTTCACCTGAACGCCCTGAAGCCCTCTAAAATTCACTCGCCAAGCCTGTCCTGCTGACGTGGCCTTTCTCGCAACATTCGTCGGAAGTAAAGGCTCCCGGCTTCCGTGTTGCTTCCTGTCTCGCCACGTACAGCCGTGACATTTAGTGGCTTTGCTTTCTTTTTCAGCCCTGTGCAACAATCTCAGGAATGAAGAACTGGCTCTTATTGCAGGTCATTTACAACAACACTAGGTTGAAGAAGGAAAAAGAAGAAGACAACGATTTACTGCATGAAGCAGTAAACAAACCCACTGCGTGGGACAAACAGTGCAAACACTACAAACACTGTAAACACCTTGGCGCAGGTAACGCTGCATGGTAACGCTGCATTCAGCTCGTCATACCCTGTCTCTTCGATGGAACCAGCTGGGAGTTTTCGGGGTTTCTACCGAGAGTCACCGTCGAACACTTCCCAATGACAGCTGGACGTGTTGGTATCATGACCGTACTATGGCGATAGCGTCGTCCTAGCTACTGCACGTAATTCCAGTTCCTGGATTCTCCATTAACCACACCTCACCTGTGGCTTATGACATGGGCTAGATATTTACCCTCAGTCCCCAGGCATACTAGCGTTCCATGGGTAACTTTTTCGACAGAGATTTATTTCTATAAAAACAGATGCCGCCGATATTGAGACACTCTGTATTTTGGGCATTGCGAAGTCAACTTGGCCGCCCTTCATCTCTACACTTCCTTCCCCCGTCTTCGGTTTCTCGTCTGCAACCTGCCAACAACGTGACAACTTCGATGGCGACTACTATGGATACAGCACTGAGCCTGGGTCAGTTATTGATTTTATATCAAATTTATCTGTCGCGTTAACGTGTTTCTAGAGCCCCATGCTTACACGAGCGGTCGGTGGTTACGGCGTGATAAACTGGAGACTGATTCGCGCTTTATCCAATTTGACTTTGGTGCTCTTTGCCAGAAGGTCATTGAGCTATGCCCAGGAGCAAATTTCATAAAGTCTTGTCAAAAAATTGAAGGGGGCTTCAACAGGGTCTTTGTCTTCACCCTAGACAATGCGAAGACGATCGTGGCGAAGCTCCCATTTCGACTGGCAGGGCCTGCGAAGCTGACCACTATTTCTGAAGTTGCTACAATTCGCTACTGTAAATCCATCGCATTCCGCATCGAATACCCACGCTGACCAGCCTGTGCTTTTAGTACAAGCGAAGACAAATATCCCTATCCCAAAAGTCCTCGACTACAATCATGACGCAAGTGATGGAACAAATACCGTCGGCAGCGAGTATACAATTATGGAACATGCAACTGGCGTTCCACTACGCGATAAATGGCATGAAATGGCTGGCGACCAGCAAGTTAGGTGCATAGATGCAATCTATCGGACAGTGAAGGAAATTGACGATTTGGAATTCCCGGCGTATGGGAGCATTTACTTCGATGATGCTATTGACTCTGCCAGAAAACAACATTTAAGTGACGGTTTCTGTATTGGGCCTCACTGTGGTCCTAGATATTGGGACACAGATACCGGCGAAAGAAGATATTATTGTCACGCAAATGAAAACCATGGGCCATGTAAGTTGCAGCGAAACTTGCTAGCAAGCAATTTTACTTATCAACAAGGTTACTAGGGTCGAGCATTGGCAAATATTGTGATGGTCTTATTGACGCTGGTCTGTCGCGAGTCCCTCCAGTGGATACCGAACTCGAGGGGAGACCGATCTATCATGGATTGCCCGAAACGCATTTGGCTCTTCTAGAACGTACTCGTTCTGTGCTGAAGCGAATGGCTGCAGATGCTCGAATTAGCAATTCCGCCGTACCCCTATTATTCCACCCGGACTTGCATATGAGGAATATATTCGTTTCGGAAAACGATCCTTCTGCCATCACTAGTATTGTTGATTGGCAATCAGCTAGTATCGAACCAGCGTTCTGGTACTCAGACGAGGTTCCGGACCTTGCTACAGGGAGTGAGATATGCGCCAAAGCTTTTGAGTTATCTTTACAATTTTTCGTACCAAAACTCTCAGCCCCGAGACTGATGAATGATGACCTTTTTCGTCCATTCCGTTATTGTTATAGAACATGGAAGGATGGTGCAGTGGCTTTGCGTCATGAGATGATTGAAACTGCTCTGCATTGGAATAAGTTGGGATATGAAGGCCAATGCCCTTATCCTCTACCTATCCAGGAGGAATTTGAGAACCATATAAAGGAATACAGACTCTTTGAGGCAGCACAGCAATTGCGGACTGACTTGTCCGGCTTGCTAAATACAGCATCAGACGGATGGGTTCCTCTAGATGATTGGAAAGCGACACAATTAGCTCACAGGGAACTCTTCGATGGGATGCTGCATGCTGTTTTAACCAACGCTAATTCAGACGATGGGGAGCCGGTAAAAGACGAGAAAACTTTGAGGTCAATCTGGCCATTCGACATTGATTAATGCAGGGAGCTCTTTTTACCGACGTTATACAAATGACTGATTGGGCTACATGGTTATCAATGGCACTGCTTTAACTTTGTTACTGGCCCTGTCAGACAGTGGAAAGGTGAAGCATATTAGTATAGAAGACTAGGTAGTACCAAAAAGAATTTTCTAAAACAAAAGACGACAAAGTGTTCCGAAACCGTCTAGTAGCATATAGTAAGTTATAGTAATCAGAGATTTTATGGCCCTAAGTATGTCAGAGAAAAACATATAAGGCGGTGCACTCCCCTACACATTGTTACGTTGATTCATAACTACCTCAGATCCTTTTTTTCCATGAAAAATCGATATATGGATTGCTTTGATACTCTGGTTTATTGGCTTCGCTCTTTGGTGTACTCGGTAAAGAATCCGATACACAGTCCCCGGCCTTATTCTCCTACATTCTCTTGGGGGGAAGAGATCGATCTCGAATATCCATCTCCCGCCCTAACCCAGGACAGGCATCAATGAGAATATTGCGATAAGAAATCAGAGCCTCGACACAGTTTAGCACTGATTTGTTATTTGGGCTAAAGGAAGACATTATCCTTGCCTGATTCACTTAATAAAGCCCCGCCTATTCGGACAGATATCTATTAAGGAGGTAGTTTAGTCGGGAGTAAGTTGCTTCCATTTCGTGCTCTTTCTGTTGCTTGATTCTTACTTTTGGTATTTGTTATGGTTCGTTACTGCTCAAAACCAGTGTGAGTGGGTAATCCCGGTATACAGGTTTTATCGATATTAATTAATATTGCTCCCCCAGCTAGGTCTTTTTCAATATGTCTTCCGAACCCGAGGGTACCATTGTTGCCCAGCTTGTTTCAACTGAAACCTGTAGAGAACATTGGATTATCACCTTTAGTCAATCTTCCACATTTTCCGGTGCAAGCCTTGAGCAGAACAAGCTTCAGTGGATTCAAGACAGACCCGATAAAGTTCTGGATGTTATTGAGCTTGTCATCACAGATAAATGTCCAGGAATTGAAGAGCTAAAAGGTTCTCTCTGGCTTCCTGAGCATCTTATGGTACAAGAAAATTGTACTTGTACAAATTGGGTGTAAGTGCGATTATACGAGGAAAATAGCTTTTATTCTAACACGCTATAGCTGGAGTATACTCTGGAACTATAAAAGACGAGGCTATATTAAGAAAGCCCCCACAGAAGAAGTCTTGATTAATAAGTTATTAAACCAGATAATCAAGACCCAGCCAGACTGAGCATAGCTACACTTCATGAGAAGTTTAAGTGGGAAAGACCAACCAATGCTTCCGATTGTTTGTACCTTCAAGATATCTCAAAAGTTTTTCGATCAAGCGCAGAAAATGTAGCTAGTATCAACCCCGAAATAGAACGCTGGCCCACTGTTAGTACCTTTCTTGGCACTTAGATATGTATTTAAAGGGGGCTTCGCCTCCGTGCTAAATAAGATGATCAAGTTATCTACGTCTATATCTAAACTTTATTCTCATACTGCCTAATCTTCCTAAATTCTGTTCTAGAATGTCTTCTGCTCATGGATCTCAGAAGTGTACAAATGGTATGTCTAACTTTGTAATATGCTTCTATTTATGACTTATAAGAACATATCTTAGCCTATATGCTTTTCTCTATTGCCTCTCGTGGGTATAAGACCCGGCATCAACTCAATCGAGAAAGCAAAGATACTGACACAGAGATGGAAAGGCCTTTCAAATACCAAGAAGATCTATTGGAAATGCATTGCATTGGTATACCACTATAAATATTTCTATCATTTGCATCTTCTTATTTTTAGCCAGATGAATCTACAGGAGAATTCAACATACCAGGGACAGCTTGAATCAAGTCCAAATTCACTTTTTGATGAGATTTCGGCTCTTGCCAAAGTATTATATCCTTTAGTACCGCCAAAGCTCTTACCCATCTCTCATGGTATTATTATTGCGGTTGAAGGCTTAAACTGTGCCTTAGTACAGGACACGATGCATTATGTCTTCTCTGGTTTAAACAGTCCTTATTGGGCTAAAAAATTCCAAACGCCAGCTCTCCCTGTATACAAGGACTTACAGGATGAAGATCGACGAAAGGCTTACCATGATACGATTAAAATGTGGCAGGGGGTTTCTGATGATATGGTAAATCATATCAATTTTGGGACTTTCAAGTCTATACCCGATTCCCTATATCACATACCAGCTGTTCCTGTCGCCATTGTGGGTTAGTACCAGCTTACTACAACAAAAGCGATTTTCGGACCTGGTCCTTGTTAGAACATTCATCAAAGCGCCTTACCAGATTCTTGGAACACATGCGTTGGGCCTGATATCATCATTTTTATCAATAAAAATGCAAGGGGCCCTGTCGAGGTATCCATACACGGCCCGCAAATGATTATTATATGCCTAACCAATCCTGGTAAACAGTGTTTGAATCAGGCCAAACTTCAACACTTGTTGCTTCAACTACGTTTGAAGCTTGCAGAAAGGTTCGAAAAAGAAGACAGTATCAAACGTTTGTATAAAATACGGGACAGGAAATTGGAACCGGGCATTCAAAACGCTGGCGTATATGCAGGAGTCGGGCCGGGAGAAGGACCTCTGGGAGATTTCTGAATGCGTGAAGAAGGAGTCGAGCAAGCACAATAAAAAGAAGAAAATGCGGTTAACGTAAGGCTACAAAGTCTATTTTCACACTGTAAATTAAGGCTAGGAGCCAACACTTAACGGGCAGATAGTAAACCGAGTGACGACACCTTATGTCTAACACATGCTCTTCTGTACTAATAAAGGAAGTGGTTATTTGATACTTGTATAGATATACATCCTATGGCAAGCTCAAGCAAGCCTCTGCAATTTTTGGGCTGGCTTTGATAGTAGCACTGTGATATTTTGCTGTGTTAACACCTCTACTTGAACGTTTGACATCCCACATGCACATTTGCCTTGCAGAGCTAACCTGGCTATTTCCAGTTAAGAAACTACCAAGGCAGTTGATCTCTATACAAGATTAGTTAACTGATTTAACCAAAAAATGCAGCGACAACCTTACTTCATGGCATAAGAAAATCCCTGCGCCTTTCCAGCTCGCAACGTTTGAACAACCCTTTTTGTAGTTCCAGGTAAAGGGGGATTTCTCGAGATAGGCTATTGGGAATACAATGTCTTGCATGTTAACAGTGTATTCGTTTGAATGACAGTGGATGCTTTTCTTCAAATAGTTAGCTTAAAGTATCTCTATGGTTTGTAGAAGATATACCACTGTTAGAGAACCCAGTCCGATTACATCTGACAGAGAGGCCAGATACAGCGTGAGGAATCTATGATTCATAGTGGTAAAATGCATTGCCGTGTTTTGCAACAAATACTTAGATGACTGGCACTCTTTATGTTTAAATAATAACTTTCTGTCATAGTTACTAACTATCGCGGATTATCAACGGTAAACCTTTATATTGTTGATCTATCGTACTTTGCCTTTTTAAGTAACCCGAGCTAAGCCAAAAACAGCGAACAGCTGCTAGACTTTGAAACCAAGTCTAATATATCAACAGATAGAATACCCCAAAAAGAAAAAAAGAAAAAAGGCAAAAACTAGTCAAATCTGATCCTTCAATATTGTCTGCCTGAATCAATCTTGCTCACGCTGAGTGTCCAACAAACATGATTCGCTTTCGACGAGAAAAGATCGACTACTTTCCAATATAGCAATGCAGGCATCTTTTTCGTTCATAAGTGCTCGATACTTGCCCTCCATTCGAGATTCCAGGTCAATAGTTACATCTGTGATTTGTCGGGAGTGGTCTCCAAAATCGAGCTCACTATCCTCTTCGAGAAGCATCGTATCAACAAGTCTATCCACAAGATAAAACTTTCTTCGGACATAGGCTTGCGGCGCTAGCCTGTATGTAGTTAGTCAGTCAGCTGACCCACACTGGGCCGCTGCATATCTAGATCCTCTGCAGTGGTAGTATTAGAAATGATCAAGCGTTTCCATCCGATTTTCACGCCTTATCAGAGCTATCGCTCATCAAAAGCCTGGTCTTCAAAAAACTCGGGCTAGTGAAGCCTCGTCTAGTGGTATACTTCCAGCAAAGCGTTCTCTAGAAACCGAGGTCCGGGCCGGCAAACGGCCAGCGGGTCTATTCTGCAAAGAGAGATTACCTTATACTTAGTTTTACGCATTCGCCAATCTCGGTATATCTGGAGCTACCTTCCTAGCCATTAGTTACAGTGGGCGAGCGGCCGAGATTGTCAAAGAATCCAAAGGTTTCAATGCTGATATATTGTAGATTCTGAATGCCCTCAAATTCATTCACAACGAGCTTCGCATCAATTATATTGGTCCTATCTATGAAAATGCATACTTTTCATATGATGGATCTATAAAGGTTGGTATGAGGAACCAAACTTAAACCGGGAATCACTAATACTTTAGATAAGAAATCTTGGATTCTCTATGATATGCAATTCGAATAGCAAAGATGACAGCGACATTCAATGAGATGGCACAATGGTACTACGTATAATGCAGCCGGGCACAATGTATAAGAATCCCACCGAGACGAAGCCACACCGTCCTAATGAGTGGAGCGATACTGCTATTGACTTTATTGTCACGGACGGTGACCAGCCTCCGAAGACGTTGCTTCGTGATACCCTATGACCTAACTACCCGATCGGGACTAGCTCCAAAGCTGTCCCACACATATCGTGGCCGGCTTCTGAATAGCTTCACAACCTAGCTTAGTTTCTTCGTTAAATGACCATCCTACATTTTCGCGATTCCTTATCGCCAGCGTAGCCGTTCGTTACAATCATTGCCTTTTGGAAATGTGGTGCAATTAGAATCACGTATATTCAAGTTGGAAGATATGCAGGGTCCCACTATATAAATGCTTCTTAAGCCGACAACTAAGTAGTTAATCATTTAATTCAAATCGACAGAATATTAAAATGTAAACGGCGGACCTGTGAATTGCCGCTTGAGGTTAGTTTTACCTCTTTAGGCATAGGCACATAATACGCTGTATTGTCATCACCGCCCGCTAACTACTCTACGAGTACATAAGAGCCGTCCTCGCTATTCTGACACTCTTTCTCCCAATTCCTCCTTCTTCCTTCTTCCCCCCCTCCCATATTCTACACCTACCCGATCGCAACCCCTGGTCCCGTCTACTCCGAAGATGCTTGCGCCCTTTACTCCCTTTTTTTCTGCATCGGAAATTGCGGCTGCGCCCGTTTCACACTTCCAGATTCCCCGCCCCGTCATTTTGAACCGGACCTTCAGCTGAACTTTCTGTTCTTTTTCTCCCTCCTCTTTTCTAGTGGAATTGTTCATATTCTCTTTGTTTTATTCAACCGGCCCGCTACTGTCAGGGCATCCGTTTCTCTGAGGCATCGCGTTGCCTACCAGTCTTTACGGTATTACTTTCGACTGTCTTCATTCAAGAGGCTGACCGTCCAAACCCCCAGCAGGTTCCAACCAAGTCTGATTACGCGTTACACATGCCTACCTCGCCTTCCCCCCTTTTCCGTCGGTCGCCGGTCCTGCACCTTCGTCTTCGCCCCCATTTTATCCCGGCCACGCTCTTTTCGCGGGTTGTAGGCTACGATTGGACTACCTAGACCTTGGGGTGCTGCGCCGCCATCATGTTAATGTGCCTGGAATTTGCGTCGGTTCCCCACTGGCCGTGAGTTCGACCGCCCCTCGCCGATGTAACCCTATGACACTACGGCACTACCTATCGCAGCTGGCGTAGGCGACCAATGGCGAAAATCACGCATTACTTCGCCCTGCCTCGTCTCGGGATGTGAAGCACAGCTCGGCCAGATAGCGTGCTTGAAAGATGCATAGATTAGCCTAGACTGGGAACGGACAACCGTGAAGCCCGGGCGGCTGGATGCTAATGGATCATCGTTGGCCTTTGTGCTCTGAATGAAATAAACGATGTGAGCCTGACGAGAACCTAGTCATGCGAGAGAATATAGGGATCCCGCCAACCATGATAGGGGTAATGTCGCCTTTGGTCCCGTCCATAGTCCTCGAAAAGCGCATATCATCCCGTTTCTGCCGGATGTGTCTATGTAATTGACCTCCGAGATGTCTTGCGAGCAGTCGTCCCACCCAACCGGCTGTGGACCGGCGAATCCGGTAATTGCCCAAGTGGCCGACACTTTGCCAGGGGCAGAACAAGCATATAAAGACCTTCCCATCGACCCTTTGATTCTCGCCGATGATGGGCCGTGGGAGGCGGGAGATCTATCTACATCAGCCCTTCTCTCCGTGTGACGATCCTAAGCCTTCGCAGGCGATATGTCCATATCCAAATTCAACGCCCTTTTTAACAAAATCTTTGTAAAGTGTAACTTGATTAAAGTAGGTTCAGTCACGTCTCCGACTCCAAACATAACCCGCAATTGCACCAAAAATTATCACCAGCGTAGTTGCAGGGCATGAGACAGCCATTTGAACAAATTAAAAGAATGCAAAAGCGATATCAAGTTTCTGAGCAGCCCAAGTTGCTTGACTGGGCCGTACTCGACCTCCACGGAATCCAATTCTTTCCATAAGTCGTGCGCACTGGAGAATCCACCCTTCGTCCAACATCATTCAACTATCGAACCAAGCCAAAGACCCTCAGTGCTGGGGAGGTCTTCCCTCCATGCCCATGTACCGTTAGTAAGCTCTAACGACTTAAATCTATCAAATTGACATTTATCTCCAGCTACCATCTCATATATGACAGCTCCCAACTGCCCAATCTCAGTATGTATAGAAATCCCGCCAAATCAGCCGTCTCCATACGCTCGCTGAATGACCAAAAGGTCATTCATTCTGCTTTTTTGGCGTGTCCCAGCGGTAAAGCGAACCCGCAGCGCTCGTTACATGATGAAGCCATGCCTTTTGGTTCTCGCTTCATTGTGGGTATGGGGCTTGTTCGGTATGCGGGTGATTGATAGCTCACCTAGCAACAGGTCATCATATGTGGCTGAGTGAGGCCTTTTAGTGGATTTAATTGTGTTAGCGAGTTAGGCAAGAGAATCGTCACCAGGATCACACCCCTCATGCTGGCTAGTGAGCAATTGGTGAGCCTCATCTTTCACATTATCCATACTCCCATATTTGCCATGCCAACACTTCTTGATTATTCTCCCCCATAGAACATCATCAACATTTGGGAATGAGCCTGGTTCAGGCCAACAGAGGTCAGGGTTCTCGGGGCTGAAGAAATAGTATTTATGAACATGCCAGGATGCAATAGAGTAGAGAACCCAACCAAGATGAAGTGTCTCAATCTGAACATTCAAGTCGTTCTCATTTGCAGAAGCAATGTCGATGTCAAGTGGTAATAAAATGGATTGTCCGAAATCTGCAAGTTTAAGCTGCCCATCCAGGATTAAGATATTGCGGAGAGCAATATCATCCACAAATACCTTGCGAGAGTGGACATGGGCAAAAGTCTCAATAAGACCTGACATCCAGCTGATTTTCAAGGAATCCTCGCGCTCTGGATAGGTTTCTAGATAGCACTCAAGATTTCCTTGTGCAAGAGCTAGCTCAATCCCGTACTGGGATGTTTGAAAGTAAGGAATAATCCCTTTATAGCTGCCCAGACGTTCAAAGACTTGGATCTCATTCTCCAGAATTTGTCGATTTATTTCGTTCATGTATTCCACATCCTCGCGATCTTGGAGGTATCCAGGCTGATATTGCTTAGCTTTCTTAACAGCACGGTCTTCCCCCATCTTAAGAACAATCCCAGTCATACCATTTCCAATTACTGGGAGACCAAGATAAGGATCATGGGGAAATGGAGAATTTTCAGTAAGAGATTGTCCAGGCATATTCGCGGGCCCTATTTTGTCCATTCGAGGTTCAACATTGTGATACTGTTCATCCGTTCGAGGAGGTTGAGCATTGAGAGATGATCCAAGTCCCGTTTTATTCGTTCGAAGGGGGTGGGGATTATCGAGCTGTGATCCTGCAATATTCTAAAAGAATAACTTAGCAAGAGAAAACAAAGAGAACTCAATAAAGCTTACCTTGGACTCGTCCGACTGCTGAGTTGCGGAAGGCCAAACGACATCACAGACCCAGGTGCGGATGATAGAGAGTATCATGATTGTTACTGGCGAGTGCAGAAGAAGAATGTGCAAAAAAAGAGGAAGTAAAGAGATGGTAAGAGAGATAGCAAGACAGATCGCGGGAAACAACTTGGAAAGGATGCTTGGGACTAAGTAACATTGGATTAATCACAGTGATTCCCGGCTCAGACCTGAGACTGATGCAAACCCATCGGGTTGGCGTGGCAGAATTCGGCCTCATCATTGGCTGTGGTCTGAGCGCTGAGGCAAACTAACCTAACCTAATTTGAACATTATTAAGCACTCATTCATTCGTTAATGTGGCAGAAATATGTGGGTCTACCGAGAAGCGATTATTCAACTAAGGAATAGGATCGTTTTCAACTGAATGAAGGTCTTAATTCTTTCTAACTACACGATAAAGAAGTCAATATTTATGCAGTCTCAGGGCTTCAGGATCGTCATAAATTGAGCGGAATTGCATGATCTATATCGTCATAAATCATACGATTTTATATTGATCGGTTGCATGATCGGTCCGGTCAAGCAAGGCGATGATATAAGCGGATTAGTCATCTCACGCGGCCACAGTTAACTACTTAGTTAACGTGATTTTCCCAGGAGCACCCCATCTAATCTCAATTTTTAAACACCATTTAAACAACCGAAACACCATAAATTTCACTAGAATATGCCTTAGGGCATTTATTAAAAGAATCCTGATTCCTACCACTGTTACTCACATTAGCAACCGTATCACTTGTTAGACTACCTTGCTGGGATAGCTGCTTTGTGGATTTGGCTCTTTTTCCATCCGCGAAGGCGGTGGGTGCGCTAGAAGGCACGAATACTACTATCCGTGGGGAGATCGGTCGGCCGTGCTACGTTCAGCAAGAAAAAGAGCGAACTGCCCTAAGCCTTTGCTTCAAATTAAGGATATTGAGGAGAATACGTAGCAGCAAATGGAATAATACCTATTCAATTAAAGCACAAAGACAAAATGCAAATGAGTGTCCTCCCTCCAGTCCTTGGCTTGAAGCATAAGTTCACTTCCGGAGATAAACAAAGTCTCATGTACCGGTAAGGCTAGCTGCCCTGTCAATAACGTTAAATAATTCCTAGCCAGCAACCTGAAGCATCGAACTTGCACCTGCACACCACCCTCCCCACTATTCGTATTTCTAGGACCATTACTTCTTTCGACAATCGGGGCAGAGATGAAAACGGTTTGTGCTTGATCCCTTTGAGGTAGGTTTAGGAGGATCAGGACACCATGATGGGGGTGAGCGCTGTTCCGCTACAGGACACATCCGGGGAGTTGGTTCTTTAGGGGCATCAACAGTATGTTTGCACTTGGAGAAGTGCACTGGAGCAGGGTTGTCCATGAAGCACATATTGAAGAAGCGTAAGGAGGATTTCTGATTCCTAGAAAAAGTGAATCAGCTAAGCATATGACAGTTCAGGAGAAGTAAAATACTAACGCAGTTATGGAAGTGTCGGTATGTAAATGGTTTCGGCACCTTGAATTTTGGCAGCTTGTGAATGATTTGGAAGAGATAGTTGTTGTCTACTCCAAGATATTGTAACCCTTTTATAGTCGCCTCGCTTATGCCGAATTTTGGCAACAGGCTATCTCTGCATGTTAGCTGACCGAAAGCATAGAAGAAGGGGTAAAACTGAAATGCGGTTGGCGAAATGTACGGGGCGCATGTTGCTGGTCTGGTAACTGCCTAAGTGTAACAGATCTCGATCATACGTATAGCTGGCGACAAGAGCAATCTACCAACGGCCGCATGTTTTGTGTGGGGTAATGGAACAGTATGACAAATGCCAAAACGTCTCGCGCAAGGGTATGGACCCCCTATCCATTTTGCAGTCTTCTTAACAAATCAATTTGTGAACCGGGGCGCACCTTCCGTGCCTAAGAAGGCCCTCAAGCCTGCAATCTTTTTTTTTTTTTTTTTTTTTTTTTTTTTTTTCTGAAACGTTCAGTAGTTATGGGATTGAGCCATGTCCAGAAGGGAGAATAGGCGCCGAAAGTTAGTGGTACCCCGAATTTGCCAAGTCGGGAATAACCTAACAAAGTTGTCGATCAGATAACATCAGCGCTAAGACGTGGGGGTTCAGAAATCCTGGGATTGGTGCACGAGTCGAGACCCCGCAAGAGTCCTCTTGAAGATTTTCGTTGGGTGCTTGCGACTCTCGCCAATCAGCTACTTGAGAACCCTTTCCGCCCATACCGGACAGGGCGCGGGACTTTTGACTAGATCAGCGATCGGTTAGATCCAGAGAGCTTCGGAAAGTGATTGGTCTGGCCCACTGTTCAGCTCCGACTGGTTCCATTTCAGTCTTGACATGTCCGTGTGGCTTTGCGCTCAGACATGCAACAACCTCGTGAACCTTCGTCACCAGTATAGATGGAATGTAATGTGATGCAATGTAACGTAATGAAATGGAATTCCGCACGGGCCTTTCAAAGGAAGAGCAGCTATCCTACCCAGAAAAAGATAAATTCCCTCAAGTGCCAACATTTCATTGCATTCCATTACATTTCCCTGCATTTCACTCGAACCCATTTCGTTGCAATCTGTCCATGATCAGTTGATCAGAGCTTACGAAGTTATGGAGCTAGATATTATCATTAACAAGGTCATCGGCCTGAAAAGCCACGGGCTAAGCACAGAAGATCGCAAGGTGTTGAAGGAAGACCGTCGTCTTGTATTTGCTTGGATTGACGAAGCTCCCAATGACCGCGAAACGTCGGTAACGAAATGGCGGAAAACACGTGCCCGAAAGGCCTATCGAACAATTCAGGACGCCAATGAACATCTCTTTCTAGCTGCGATTTTGTCTATTACTCCGACTCAGTGTTCAAAAAAAATATTCGACAAAGTACTGGAGCGTCTGATACGTTTGAACTACGAAGAATTCTACTTTACACTCGGTCCTGAAACGAAGAGTTTCCTGGAAACCATCGCAGCAGAACAAGGCTTCGCTGGGAATCGTCGGTACCTTGCCTTCATGAAATCTTTATTCCCACGCATAGAACCAAGGCGTAAGTAAAGGTACAATCTTTGTATTGAGTCAAACTGAACCGGTATAGAAATTCAATTTGCATACTCGCTTGTGAGGCGCGAGGATATTCCATCTTTTCTTGGAAAGATGATGGAGGGGATTACCTCTAGCCAAGAATGGGCCAAAGAGAAGTCGCAGGGAGGCAACACTACAGGTTGCGTGACCATTATCATTCCCACCAACGAGCATGAAGACGGATCCTGCAATATCAGAGTGAATCGCACATTGTTGATGCAAGCGATTCATGATTTTCGGATGACAAGTCTCAAGCTCGAGTGAACATAATCTCGCAGGCTAGGACTTCACAACTATGGTATGGGGGTATAAAAAAGTTCCTTGTTTCACCAGTTGTATATCCTTCCTCTCTTCCAACGACTCTCACGAATCCATCGGAATTTTCGCCCCTTGATCTGAAACAAATCCATTTGGCGGTAGCTTCGGCCTTAAACAGTCCGTCTGCCGGTTTCCACACGTCATATATAGTCTAGTCGAGTTTTTGATAGTTAGCTTTAATTTAAAGAGCAGACAGAGGGACCAAAAAAAAGTGGAGGAGCAATGTTCAACTAACAGGTCCGTTGGGATTCATCTTTTCGTCGACTGTTTCCTCTGCTAACCCGCTCTCCATTATCTGCTGATGAAAGTATTCTCCAGCGCCTAGTGAAGGGCGTATGCTTCGACGTAACAGAAGACTACTTCGCGAGATAGCAGCGTATATAAGAGAAAATAGGTAGATTCAGTGGATATAGCCGAAGCAGAGTAAAGAGATAAGTGTAATACGTTTGAAGCTTTATAGCAGAATAAAGAAAGCAACAGGAAAGTGGGATGCCCCACGTCGTCGGAGACCGGATTATTGTTGATACGAAATCTCCGAATCTCCGTCCACTTGTATGGATCTTGAATCAACTCATGCCCGCAACCAGATGCAGAAGTCTATCTGTCATTATTGCGGATGGTATCAGAATTTTGTAGATATGCTAGCTTGCTCTGCATTCATAAGGATCAATTTCAGTTTGGGTAGCAACTTGATTCTTTGGCTCGAATACCTACTTCCCAATTTTAAGCGGCCCTATTGCATAAATGAGTGGGAGCGGAAAATCTGTCGGTTTATCAGCTTTTGGATTAATTGAAAGAATTCTCACACTATTGTAACAAGAAACTTAACGAAAGGGGTGGAAAGAACCGAGAGAATGTAAGTAGGGAAGGACCAACAGTGTGTTGATAATCGCGGCGAAAATATTTAGCAATGAACTGAAGGAATTAGCCAAAAAGAACCAAGAACAACCGGCTCGTGACGCAATCGCCTTCGGCTTAGTCTGAGGATGATTCGATCCCTTAGCTACAATATACATATGAAGATGACATTGCAGCGAAAGAATACCGTAATCAATATCATCACTTGATCGTCTCCCGAGGCGTTTGATATGAAGATGCCTCCTGTCGTGTTGGAAGTGCGATCGAAATACTGCTGGGAAGACCGGTCGCCTGGGTAAATGCTTGAGATCTGGGCAGTTCATCGTAAACATTTTTTCTGGTTAGCTTAGCGAAGTCCATTAAAGATCATTTAAGTAAGAGAGTTATGGGCGTAGGTTATGTCGTCTACCTGGAGGGCGGACCCCGGTAGGGAGTTGCTCACTGTAAGGTAACAAGAATATGCAATGTAGTGTAATGTAATGCAATAGCTTATGATGATGTCGAGATCTGTCCAGACCGGCTCGACTCGCAATAAGATTTAGCGTTCATCAGCTATGGCACCTGGAGAGACTGTGATGCGGAAAGATGCAATGTAGTAGAATGTAATAAAATGAAATGTAATGGAATATAATTGAGTGTAATATAGCAACAATAGCTGCAACCCAACAAGGAGCAACCTCGATATTATTCGTGCAAAGGGATTTCTGGTACATGAAGAAAGCTGCACTTCGCGATCAGGATGTCAAGAGATTGGATATCTATAAAGATGTCACCCTTGTCCTAAGTACTCACCGCAACTTGGTACAGTCCAAGCGAACGTTATTTATTTGTTTTCTTATACATCTCAAGTTAAATTATCACCACTATGTTCTGCATGAAATTTCTCTTATCCTGGAATCCCTACGGCTCATCAAATAACGAACCCGAGAGCCCCAGACCTTCGAATACGGCTGCCCCTGGATATTGCGACATCCAACCAGTGATTCGGCGCCACGAAGATATCTACGACGTCGTCGAAGCCGTACTTAGATTTGGGACCCCGTCTTTCATCGAATATGTGGGTTTTTCTGCCAACAGAAGAATTTTATTTTTAGTTCGCTTTCAGAACAAACCCCGCAAAATCCGAATTGTTTCCTGTCCACTCACTATCGATGCCGGAAATCTTGACCCAGTGGATCAAGTACTACTACAAATCAAACTAGATGCTGCTAGGGGCTGGGTTCCTAAGAGAACGTGGAGTGTCTTCGGGATTGCTGAGGACGAGAGACTTGTTGTGCACAATGAAGAGAAAAAGCCTGTAGCTAAGCAACTTGCTGCTTTCTTGTAATAAAATCCTGCACCAAGTTGGTTAATTTAATGCAAGAGTCTGTGCAGGTTAGATCTAGCCCCCGTATTGTCTACGGCCGCCTAGTCACGTCGATATAGCGGCTACCTTCTAGGAAATGATGATCATCCTAAGCAGGTTCTATTCTTGGAGGCTCAGAAAGACGTCTGATCCTTTCTGGAGTAGCGCAACCTGGCAGTGTATTCATAGTCTATACGGTTAGCCTTGTGGCAGTGGACTGGTAAATCCAAGCCATATTCGTTGGTGCAGGCCATAGCCTTGGCTATAAATTGGAGAGATATCCTGTCTCATTTTATCTCTCTTCATATCCCCAGTCTACCTGAATCCTCTTTGGTCTCTTGAAAGAGGATATAGCCTACCCTAGCCTACCCTATACACACCAAAAAGAGAGACAACAAGACCGAAAACTAAGGCGATAAACTATTCCAAGGAGTTTTTTCTTTATCTGCGCACATTCATTTGGCAGTTACACCGTGAAGCCGCAATTCTTTGCATATCAAAGTAAGTAATATCATCTATTATCCCTATGCACCCGAAAACACTGTCCTGATAAGTATCTGTATCTCCTTAGAATCCATTATATCCATGACACTATTCTACCTTGTTTTGTTCTCATACATTGGTTGGTTCATATTTGTTCTCTTTGTGGTGTTCTGTCACTGCATGAGACCAATATATAGGTACTATCGGGGCGATAAAATTGGACGCAAGATTAACTGCTAGGGAATGGCTTCTATGTCTATGAATTGTGTCAAGGCTCAACTCGTTCCAACCGCCTCCTGCCCAGCACATTGGATTATCACTTTCAATCAATCCGATTCCTATAGCAATACAGGAACAACAACAGAGATAGTTCGGTGGGCACAGGACAATCATAACGTGGCACATGATGTTATCGAATACCTCATCAATGAATGTTGTATACTGATTGAGATAAAAGATAATATGTGATCTCTATTATACTTCATGAAACAGCAAAGCTACTGCTGTTGCGCCCTCCGATCTTTCTTGAACAAACAATAAAAATTCTATCTCCTTCATTAAATGTCATAACGTCCGACTTACCAGGGTAAAGTAAAGGGGTTTCAGATCGCTTGAGCTATCTCCCCGTTTGATCCGACATTTTCTGGTAGGCCAAAACCTTTGCCTGTAGAAAACCAACTGTTGTGGCACATTAACATGGAAACAGGGTTAGCAATTGGTAGAGAACACGAAAGTCTTAGACGTGACCCCCGAAGCGCAGTATTTCTAAATTGTTATTCAAGCATTCTGTTCGGTAGCACAGAAGAACTTTGCAATTATACAGTGACATACTGAGTAAATTGTCATATCCTGTAGATTGTACAGTCTATTTCGAAAACAGATTACCCCTCAGACACACTGACTTTGTTTCTCGGCTCGTACCCGAGTATGCGCTAGTATGTATCAGGAAAAGCTGTAAATAATCCTTCCATAAAAATAGGTTAAAAAACCAGAACGACGGGATAACGTAAATTTCCGTATATTACACGTATTGCCTATGCACTGCGACCTTGATGCCCCTCATACTTACCACTCCCATTCCCAAGCATCTACACTTCTTCAAAGAGCTCTCATCGCCAGAATTGCTAAAATCATATGCAGTCTATGGCACCGAGACTACACTCAATCTCCGAATCGCCTTGACCAATATACATTAAGAATCTCTATCCCAGCCCCACAGCAAAGATATTAGCATGGAGAAGTTATTGAAGAAGCCGCATCAAACTGAGGGCCGCAGTTATGCCGCTCCGTAATACTGTCACTATGAAAAGTTTTATCATTCAAGAATCGAAGATTAAAACCATTTCATGTAATTTGGTGGCAAAATGCAGGGCCATGAACCGAGGCAATGAGGCACTAATCTAAACCCAATTAGTCTTCCACGACCTGGATTCCAATAATTTCTAATTTCTTTGGACTCTTCGAGCTATGTACGGTCTACAAGCCCGAGATAGCCTGATTACAGTACCCTGTTCGTCAATTTCTAGCGAAACTCTGTTCCACCCTGCCCCGCACCTGGACAGTAAGCATGCATTCGACTAGCTGGAACATCGCCGGATTCAGCGATGGTCAGTTGTTCTTTTGCGCCTAGATTAGCGTATGCCTTGGTTCCTTGCTCTTGCGACCACTGACCACTTGACAAAAAGCTCAGAAATTAAATCAAAGGCGTGATAGATCATAGGCTCGTATGAGATCTTTCATGATTCATTTATGCGTCCATTCTGCAGAGAAATTGTTACAGTACTCTGAGGTTGTGAAATTGTTGTTTCAAGGGTTGGATTCCCAGATGTATCATGCCGCGTCAAGCAGAGAGAACTTAGCAGAGCCAAGCACATCATCTTAGAAGCGCCTATTTTGGACCTTCTAGCGGTATATTATTGGCCAGCAAAAAGCAAACAAGAGAGGCGAGACGGCGGTCGCTTGAGGGCAGTTTACGTCATCGAAGCTGCCATTGTGACTTACAAAAAGGCCAGAATTGTAAGAGAACCCTACATTCTCGTTACTAATTTTCTCAACATACCTCATCGATGAAATGGGTGACCCTGCGACTTATGCACACTGGGTAGAGCTAGATTTGCTCTTAAAGGAGAAGTACCCAAACATTTCGCAGCATGAGGCCTACAAAAAGCTTGTCGATGAATCGGAGGCTGTGAAATTCATTGATCAGGCAGCCACAAGATGCTGTGAAGATTTGAAACAGGCTGTCGCTGATGCAAACCCAGATTGCGTCACAGAAGCATTAGGTGGAATCCTATGGGTAACTGGCAAATGCCTCAATCAGCCAGGCATACAGAAAGCAGGAGAACTCCTCTACGGCAGCCGCTTGGTTTCTCAAGCCATTTCCAAGGTTCAGCAATTATGGAATCCTAAAATTATCGAAGCGACCGTTGCGGGCCCCTCTCATGTAACACCCCTCAGTACTGAGGCTGCAGCTGCATCTGTCAGTTTATCGAAAACAGGCGGGAGCATATCTGCCAGTCCAGCACAGACAGTGGTGCAGCCATGCAATGGGGTCGATATCATAAATAACTCCCTCGTCGATCACATCAACTACTACGGGCGCTGGCAGCTGGGAATTGCGGCGGTTCAGCTTGCGCAAGGAGAACGAGTGATTAAAAAGTTGAAGTCTATCGAGCGTGAACTCGGAGAGAGTAACTCTCTCACAGTCTCCGGGGCCACTGGACCCGATGGTTTTGCTCAGCCAGTTTACGATTTCATCGTGAGGTGTATCAACAAGGCTCATGGTGGCGATCGTCGGAAGCTTGATAACCATCGCTTTTTTGTCTTTCACCCTGGAACGACTTGGTATGGGGCATTTGAGCGACTGATCTCGCGCAATCCTCTTCCGCCTCAATTCTGTGCCAAGTCAGACAACTTGGACAAGATTTGCCAGTTCATGCAGGAATATAGGGAAAGTCTAATCAGAAAGTCAGATCACGCAAAAGAGCTTGTTTTTCACCTGCTTATGCCCACCTGGTATCATACATCTTACCCAGAGCCATTGCATTTTCCGGAATGTCTCTATCCATTACACGTCGAGGGAGAAACGTATAAAGACAAAGATCTCGTGACATTGAACCTCCCAGCAGCACCCGATGGGCTCCTAGTTGATGTTTCAAACGTCACAGATCCAAACAACTGGTGTCAGATAGCGCAAACTATCTCAGGTATCTCAACAGCAGTCACAATGGGCTGGGGTGTCAATGGGGCCTGTCTCGCGGCAGGTGTCGGTGCGGGTATCTTAACAGGATTAGGGCCATTCATCATGATTCCTGTCTGGGCAGGTGGATTTGCCACGCTTGGGATGAAGCTAGGACCAAAAGTCGACCGTTTTATGGAGGAAAACGTCTATTACAATCTCTGCGAACAAGACCCAAGAATTTTAGGGTCGACTGCGCGGTTTCATATCAGAAGATGGCAGAGACATTGACAAAGGATTTCCTTTTTGTGGTGTTTTTGATTTTCACAAGAGTTGAGCTTTGCTTTTCGCATCTATAATCACATGGAAGATGGAAGAATACGTTTGCTTGGAACTATGCTTAACACCTCAGATATACAGTATTTTACAGAAACAGTGAAACTTAATACAGCACCAAACGAGATACTGCCAAGCAGCAGCCGTTCCAGCTTAACTAAATACGGCTTAGCGTATATTCGGTTACGGGCCGACAAACAATGTCGGCGTGTCCAAGGGGTAATCTGTTTTTGAAATCGACTGTAGAATAATAGAAATATACTCCGTAGGATATACTGCGGGGCAGAGTGCTAAAATTGGAGATCTACAGACAGTAAATATCAATACTCACGGTTATAATGGAACCACAATCAGACAGGTAAACGAACGCCTTTGGGCAACTGTGGGATAGTATCTAACATATCATATTTGAGCATCTTCCAGATAAACAGTCCTAGCAGTATCGCAAAAACTTAAATTCTTACATTGTTCGAGTAATCGCCGCGTGGGCACGTACTTCTTTACTACCATCCAGCGGACATCACTCTCTCTACTGTTCCCACTCTGACTGTGAGTACCACTGCAGCTTTACACAAAGAAAAACCATATCCCCGTCAGGTAGTTGCTTGTGGGCTACACACTGAACCACGGGATCTGCGAGGATTTCGGCCCCAAGTGGCACCAGAAACATAGAACCTAGACCCGAGGGGTCGCGGTCGCTCTGGGCGCCTACAAGACCGTTTAGCTATTTCTCTGACCCGAATCAGAAGGGTACAACTTACCATCCATCGACGCTGTCTCCGGAATCTCTGGGCTGCCAATAGCATGGCGGACTGCGCACGAAGACCCATCATCAACGTATTCTTTCCAAGGGATCAGCGCACGAATAGCAAAATCTGGATGCAACGCTTACCGAGACAGTCTATACAGTCTTTACACTCTGAACAAATAGACTCGCAGCACTGAGAACACGGGTCGCTGCATTGACTGCAAGCCGAGCCAGGGCTCTGGCAAATCCTCTGCGAGGAATCACACGGTGTGTTAGGGATTGTATCACCAGCCGAGAGCCCATCATCATCTTGCGTGTAGGCCGGGGCATGGAAGGGTCTCGGCACGGCCTCCTGCTGCTGGGTATCGCTATCGTCCTCGATTACGATAGGATTGAGGACGTCTCTAGGGACCGGACTCGCCATTGTTGGTGGTCAGAAAGGGTGCTTGTGCTCGGGAAAGTAAAAAAGGTGCGAGGAAGTAAGATGCTAGTCGAAGATAGCGAGGGCCACAGCGGTATTTATCAATCGATTGCACACGTTAGGTAACGTTAGGCCCCAAAGGTTGTCCGGTCACTGTGCTAAGAAAAGAAACTGCTCGCAGGGAAAGTGCAGCAAAACGGACTTGGGAACAGTGTCATCGAGCGAAGGCAGCTCCGAAAGGATTGGATACCACTGTTGCAGAGATTTGAAATGCTCCTGAATTCGTCATTTCAGCTTGATGACTTGGGCAGCACGAAAGCCTGTAATACATCTGAGATACCTGCTGTTGGACCTCAAGGCCGACACGCTCGCCGAAGGCTATGGCTGTATGACCAGGCAGCCCAAGATAGGAGCTCTGCTGCCAAATCGCTCACGGGTATCCATTTAAACGAAAGGAGGGGTCGGAGAGTACCAGAACCCTGTAAGAGGGTAAGGCAGGAGGCGTTGAATGGACGTCCTCTACCAAAAATGTCCGTTTGATCATATCCGCAGGGTCGTACTGCTTCATCCAAGAATAGGTCGCCGGCGGTAGGCTCGTTGCCTGGTGTAGCATATCTCTGTGTGAGCGTTATGTCTGTTCCCAGACGACCGGCTGCCTTGGGAGGGACCGCAAGGTATATGAGGACCGTTGAACCCCGTCGAAGCCTTCTCTCATTCTGAATCAAACAGTTCGGAGAGTGGAGCTTTGTACCCACCATGGCTGCTAGTATTGTGCGTCCCTTCGTTTCTATGTCTGTCGAGCCTCTCGACCGACCTGGTGATACCAGAGGTATGTTGATGTCCTGTATTCAAAGAGGAGAGAGAGCTCAACTACCCTTTAGGTTTTCCTATCGAGATTGATATCGACGACGAGAGTGCCGACCACGAGCACCATAGCGGTAACCCGCGCCCGGGTGATTCCAGAGGTTTGCAGGTATCCCAATTTCGACTGTAAAGGTACTGACTGATATCGACGCAGCTCACCCGATTGACCTCGATCAAGAAGATGAGAATAGTAACCAGGGCGAGTCCGGCCATTGCCACTGCCAGTGCAGGGAACGGTCTCTTTCGATTGATAGTAAGGTACTCTCTGGGTCAGCGGACTGACTGCTAACGTGGGCCCAGATACAGTTTACGACTTTACGTGCAAAATCTGCTACGAGAGCAGAGTTGATATAGTGCTTGAATGCGGACATACCTTCTGCTACGCCTGTGTCAACAGATTCTTTCAAGACTCGGCATTGAAGGCTGTAAAAGATGATCTTTTTGATGCTTATATGCTCCTCTCCGGTAATGCATTTTGTTTGTCTTGTCCTGGGTGAAGGGAAACTGCCGGGGTCATACATGAGACCCGTAGATCTTGAGGGAACGAACAAACGGATTTACCTCCCTCTTGACTGCAAGGATCCTGAGGACGGTCGCTACTTTATTCGAGGTTACCATGTGTTGGGAATGAAAATATACTTTTCGTAGGGAGCCAGGAGAACATGGGAATGTCAAATTTGATTTTCTGGCGCTGAATTTTGCCTGCTGTCCCTGACTAATATGCTTCACTTATTTGTTCTCTAGTCTTCTCATCATTGCCTCAAGGTAGAGAATGTTTAACTCAAACTAGTGCTTCAGCAAGTTGTCCATCATATATGTATCCTGCTCCTCTGCCCTCCGGTACCACGCATAGTCCTCCATGTATCTGATATGCACATAGGTAACGTTAAAGAGTAAAACGTTGTCTGCATAAACCTCCGAGCAGTACCCTAACATAAAGTAGGGCCTGGAAAATGTTGGAGGGCTCTAGTAAGACTCTCTCTCCGAACAGCGAGATCTGCTACTACCATTCCCCCGTACCGAATCTCGAGCACTACTGCCGCGAGAACCACATCGTTCTTGCCCACCTGCCTCATGTAATCAAACAGATTCACCCTTCCGAAATACACTTCGATTCTGATGGTCTTTCCCTTTGGGGATTTAGGTCCTGTGGTTTATTACATAGCTTGCCAGGCATTTAGGCAAAATTTAGCGCCTTATACTGCCGCATTGAACCCTTACGCGGGCTCAACTGCATGCCCCTTGCTTCGTCACCCAGGGTATGTGCACTTAGATAGCAAGATCAGAAACTTGATATGAGGCTGATGGAAGAATGTGCCGAGCGAGACGAGAACTACCGCCGAAGATGATACTCTATTAGTATAGCCTTCCAAAGTCAGCGCGGATTTTGAAGACGAGATTAGGGGCCAAAAGGATACACTGCTATTTGAGAAAGGACTGGACGGATCATAGCGGATTTCGTGAAACTGGAGGAAAAGAGGGAGTTTGCTGGCAATAGAGACCGATTGTTGTGAAGAGCAGGCCGGGCAAGGCGCAGGGGTCGGTTCGGGCAGTCCCAGGTCTTTTTGGTTCATGTAACAGAAAGATTACCACGCAAAGCAACAGCCTCTGGGATCACATAAACAACGACAATAAACAAGACGTCGAAATCACCGAGGAATTTGCTGATAATGCTGGGAGCGAAGTCCATTCTGATGAAAAAAGTGATACTTTTGATAGCGACACTTGCAGTGTTAATCACAATCTTAATAACTCTGAGGGGACCCTGATGACGAGAGGTCTTAGACAATACCACATACAGGGGCACAGAGCATCATTCACACAATTGCAGATAGTATACGACAATCAGCAGGATCCCAATGGACAAGCCATGCAAGTGGCCCAGGCGACAATCGATAGTTACAATCAGGAACTGAATCGGCAAAATATCAGCTTCGGTTATGACTCTGGGCTCAGAACGGTCAAACCCTCGGAATTCTTGCCTATTTGGTGCAAATTGCCGGGCACAGACGCTTCCGAAGAAAACAAAATGAAATTTGCCCAGGCGCGGAGACAAAAGCTTGAACAACTTTGCAAAGATAACCATTATTCTTTGAGATGGATGGAGCCTGGAGGAGCCACCTGTCTACACCCCTACCTATAAAACCAATGATGGCGATCAATGCTGGCAAACGCTCTTCTCGCTTCTTGACATGCCTATTCAAAAATGGTACAAGGACTGTGTCGCATTGGAAACAAGCCCCGATCATCAGGAAATAATTAAGATCACAAAGCAGATTCGAGACGAATTGACAAGTGCAGTCCTTCCGGCCTACGGGCTCGGCGAGACTCTTATACCAGACAGTAACCCAAGGGTTGAGGAACTGCTCAAGGAATTGACCGATCTTGCGAAATCAGAACGCGAGCGCAACTGGGATCTCTACAAGGTAAAGCAGCGCAAAGTTCTGAGCATTGCACAGGGCGGAGGATACTCAAAAAAAATTGGATGCCCCGGCAGCGGAAGAAAAATTACTTCAAATCTGCACGACGAACCAAAAAGTCAACTCGATCAACAGCACGTCAGGCTAACCAAGCCACCTATATACCTCTAGTACAGCCCTCAAACCACTCGATAGAGTACGCTGTTCCTCCGAGGGAGAGTGAGCGACACATTGAATCTGGCAAAACTATCCGGGCCAAAATATCATTGCTATTCAAAGTCTTGGAGAGAGCCGTGCACGATTGGTGGTAGAGGATGCGAACGGCAACAGAAAGCTGGTTAAGTCTTCAGCCGCCGGTAGTTCCTTGGTGCTTAAAATCGCGCGAGAACAGGGAAAGCCTACTACCATTCGGACAGATAGCAATATCAAACTTCTTTGTGACCGGCTTAAAAGAAGACCGGCTTACGACATTAAGTTTGTGGCTGTCGGGCCCAGGGTGATGAGAAGAAGCTTCCGTTTATAGTTGTAGGCTTCTAGCAGAGCAATAATGGTTTAAAGTCCGTGGGCGAAGACTATAAGAGCGACCTCACTCGACATGGAGGCGATGAACAAGTACAGGTGATAATATCGAGATCTAACCTGGCTAAGATCCTGTCGTCGCGGGATGGTGAGCAGCTGATCGTGGACAGTCTCTTGGGTCCTGGACACGAACATTTGCGACATTTGCGACTCAAGGACGCGCTTACTACCTTCAGTGGAGGTCAGATCCCAGTAAAACAGCATTCAAAGGGTCGGAGATTCGATCAAGGGTCCCAGCAGCTTCTTCAACAATTTCTTCGGCAATATCAGCCATATTAGGACCGCAACTCCAGCAGTTCCTTCAGCAGCTCCTACAGCTCCTACAGCTCCTACAGTCGTTTCCACAGCTGTTCCCGCAGTCGTTCCCTCAACAATTCCCTTATCAATCTCCTCAGCAATTTCCTCAGCCGTTCCATCAGCAGTTGCCTCAGCAGTTCCCCCAGCCGTTTCCCCAGCCATTCAATCAGCAGCCTCAGCAGGTCCCCCAGCAGCTTTCCCCGCAGTTTCCGCAGCAATTCAGTCCACATAAACTAGGCCAATAGGCAATCTCGCCATCAAGCCCAGGAGCTAAGGTCAAGGTGAACAGCGATATTGAAGAGGAATATTGATAAGTACTGGATTGTGCCTAAGATAGACTTATTAATGGTTTTAAATATCCGGTTGCGATGCATCCAGATCATGCCTGCAGACGAGCGCTAACATGATTCACTATCGATGCATGTACTGCTGTTTGTTGTCTCATTCCTCCGATAGCATTGGCAACCACAAACCTGACCAATAAACGATAACATTCTCCTTGGGCCATCGCCCTTGATCCAAGCAGGAAATAGTAATAGACACACACAGAGTATGCTGGTATTCGCTTCAATCATACTAAAGACACGTAAGTCTCGACACGGTCAGTGATAGAGGGGACGGGGCGTACGCGAGAATCGAGATTTTGGATAGGTTCCACGTTATGTCAGGACTGGAGTATAGTAAAGAGGTTTTTACAAGACGAACGAGTCCTGCAATACAGATACTGATCCACGTTATAATAGATTCGATGAATGTGGGACCATACATACAATGCACCGAGACCAAATATGGCCATAGCTTTTAGTTTCTGTTGAAAAGGCACGTCTAGGTACCAGAGACAAGGTGTCGGAAGAAGAAGGATGTATAGATCTGCGACCGAGTTCATGGCGCTGCTAATCCATGGAAGAATAGTCGGGACCGTACAATGGCTGTAGTCCAGGTTCTGGAGATAAGCCCTTGGTACACAGGAAAGGATTATGGCTAAAAATATTCCCAGAGACCCGCAGGTTATAAAGACGATACCGCAAATGATCAACCACTTTGAAGGCGTATGCATCCAGAAAAAGCGATAGTAGAGGAAGAGTAACGAGAGCTTGATTGTAAACATTAATGGGATATAGACAAGCTCAGAAAGGATAATAAACTGTAAAAGGAAATAAGAAATACAGTCAGTATAGGCTTCGCACGATTTCGGAGTGACTCACTTTCAGAGATTTCTGGATACTGGTCTCCGACAAAGTCTCTACATGTCGTCCTATGCCCATTGTGTATGCTGAACCTATTAGCATCAAACATCTGTGTAGGATGATGTGCATACACTGAATCGTTAAACCTGAGTAGATAATTGTCAAGACCTAGGTCAAACTGTAAGCTAGAATTCAAGCAATGTAATGAATAAAACATACATAGGAACAGATACATAGATCTATTCAGCCGAGGTCAGAACATTGTTTGCAGTTAATAGAGGGAACGCACAATCGTCTATGCTAACGGCTCGGATAATAACACGGCGGGTATGTAAACGTATTATAATGGCCAAAGAGATGATTAAAAGGCAAAGAATATGCAAAGCGACATATGGTATCATTATTGTGAGAAGCCTTTGTCCGGCTCGGAGTCGGGGTAAGAGAGCCTGTAGGGAAAAATTGGGCTGATAATTGAGGGTGAATATAGATATATAAGCTTAGAAGTAGAGTTGTGCCTTGACAGATTGTTAGCCTACAATTCTCCGTAGAAAGTGATGTGTATTGAAGACGACCTTGCTAGTCATCTTAACGCTATAGTCTTAGGCTTGTGGCTTGCCTGGATCGGCCGAGCGATATTTTGAGTGTGCTAAAAGTCAATAGTTAAAATTAGTGACTAGCCGCCCCTAGCTAGTTTGCCTACAGCGGACCACGGTTGACAGATGGCCGGCTGAGGTGGCGCGGCCTCCTCTTCTCAACCGCTCAGTCATGTACCACACAAAATTGAACTTTTACAGGTTCACTGTTGATCATCATCTTATCTATCTCTGGCGATCAGGATTTAACGTTTCACAATGGCGCTCCTTTGTCCCTTTGCTCCTCGATTGCGTTCTTTCACGATGCCAATGCGAATATACATCGAATCTACCCCGTCATTAATCTTACGTGTGACGGATACTTGGGCCTTTATCCTTGTGTTAGAGGAAATTACTCGACAATCTGACCAGGATAGAAGATCCCTTCCAGCCTATGAACCTATCACGTACCATGTCTGTACGCACCTCTACCCTCCCTCTTCATAGAGTCTCGAACACTGATTATTTTCCTTTGTGGCCCCTGACAGTCCCCGCTTTCCTGAACCCAACTTCCTAAACCCAACTTTCCCAAACCTAACTTTCCCAAACCCAACTTTCCTCCCTTTGTCCCATTTCACGAAGTTTTGATCGCCAACATGATTATTGACATTGATCTCTTCAACCATCCAGCCTCGACAATTGATGTGAAGAATGAGTTAAAAATACTCAGTGAACAGGTCAAAATTGTTGAAGGCCTAGAACACGCCAGGGCCCGTCTTGCAGCTACACGCTTGTTAGAGTCCAATACCTTATCGAAGTGTAATGTTTTCGTGCGCACTTTTAACAATAGCGCCCCTGGTAGCAATTTCGATCTTGAAGTCCGCAAATTAGGTTTGGATGAGCTGGTTTTCTGTTCTATCAGCTTCGAAGAGAGACGCCTCAAGTCCGTGGTTGATTATTTCATGTCGTCAAACATCCGGACTTATATGACAAAGGCACAAATATCATGCCTCGATCGTACAGAAATTTTCACGCGTCTGCAACGTTTATCGGACGAGTCCATTGGGACACCCTTTTATACGGTCTATACAGCTCTACATGCAGTACACATCACTCTCAGGCAGCTTGACACAATCGAACCGAAGGAGCAGATGGGCAATGGTACAAACTGCGAGCAATAACATTCGAAGCAAAACTTACTAACTATTTGATCAGGGATTTTACCAGGCCCAGAACCTAACACAACGGCCAAACAGCCTGGCGCCTTTGAATTTCCCACAGCGCGATGGGAAAATATTGACAAAGTGTTCCCAAAAAAGGCTGCTATGGCTATAAGACACGTCTCTCAGCGTTTGGTGGACCCAGGCATTACAGATTGTGTGCGATCAAGATTCCCCAGGGGTCGGGGTGATGGGGATGCGATCATATGGGTGGATTTTGGATCTGTTAGGCTTTTACCACTGCTTCATGAATCTGGATCAGGAGTTGGAGTTGCCCAGGTTCGAGAGGTATTCGGTGATACCATTTTTAATGCGATCGAGGCAAGCGATATGCGAAGATGGGAAAGGATCAATGGACGTACAGATACGACAGAATGTGTCAAAACGAAAGTGGTTTGTCAAGCAGAACTTCGAATAGCCTACGACACAACTATTGCGAAGGTCTTATTCAATTGACCACGTAATAGCCTTTGTATATCGTTGCTGAGATACCTGCCGGGAGCTTCATCAAGCCATTGCTTTCCTTAGTATTCCAAATCTCGCGTCCTGCATCGAAGAATACCACCTCTTCGCATTCTCGGCAAAGGAGTTGTCGATCGACAGCCGCAGGGTCGATTGATTCGAGCGATACGTATTCGTTGAGTCTCTTCAGTTGGCTGTCATTCGCAGACAGGGTTTCCCATCGCGATGCCTACCGGCGTTAGTGCTATAAGCTAAACTCTCTCAAAGGCAGCATACCAGGTTATCTTTTGTTATTGTCATAATAGGTCGTACAGGTAAACGTATACTGTCTGTTTTAATTTGGTATTAGTCTCAATCTAAATGAGAGTGAACTGAGCTGCGCTACCTTCACAACTGATAAGTGATGTGTTAGAATGGTGACAGATTCCTGTCAGAGATGAGCGGTTTTGTTAAAAAGGTGTTATTTTGTTGGAAGTGATGATTTCCAAGGTATCTGGAAGCACGACCAAAATTCCAAGGTGGGGTGGGATTGAGGGGCAGCTTATTTAGTCAGCAACATAATTAAAAGTTAGTTAACGTGATTCCCGGCCGACCGGTCACCTCATCAAAACTTCAAAAAATCACAATTTTCAACAGCAAATTTAGAACCAAAACAATAATAAAATTGACCATCTAACTCTCTCAGGGCATTGGTTAATCCTGTGTCCTTTAGTATTACAGCTAGAACAAGTAAACTCGCGGCGAATGGTAGACATCTGAGGTAATGCAGGTTTAACCACAGTTTCTGTAGAAGTTGGATCCAAAGATATATAATCAATACTACCATTTCTCTCAACACCAATATTATCCTGAATCTCTTCTAATTTCTCCAGACTACCCTTGTGAGCAGTCTGCTTTTTATGTTTTATTATTTTTTTTGCTTGCTTCTTATTTGCTTTTTCTAACTGGCAACATCGATCGGAAAGAAAAAGATAGTGATAAAGCAATCGGACTGTCATATTGTAATAGTGCTGAATCTCTCTTTTTATAGGTGAAGAGAGATTATCGGATGAAGGTTCTAGGCCTAAATCGATGCGAGATTTAGATTTATCTAGCTATTTAAGCGTCCAGAGAGAATTGGAGTCTATCACTGCCGGAGGATGGTAGTCGATTTGGTAGTAGTTCAAGAGGTGTTAGAGATTCAAGCTGAATATTCAACTTCTCTAACACATGATCCGGATTAAAAGGGACTAATCCAGTAGCTAAAAAGCTATTTCGAATATTAGTCTCTTTAAAAGTGTCATATCGCACTCCAGAAAAGATATCCAGGAAATCTTTTTCAATCGAATTGATATTGAGACTCATGTATTCCGCCACTTTGCCTCCGTATAAGCGTTTTAAAATCGCAAAACAGCCTTCATCAAGTGGCTGTAAGAGATGCGGTACATGAGGTGGCATACAAATAGGGATAATATTATTTTCAGAGCATAGCTGGTCAAATTCCGGAGTAAGATGACTCCCATAACTATCTAGTACTAGAAAAGAATGTTTTCTCTTTCTTAATTATATATTTGGAATAAAATGTATTTTTAACCAATTAAGAGCAATCTTATTGTTTGTTCAACCATTTTTCGAAACATTAACTCGCCAGTCAGCTTCGTTAGATAGAAAATTGAACTAATAATGCTTAAATACCTTGCCTTTGAAAATGATATATGGCGGTAGAGCGACTCTAGAAGCCCGTATACATTGTTGCTAAGGGAAAATTTGATGAGGTGACCGGTCGGCCGGGAATCACGTCAACTATGGCTTGATACAATTGGTTGACTCAATGCTGTCCGGTATCGGGTCGCATAACAAAGTTTGTGATAGATTGGCTAAATATACTTTCACTGAATGAAGTATACGGTATGTATGTATAGGTGTCTTTGCTTGTTCTTACGCATACATGACCGACTTTCTTCCTGCCTTCACAATACAGATCATGCCGTCATATATGTTCACGAAGTTTCACGTGGAATATTACTGGTTGAATATCCAATCAAAAAATTTCCAAAGGTCCTCCATAGGACCAGGGCCGGCCGGTATCGACACTTAGACTACAGGCACGGATAGTCAAAGTGTCAATTCCTTGACCCTGCTGGGAATCGAACCCAGTAGCTCCTCCGGAATGTGCTAGCAAGTTACGGCTAGACGACCGGTGCCTTATTGCTTACTAAATACTCGCAATTGTCACATTCCTGTGGGTCTTCCGAAAAGCGATTTCTGTTTGTATTGTTTGCATGAGTACTGGTTGGGAACGCGGCCTAAGGAAATTGGCAGAATTTGTAGAAAGATCGGACAGAATACTCGTAATCTTGAAATTTGCAGCCCACGATCCAGCACCAAAGTTGATCAAAGTATATTTCCTTTTGGAAAAAGGAAGAAAACCTTTTTTTTTTCATAGAAGCAAAAAAGTTACTAACACTCTGGTATTCTCTTATTATTTTACCCTCCCGTCCCTCCCTTTCTCTATCCCCCCGTTTTCCACCTCGGATCACAATCCTGCACCTGCGCCAATGAATACTCCTCGCGCAGAAACCTGGCTCTTCCAATACTGTAGCGCTGCGGCACACCTTGTTTTAGAAAGCGAAAGAGGCATTGCCCATGACGTTTTAGTGCTATAAGGCGTGCTCCTCTGCTCACTCCTAATAGAATGCCTTCATTCGGGGTGACTGCTGAAGAGACTGGCAATGTTCATCTAGGTAGAACTTTGGGGTGCTATTGATAAAGATGCCTTGTGCAGTGGCGACAGTAACTTTACTGTTTATATCAGTAATCTTGTCCAAGCATGGCTGCTTCATTAAATACCAGCCTGGCAATATCATGTAGCTCAGAGCCATTTCTGTTTACACTGAGGGCCTCAGACTAATCTGATTTCTGTAAAATATTTTTGCGGTTCCTTCAGAGACGGTAGTAATGTTCTGTTTTCTTTGTTAGTTATACAAAACGGAAACTACCGGGCCCTGCCTGGATTTTGCTGACTTCGGAGTTAAACTACTCCATCAATGTCAATAATGCAGCAAGTATAAAAGTATACACGAACAAAGCTCCAGTCGGGAAATCTGTGGTATGCAAAGATTCTGATCAGACCTGGTTCATTCGCTCGGTCTGGCCATTGGTCTTAGAATGATAAGCAGTATGCTAGAACCAGTTAAACGAATGCGGTACGTTATAGAATGGAGAGGGATCTATGGTTACTGCGAAACCTGTAACTCCGAGGGTCTAGCTTCCTGTGTCGACCCCAACGATGTTACATTCAACTGTAAAGAGACTCCCTAGAGAGCTTGTGGGGCTACTAAACCATTGATCAGCTGGCTGCTGCCAATCAAGCGAGCTATCATCAATATTGGTACTCGAAATATTAGAGTTCATACTTGAAAATAGACTTTCTACGCTGATCACACTTATGTCTTTCCTACCCTAGCTGTTATCAGAGCAAGGATGCTATTAATAACTATAACACTGGCATGAAATCCTTGGTTTAGCTATGGCGGCGTACTCGGAAAATAGGAATATCCCGATTGAGCTTCTGTGTAAGTATGTTAGAGCTTGATTTGTTTGTATGTTCCAGAAGCTAACGAGACTACAGCCTATCAAGGAAATTCCATATCATAGCTCATACCAGGGTCCCAGGTGCAGGTGCAAGAGAACTGTCATGGCTATTACTCAGGCCCCAACAGGACAAAAGTCTACACGATCTCGCACTCTACCCGCCCGTGCAAGTTACAAGGCTCCACAGCATTAGCATGATCTGTCGGCCCCCAACCGGCTACAGAGACCAGTTGAAACACTCCAATCAAATGAAAAAATTGAAGCTGTTGGCAACCGATATGAGTACCGGAATAGGCAAACTGTTGAGATTCTTACTAGTATCGGGGGCATTTATCATGAATGGAAGATAGTTGATTATGAATATGTCACAGGTAGATCAACGTGATGAACTATACACCCTGTTAATTCTGACGAAATAATATAAATGAAGCATTCCGTGCAGCCAATTTGCGAGAAGTTATGTTCTTCTAAAGGCATGATGATATTTGGATACGATATCAGAATCTTCTATCCTGATCTGGTGTTGTCAAACGAAGAAATTATAAAATTTCCCTCGCCCTATTCCCTTGACAAGATTCCAACTGTTTGAACACCTGTGAAGGCAAATTACTCGGTAGCAAGTTGTTTCATTCTTTTTGTCTTTGGTACCTATTTTTGTTGTGATTTATTGCTTGAGAGACTAATTATCCCTCTTATCTAGGTATCTTTCAATATGTCTTGCATTCACGAGAACGGTATTTTTGCTCAACTTGTTTCAACCGAAACCTGTTATGGACATTGGATCATTACGTTCATTCAATCTTCCACGTTTTCCGGTGCAAGCCTTGAGCAAAACAAAATCCAGTGGATTAAGAACCGACCCGACAAAGTTCTGGATATCATTGAGCTTGTTAGGACAGACAAATGCCCAAAAATTGAAGAGCTGAAAAGCTCTCTCGGGATCCCAGAGGATCTTATAGGGCCACGAAAGCACTGTACTTGTACGCAGTGGGTGTAAGTACGGTCATATAAGAAAGATGGCTCTTATTCTAACACTCAATAGCTGGCGATTGCTCTGGGACTATGGATGGAGGGGCTATATCGAGAAAGCCTCTAAAAACGGTGTTTCGATTGATGAATTATTCCACTGGATGGTCAAGGCCCAGTCAGAAGCACATATTGATAGAAATATGGAATCTGCATGATTGAAGCACTGCCAGGATTGGTGGATTAAGATAATTGTTTTGTGTCTCAACATGGCTCCAAGACTAGGCTTTCGCAGTTTGCCTTAGTTTTCTTTCTCTGCGTCAAATATAAGACCATGTGATTTATGCTTCTCTTCTCCCACAAGAATGTTAACTCTATAGACTATAGCAGCATGTGTAATCTTCTGTTTAAAATTATAGTAATAATACTTTGAAATTTTAATATCAAATACTAATTATTACCTGTGTCTCTTTAAATTTTCCTTTACTAGCCATGGGTCTTGCTCCGGCGGCTTGTTTTAGGGTAGCAGCAGTTAGCTAGGCAGTCAGTATTCTCGACTGCGATAAGTGGGATCCCATGTAAGAACCCGCCTCGATCCAAAAAATCGTTTGGACCGAGCGTACAATCTAAACCATCCTGGGAAAAGGTCGGCCTAGATTGAAGTTTAGCCCGGCCTCTGTATTCTACTCCACAATTGACCCGATCGGCACGCTGCCACAAGCTACTATTTTTTGTAGCTGTTGCCTTGTACTGACGCCCATTCTCCAGAGTACGGAGTACAACGTAAGGCAAAGCCTCGCTTGGGAGATCACCCAACGGTGTCGATGCATCCCTAGCGGATGCAACCATCTAGATCAGCAAAGATTTTACCGCATGAAATAACTAACATGGAGCCTAGTAAGATGCCTATAAGACTAAGGCTACACAAGTAGACTGATCGAGTGACTTTCTTTGTAATCTAAGGTGACATAACTAGTCTCCCTTCTAACTATTGATTACTAGGGAATCGCATACGCCATACACAGTACTACTAATGGGAAATGCCCAATCTTTCTAAGATAAGAAGATGACCCACATGTGTGGCCAATTGGATGTTCCTGGGTGCGCCACCTCCTGTTGGCTTCCTACTGTACGGAGTGCAAACAGGTGGTTGGCCATTCGGGGAGATTGCAATATCCTAGTACCTTGGCCGTTTTCCAGCCAAGGGGACAAAAATATACAAGACAAAATAGGACTGTACCTAGATACTAGTGTCCTGTGGGTCTAGGTCCTTAATCAGTTCACTAATTATCTTTTAGAGTAGATTAAGCAGTTGGCTAATAGTATCTATGCTTGATTATACCGTACTTTTGTTTATTTCTTTGCTATCCTATCCCTATTGGTATCAATGCTATCGTCTAATTTGAAATATCAGTTTTGATTCTTTTTATATATACCGGTCCTCGTTTTCCTGTGGCAAAGCCATTCTATTGTGTTTTACTCTCCAGAACTGCCTGGCCTGTTGCGGCCTTGTTCAAGAGCTATTGCACCGATAAATGTCAGACTTCCGATCTACTCGTCCTATCTCGGGTGTGCTTCTCCCACATCCTGCCTACTGTTCTGCAAATCGAACACTATATAACACTACACCTCGATCTGCATCTCCTTACCGTCAACCTCGCATGACTTTGTCATCGCAAGAGGCCCATAGCAACAGTGCCTCCCTGCCTCTACATTCGATTCCTTCAGCTCATGCAGATGTACCATATAATCTTGCTGCTCACCTGGAGATTTCTCGGGCCCGCCAGCCTAATATTCCCAGAGCGCTGCAGGTAAAGTTTCCCATCTATTATATTAATAGCATTATTATAAATCGCTGATATCATATGTTTCCGATTTGGAAAGGCATGTAAATATTGTCGCATGAAGAAGAGAAGATGCGATGAAGGGCGACCTTCATGCAACATTTGTGAAACAAATAATGTGATATGTATTTATGACGAAGTTCTTCCAGACAGGGAAATAATTCGTATCTTTGCTGATATCTCCACCTGCTAATGGTGATACATAGGGAACAAAGGAATACGCAAAAATTGATAAACCAACTTATTCATTTGGAAAACGTCATACAGGATCAAGCAGATCTTATTCAAAGGGCACAACTGGAGCACGAAAATCAACTAAACTGGATCTTTCATCAACTTCCAAAAGAACCGAAAGGAAAGGACAGTACAGAGTTGAGCACCTTACTAGTGCCGCAAAAGTGGGAAATGGAAACGTTGCAGTCTGAGGAATATGGCGAACTTTCAATCCCAAGTAAACACATGACCGCAGCCCATCAGCTGCTAGAGTGGCCACTGATCAAGCAGCTACTTCTTCCAAAGGAGTATGACAAGGATTATGTGATGATGCTTGAGGAAGATCGAGGATTGATCTTTGCTTGTGTTCCAGGAGAAGGAGACAATACTGATAATGATATGAACGCCTTACCCCCGATAGTGACCCCTGCCGAAAACGGTCTCCATGAAAGTGGTTACCTAACTGCAGATTCCCAAACTCTTCACCGGTATCATCGCAGCTATATAGAGCATATCCATCAGCTCCATCCGTTTCTCCATCAGACTGATCTGGAGACAAAGGTCGGGCAATTCATTGATGACCATTGTCCACAGAGTGTTTCGGATTTATCATCCAGAGCTAGCCAGATCAACGGGAGCCATATCGAGAGATCTATTGTGAATGCCATTGTTCTGCTGGTTTTCGCCATTGGGAGTATCTGCGAAGCCCCACTTGTTTCTGGATCTACAATGGACAACCAGGACGGCCAGGCATCTGCATCAGAGCGATTACACTATTTAGATGCCTACCACTTAACGAATCCGAATCCTATCCCCGGCCTTGCATATTACGGTTATGCTACTCAGATTCTTGGGAGCCTTCAAGGTGCCAATGGACTATTACATGTTCAAGCAGCCTTATTAGCCGGAATATACGCAGGTCAATTAGTACATCCGCTTCAAAGTTATGGATGGATCCATCAGGCAGCCCGCTCCTGCCAAGTTCTTGTCCGAAAGTAAGTTGGCTAAGGACTGACTTATAAAGAATCCTCTCTCACTTTTTTAGAAAACGATACGACCAAATTGAAGAGAGTCTTACAAAAGATCTCTACAATTCCGCATACTGGACTTGTTTACAGCTGGAAAGGTAGGCAAGTACATAGTTAAGGTTTAATATGATTTGCTGATATGTCAAGCAGCGATCTATTAGCAGAGCTTGATCTTCCAGCCAGCGGTATCTCCCGTTCTGAGGCCCGTATATCACTACCAAAGGGCTACTTGACGTTATCTCTTCCCGACGAGATTTCAGCTTCAAACACCAAAGCTATGTTCTTTTATTCTGCTCAGGTTCATCTTAGGAAAATTCTTAATCGTGTTCATACTGATCTATATAAAGTCGAAGGTAAGATTCTTCCCTGATATTAATAATAGTACTAATAATAGAAGAACAAGGTCAGATCCGTTGGTCGCTTAAAGTGCAAGAGACTTTAAGCATGAATCTTGAACTCTGGCGAACAAGCCTTCCTAATATGATGAAATGGAAAGACTATGACGCACCTTCAAATGAGATTAATGCTGCCCGTCTGCGAGCGAAATACTATGGTGCACGATACATTATTCATCGGCCTCTCTTATACCTTGCTCTACACCATTCTGCAAATCCTGATTTACAGCCCCTACCGACCAGTCTATTCACTGTATCTGGGTCTGAGTCGCAGCAGACCCCACCATCAACCACCTGTCGTGGGCGGGGTAGACAGGTAGCCTACCGTGATCTACCTTACAGGCTACGAAGAGCTTGCAAAATATGTGTCGAATCAGCAATACTGAGTACAATCGCTTTCGATGGAATCAAAGGTTATGCAATTGTAACAAATATCTTTGGGACTGCGCATGCGTATGTTATATTACAAACATTCAAATTGGTTTACTAATGTTTATTTGATTCTAGACAATTCGGTAATATGCTAGTTCTATCTACTGTATATATGTCCAACCTCTCTGAGCTTATTGATCGGAATACTCTGGAGCGACTTCTTAAACGAACGATCACATTCCTCCTCCGACATTGTTATATTTCACCGAGTATTCGTGTCGATGCACAAATACTTATTGAGATATATGAGAAAATCTTTAGGAAGCCGGAACGAAGCTCTTCAGCTATTAGTTAGAGAATGGTTAACATCATTGTGGAATAAAAGTCAGTATTACGAGGACTGTAGTAACTGTATGGCTCTGTTTGTAACTATAAATTAGGATTACAGCGATATTCCGGCGAGAATCCGATTGAGAAGCGTAGAGTAGTGTAGTATATACTCGTAGATACACGATAGTCCTATCTTAGATTTGGTAGTATAAGTGCATCCGAGTATAGAGAAACCGTTTGTCGCTGATCTTGTTATAACGGACAAAGGCTGTCTATGTATACTAAAACAAATCTTCTAAAGCTATTCCACTATTTGGACAAGCTGATATACTTATTCTTACGCATCGTAGTAAGGGCCTCGATACTATGATGGCAAACTGTATTTATAGTGTTTATCTTGCACAGCTTTTTATTGAGTTAAAGGCTTAAACTGAGAAACAACTGAAGACACTTTCGGAGATCTGGTATAAAGGAAGTGGTATATCCTGCCCGGGGGATACCAAACCTATAACACTACCTCTAAGCGTGTGTTTTTAGTGGGTTTGACGGCTTTCATAAACCGTTGATGATAACTGTGGAAAGGTGTCAAGCAATCTCGTAGAGGCGAAGAAACAACCAAACTCAACCATCCGGGTCTCTCCTTGCCTCCCTTACCTTTTCTCATTTTAGCAGCTACGGAACAAAGTTATTCCCGTCCCGCACAGTACCGTCCCACAGAATTACTAGAAACGGTCTTGGCGGGTAGAAGCGCACCTACCACTGCCAAGCCCCTAACAAGTGGAACGTCAACGGGATTACTCTGTTAAAGCAGCAGTCCTCTGATGGGATGCAGATCAGGTACCGAATCAAATATGCTATTCTACAAAGGGCCTGATTAATTTAATTTGTGGACCACACCGAATCATCGGCACAAGCTATATAGCCTTAAATCCCGTCGGTATATATTATAAATTGACTGAACTGTAGAGCTGTAGAACCCTTAAATTCATGTAAGATTTCGAAGATTGCTAGCTAGGTAAAGCTCACCCGAGACTGGTAAGATTCAATCCGTAGGTGATTAGAGGTACACGGGCCGGCCGTGAATCGGGCTCTCAGATTGCTAAATTTTAATCGATTGAACTAGCGGTCGTGATGGTTATTACACTCTGTATAGTATAGGTACGAATCTCAGTATGTGGATCGCCCCGAGTCGTTAAATCAGGGGATAACTACGCGGAGTAAGTACTAGGTAGTGTTGTCCCTGACATTAGTATGAAACTAAATTCTTGCTGGTGTAGCTAACTAGGTGACCAATCCTCGATCGCTTGAGATCCCTTCTTAACAAAGAGTTAGATCTGCATCCCCACACGTCAGCAGCGCCGGGTACAGGGGTTTTCGAAAACAGATTCCCCTCCAGACACACAATCTTTCTCTCCCAGCGGCCCACTTATATTTTTTTAAGCCGGATACGGTAAAGGCTAGCCTATTTGAGCACAGTCTTGCCGGGTGATTAGCTGGAGAGGGTATTTTAAAGTTCGACGGTCCAGGCTTAGACCTATAGTGGGTCCTTAGAAAGCGTGTGTGTCTCGTGGAGGAATCTGATTTCGAAAACCCCTGTGCAGTCATCCGGTAGAATGCCAAGCTGGGTGCTTATACCGATCTTGGGGTCGGATTTGGACTTACTGACACCCGCCACACTCACCTGGCGGAGAATAACTAGGCGCCCGTTACTTAGTTATAAGCTCCTATTCATCATACTTTACAGTTTACACACTCAGCACCCAACCATCATGGATAAACCCTCGATGCGAGTCATGGTATATATATGTGTTACCAATATTCCTGGAAACCCTCAAAGGCGCCATATCTCTCTTGGAGAAGCACTTTGCAAGCAAATCTTATATAAAAAGTTCCATGTGGAACTTCATCCTTCCTGTTATGATCATGTTCATATTCCCGCCGATTTCGATTCAGCTCGACCACTGAAAAGGTGGTTTATCTTCGATATAAATGTCAAGCAACAGTTGAGTGCCGAGGCTGTGACCCATATCCCACATTCAGTATTTCTGGCGAATTACCAACACGGTCAATTGTATGATATAAATTTTATTCAAGGGCTTAATGCTTACATGGATATTAGGATATTCATACGACGTGACAACTGGGTAGAGAAAGCAATATATCGAGCTCGGTCGTATACCTGGGGTGGTAGATTGGAACAAAAAGAAGCAGCTGAAATGAAAGAACAACTTGTAGGAGGTCCACTTTAGCTACATGCTATTGAGCTGATCTTCAATCAGGAAATCTCAAGCGGTGTCATCCCTTTACAGGCCAGACATGCCTCATCATCTTGCTCTTCTTGCCAGTCCCAAACATCTGTTCGCTGATCTGGAGGATATGTCACTTGATTTTGTACGGCAAGCCTACATCTAGCAATGTATATGATTGCCAAATCGGCCTCGTACGTTGTCGCACATCTATGCTATACTTGGCTGGGTAAACATAAAAGTAAGGTTAGGGAATATATTATACCTTAGGCTAGACAAGAGTTATCTGCTATTGGAAAGTTTTGGTATAGAATGTCAGGGGCCAAGGTGGTTGGTGTATGGATCTCAGGACTGGTATTTTGATAGTTGCTAGTCGAAAAAATTTCTTGGTGTAGGACTACTTCTTCATTCTCATTATTTCCATCAACCTAGACAGGCTTTCCGGGAACTGATGTCACTACCTACTCTGCTTCTCTCTTTCTTAGACTTTCGTAGCAAGGGAATCCTCATCCCCTTTAGTTAAGGTATGGTAATAGCCGTCCAGTCAGAATTAGTGTAAGCTAATAGTCCCACTCGGATATGGGGTTTTCTGTCTTGGCAATGGCATTCGAGAAAGAATGGAAGAGAGTAGATGGTAACATCGGTTCTCGGAAAGCCTGTATGCTTCTACAGCAGCTGGCTACTCCATAATCCAATCTTGCTTACAGGTGGGCAATCGTGTTGCCGACTACATCGTATAGAGAATATCCCGGGGCACCCAGGCGAGAACTTGAGGTAGGAAGGCAACCAAGCATCCAGAATACTGCGGAAAAGTGCCTCTGCGCTCACAGTAACAAAAAAGAAGGAGACATGAGAGAGAATATACACCCTCGGCCGAGCAAGACAGGGTAGTCACCCGGGAAGGAAAGTGTAGTACTCAACTGTTAGTATAACAGCGTACAGTAATATTACAAACTCAACTCAAGCCACCGTCACACAAGAACGGTAGACTGTGATCTCTCTTTTTCCTTTCTCTTATTTCCTCCCCCCCTCCTTGTCCAAAAACAGGCCAATCAAACCCGGTTCATGCTTGTGCCAGCCGTAAGTCACAGCCTGCTGTGTTACTGTTGTCAGACTTTGAGCATCAACGATAATGCTGGGGGCACGGTGGGTAGGTTTTGGGGGTCACTGGCATGCCCCCAACTTCAGTACACCATTTGCTTTCGACTTGCCCCGATAGATCTTGTAGCTTAGTGAGGTATGGCCTCTAGTAATGGTGACGAGCTGAATGTTGTACCAATTTCCCTTCCCAATTAGTAGAGAGTAGATGTAAAAATTGATTTAACTCTACTGGAGCATTCAATGTAAACGAAGCAAACATATCAAACCGGGCAAACAATGACTAAGGCATAATACTACGTACTCCGGAGTAGACTTTGCAGGCCCTGCGTGTAGACTGTAGACATGATACGATAACGCTCAATAACATCACCAGATCTACGATAGAGCCGAACGCTCGATATGCCACATGCTGATTAGGCTCCTGGCATGATCCTAGAGTTGCAGAGTGGATATTAATAGATCAGGGCGGTGGGACGGATACCTAGGGCGAACGGTGGCCGCGTACGGAGGACCTCGGTCAAAACTCAGATCTGCGACCGTTTAGCTGCATGCCATCAAACCCATTCGGAATATCTTATATCTCGAAACCTGGTGTCCTCGGACTCATATCATCTGTTTTAACTGATAATATAATAATACTGATTCGTTAGTACTATTATCTTTTTTTGCTAGAACCGACGAAAATTCAATTATTTAAATCAACACCTGCTGAGTGAACCTACAACTAGTTAACTAACTACTGTCCACGGCGGGTGGATTTGACACGCCGCGGCCATACATTGCTCTTTACCTCGGCTAGGGCCTTGCGCGTGAGCGGACAAAGTTCGACTGTTCCTTAAGAGACGGAGTGGAAATATATTGGTCTTATGGTTGCATACCCGCTGCCCAAAAAAGCGTTAATGCCTGTTTCCCGAAAACATTATGGCTGCATCAGGAGGGAACGCATGATATATGAAGATCCTTGAACCCCGTCTTCCTTAGATAAAAGGTGACGATCTTGCCAATACAAATTATTTGGATTCTGTCACGGACTGTGACCAGCCTCCGAAGACGTTCCTTCGTGATACCCTATGACCTAACTACCCGATCGGGACTAGCTTCACAACCTAGCTTAGTTTCTTTGTTGAATGCATCCCCTACATTCTCGCAACTCCTTATCGCCTGCGTAGCCGTTCGTCACAGATTCATCATCGGTTCTAGTTTTGCCTTCATGATCGAGAATGTAGTCGCACGGATGCGAGGGGTTTGAAGCGCCAGTTGCCTGGTAGGGAAGATAATGGGCGAGACAGCCGTGATAATCTCTGTCATTTACTTTTCCTTTACTTTTCCTTTTGCCTCTCTCAAGCTTCATAATTTCCTACCGCCCCAAGTTATGCGAGAATAAAACACTGGCTTTGTATTCAATGCGAGAATACTATTTCGTAACAGACGCCAGACAAATCACGCCTCTAAAAGGGTCCAGAACATCTAAGTGCTTGGGCCTTGCCGTATAATCATTCACTAGTCTCTTTCTGGCTGTCGATCCGTGATTGTCACGCATAAAAGCGTGCACACTAGACTAATGAATTATGTCTGAGGTAATTGTCTTAGCACCTTTAGGGAATAATACGTGCAAATAATTAGAGCGAGAAGGACCATCTGCTGGAGCTAGTTGGTGATTTGTATAGCCTTACGCTAAGCTTGAGGGAATATTAGTAAGTATCGTTTTGATTCGTTCGGCCCCGATGTTATGAATCATACCAAAGGAATGTCCCCGGAAGGAATAGAAAAGACTAGGTTCTGGTTCTGGCCAAATGCCAGCTGAACGCACAGACTCGGTCATGCGGAAGTGCGAGCAATTAGACAAGGGGATATCTGTCTATTGTACCCCTGTCTAGCTGGCACATTTTCGTAAAATGTGCCAGCTAGACAGGGGTACAATAAACAAAAATGTGCCAGCTAGACAGGGGTACAATATAAAATGTGCCAGCTAGACAGGGGTACAATATAAAATGTGCCAGCTAGACAGGGGTACAATAAACAAAAATGTGCCAGCTAGACAGGGGTACAATAGACAGGGGTACAATGCGGGGCTGACTGCTTAAACCACGTAAAAAGAAGCGGTAAGGAAGCATTCGCAAAAGATTATACCGCTGAAGTCCCATTCATTTCTTATTCCTTCATCTACATCTATCAAGTTCCTTACCTTGTCTTATATTGTCGTCATGATGGCAATAGAATCAATTATCCACGCGACCGAAGTCTTGTCTAAGCTCTCAGCAATTAACATCCAAGACTTGCTCCCGCACCGATGTGCATTAGAGCATACGTTTGATATTATCAAAAACACACTCGAATCCATTCATTCAGAACGCTCTCAGACTTCTCCTGCTAGGTCTTTTTCATCTGAGACTCCTTCGACTACCCCCTCGGTTCCCCGACCGGAACCGCATGCTGGTAGAGACACTGAAAGAAATGACTTGAGTGAGGATACTCGTGAAGATATCGCTTCAGATCTTAAGTCTCTTTCTCGGGCACTCTCTGATTGCAAACAATCCCAGAAAATTAAGGAATATCTGTGCTCGACAGACCTTGATCCCATCAACTATTCAGGGGGTGACTGGACTCAAGAAGACCCTCGCGTGGTCGACATCCAATTTTGTTCACGTACCTGCTCACTGGATTCCAAGTTTCGACGGGGCTTAGCCCAAAGATCCTTGGCCATAGAATTTGACAACTGGGAACGAGCAGAATACCAGTCTTCCAGAGTTTCGGAACTTCATCAGGACCCTGATATGGCTGATTACAAACAGAATGGGCACATACACGAATTCCTCCAGTCGAATGCCGATCGTTTCAAGGATCGAAACTCAACTTTACATGGAATTAAACACGGCATTCGACTCCTTGTATTCGAACTCATTTTTGGCCACGCTGGGGTCTCGGCAATTTTGGTATTATTTTACAGCCACTTCAGAGGCGTAAAATACAAGAATCACATCGAGTTGAAGAGTCTGATACTTGAGTCCCCATGGCAGTCATTAGCAATCCACAAATCGTCATGGCTGGAGGATTGCCAGCACCGTTATGATAGTACGTTTTCTAGAATCTGCGAGAGCCTTGCTGATCATATGCTTGCCAGCAAGAAGTGTGACATGGCGAGTATGGCAAAACATTTGGGGGGCCACTGAAGGTGGCCGAGAGCCCCAATGGCCACCCGCACAATGTCGGCACAGCATTGACGAGCCTATATCACTTTCGGAACAACGTCATGTGGCGACGGAGTCACAAACATCCCAAGAAAGAGAAAGTAACGTGTCTATGCCTCGAATCTTGGCGGATGAAACTCAATCTCTTGAGCCTCAAGTCGCAGGCCCTATTGAAGCAACAACAGTGGCCATCGACAGCCAGCAGATAGCTACTCATAGACAGTTGGCAGCTCCAAGTGTCGGGGGCAGCTCGGTAGACATGCGACCAGCTGTTCAAAATGCCTCATTTCGTGGTCCAGATCCATTGTACTCGGGCTCGATACATTCTTTCAACCCGCTTGATTACTCCAATCTTCTTGCAGACTCCGATTCGGAGCGAATCTCCCAAGAGATCTCCTCGACCGGGTTTGTCTTCAATCCCCTTGATTATCCCAACTTGCCTCCACCGCTACCAGACCCTGATGTTGAGTTTGTTTTCAATCCACTTAACTACCCGGGCATCCCTTCAGACCCACAAAATGGCGATCTGGAAAATCGTTTGTAACTTCTACCACTGTGCCTGTATTATGAACTCAAAATCAAATGTAGCTTTTTTTTTCTCTTTTTTTGTTCTTTTTTTCTGCAAATTCCGGATGTTGTACAAATGAAGGTCAGCTTTATTGTTTCGCATTCGCTATGTCCTTCCAATGCAGTTTCCATGCCAATCAATCCAGGGTAACTATCGCGATATCGGCACCATAACTTTGATCCGGCGTGAGAACTCGATCAACGTCATCACGAATATCAAAATAAGACCCAGGCGAAAGGTCCTCGGTTGGAGTTAAAGTGCTCGTTCCCTGTATAGGGATGAGAAGAAGCCGCTTCGTAGGGTTTTCGATCTTTGCAGTCAACAAGAAATGGAAAACCGTGCAGTCATGGACCTAGAAACATATTTATCAGACGCGGACAAAATGATATCATGGAAGATACACACTTTATACCCCCGACTTTCCATGTCCGCTTTCATGGCTTTGCATTCGTCCAAAAGTCGATATTGCCAGCCAGCTTTACTTTCTTTCACGCGTTCTGGGCTCTCATTTTGAATAATGTCTCTCATTTTGGCCACCACATCCCAAGCACTTTTCCAGAGAGATTCGCTCGCCATTTGTGTCACTCTAGTATCTGCAATAAGTGCTTGAAGATCTTTGGAGGAAGTCAGCATGGAGGGACTTGGGTATAGTAGGAATCTAACCTGCCTTGGATTGAACTCTTTAGGAAGGATATAAAGTGTTATGATGCCACTGATTGAGGGGTAACGCGGGGCTGTCGCGATCGCAAAATGCTACCCGAAAATCACATGATCTGCTGCCCCCTGAGCATGGTCTCTTGCTGACTGTCATGGCTACCTTACTAGGCGACAGCCCGGTGCCTAGAATTAGACATTTGGCCATTGCTGAGATGTCGAAGTCATTATTCGACGAAAATTACCGCTCTTAGGCATTTCACCGCCCATGTTTGATGGTTGCTAGTAGTGGCTTGCTATAAAAGAAGGCACACACAGTGATACAGCCTAGAGCAAAATCAAACATAGCTGCTACACACATGCCTCTTTTTAGCTTCAAAACTTCCAAGCTTTGCTTTCGCAGCGACGAATCTCATCCGCAAATGAAACATGTCTACACATGGTCCTAATAGTTCAGGACAGACTGCGCCAGCTTGTGGCCTTGGCGTATCAGATAGCAAGAGACAGAAGTCCCTACCCAAAGGCAGTCCTTATCAGGGACGCAGACATTCTAAACCTCAGTAAGTCTCTACCAGATTTAAACTAGAAATTATCTTCGAGGATTTACAGAGGCTGATTAGATAATTGAAAATATAAATTTCGGGTAAATAGTGTTACGCTATGTTATAAAAGCTTAACTAAAGTAATTACAACAAAAACCCATGTTTAAGTGCTTCAACCCTGTCTTTATCTGAAATAATTATCTTAACTGTGCTCTGTACGTCGTCATTGTCTTTCCTGTTGAAAAATGCCCTGGAACGTCTAATCGCCCGATACTCGCATCGAGTAATGTTACTTTGGATGCCATAGCACTTTCTGTAGAACGACCATAGCGTATCCTTCTATACAATCGCCAAAATTTGATTTGATCACGGTTAAATCCATCTAGGACAAGAGATCTGTGTTTCATATTCAAATTACCCTCCTAACTAAAAGCGTATGTATAATTCATTTACCATCCCGGACGAATCAAGAAGTAGGATAGTTGTTCCACTCTCTCCTGATGGTAAGATTGTGATAGGCGTAGCTTGTGCGGCCTCTTCCTTGTGCATTTTTACCGTAGCAGCTCTGGAAAGCGGTGGCCCTGAAGGCGTTCCTTCAGAATTAGGCTGCCTTCTTTCGGAACATAGTTTATTATGATCCCAACATACGTTCATCTTGCCCAGACCCTGTGCATCAGCGCGGCTAGCCTGTGAAGGAGCGAAGCCCTGTAGCCGAGCTTCATCGTGTGGCCGCAATGAAGACAGATTGTCTTCTTGATTTTCGGGATATATGTTCCAGTCGGTCAAGTCTGCAGAGCGGCGAGTATTAGGGATAAGCTGGTTGGGCCAACGCAAGATCATATCGAACAGGGATTGAATGCTGAAGCAAGGCATAATGGCTTATGATGAGAAAATGGTAGATAAGTAAATGAAACGGTGTATGTCTAAAAAAATAGCGGTATGTAATTTGGGCTCGCATCGAGTGTATAACTTGAATGTCAGATACATGTAATAAGCCTAGAATTCCACCTATCTAGTCACTAGGTCAGATAGTAGTTAGGAAAGAGCCGTGTAGTATCCAGAATATGCTCTATAATTAGCATACATTTAACAGGCTGTCTATCATCCAATCACATTTCATGGGTAGATCTCTGACTGGCCAACAGTGTAAGTCGAAAGGGTTCACTATGTAGGTCAGAATCCAGCCACATCACACGCACTGTAAGGGATTGACTAGATGCATAGGCCTCTTCGTGACAGACTAACCCCAGGTGATCACACTAAGGAACCATTCTCCTGTGCAAAGTTGCTAATCCACGGGCTATAAAATGCTTTTTCCAGAGCTTGCTGTTGTGCCTATTATACACAACTTCGAGCCTCCCATTTAAGGTAAAATTGGTTGGTAAGTTCTCCAGTCATTTATACTGAATATTGTGCTGACACTGACAGTATAGTATAATGTGTTGGTACATAAAAAGAACATCTTGTATGAAAGACGTGTACGGTAGCCGCGAAAGGTTATGAAGAACTACAGATCTCACGCGATGTTTGAACCGTATACTGTAATTGAATGCGTCCCCTGAACTAAGATAAAAAACATCATGGAAACCTATTATAACTTAAGTACTTGGACAGTACGATTTTAATTCATTGTTACAACCTTTCTTACTATCATCGTATTTGTAGTTCCTTTTCTTTCTGTTTCTTCCTTTCTTTTGCCTCAGCATCTGCCTGTGTCGGGATATATCCTCCGGTCAGAACAGATTTGCGGTAACTTACCGCTAGCGACTGACACATTACATCCCTTGCTCGGTGTACGTACACATTCTTGCGTGAGGCTACGGCTCTGGTATTATGACCGCCGAGTATCCGCGTACGGGATAAAAGGGGTATTTTGGAATCTGACCTGGGAAGGACACACATACATCTATCTATCTACAATCTATACTTTCGCTTCAGAAAACAACCTGTTCACTTAACTGTGTACACAGTGCCTAGCTGGTGATACCAACAGAGACAAGCTAGGGTTCCGAAAAAATTTCTGCGAGGATTTGCACGGTATGTTGGGGATTGTATCACCAGCTGAGCTGTCTCCTTTGTCTTGCGGATAGATCGAGACTTGAAAGGATACCGGTACGTTCTCCTGTTTAGTGACTGTATTCTTGTTGGTGTAGATGGGATTGCGGAAGTTTCAGGGGGCACAGTTGGCCATTTTTCACTTCCAGGTTCACTTCCAGGAAAAATGATGACAATTGTGCTTGTAAAGAGCAGAAAGAATAGAGGATATAGGTTACTGGTTGAATATAGTAGGAACTACAGCTGTATTTATTACTTAACTCATTACCCAGTGATCTCTTTTCAGACAAAAGGCAGCCATACGGTACCTGGTTAGGAAAAGTGTTACCAAACGAATGACGGCCGGGAGGGACAAAGCGATCAAATCCCAGTGCTATAAAATTCGAGTGCAATTATTCCACTAACTACAGCTGCCTGGTTATACAAGACCCCGCGGTATGTCCCAGACACATCTAGTCCGGCCTCTTTGGTATGTGCTATAGTTGCATGATCAGGGCCCAGAACAGGAGCTATGCGATAAGAGTACTCTCGGATATCTTGTCAGAGGGGACGGACATATTGGAGGTGTATCTCCCCTAGAAGTCTCTGCTTAACCTTTCCCATGAGTGACGTACTGTTCCTCCCAGTAGACAGTATTAGGCCCGTTATCTGGTATAATACATCCCTGTATAGGCGGAATGCCTAGTTCCCAACAATTGTTTTTCTTAGAGAGACCACAAGATACATAAATACTAATGAATGCTACCATAGCATCTCTTCTTTTTCAACCGTGATTGCTAACCCACAGAGAAAATTTCCCACTATGGCTACCCATGTAGTACATTCCTCGATTTCCCACCACAGCACCGAGCGCAGGCGATCCCGAAGAAATAATCAGCGCCCAGGAGATTCCAGAGGTCTACAAACATCCTGGCATTAAATACGCAGACGTTAACAGAGGGCAGATAATCCGATTGAGATCGATGCGGAAAGCAACAGCAGTAGCAAGCCTGGCCGTTACTGCTGTAGAAACGAAACTCCAGTCATTGGTAAGATGCTCACTAAGTCAACAAGTCTACTTCTGACCTATGTCTAGATATTGAAAACTATATTTGCAAAATCTGTTACGCAAGAGGCATTGAAATAACGCTTGGATGTGGACATGCGTTCTGTAGTACCTGTCTTAACAGGTTCTTCCATGATTCAGCCCTTGATAAGGCAAATGGGAATTACTATTATGCTCGTGCACGGCTTGCTGTCTGCTCTTTTCCTTTATCTTGCCCGGGGTGTAGAACACAATTGCCTGGACGTTACTTCACCCCTGCGGCTACCGAGGAAATTAAACGTATGTACTTTCCTCTTGTTTGCACAGACTCCAACTACAGGAGCTGCTTCGTTGAAGGGTATCATGTGATAGGGAAAAGAATTATTCTTCTGTAGCAAGCCAGGAAAATAAGATAATGTCAGACTCGATTAGCCATCTGCGACAACTTGCAGAACGCTACCTTATCTACATATTCTCTGCCTCATCCTGTGCCATGTTGTGTGCCGCGTTGATTCTGGTCGAAAGGCGAAAGATGTTTGACTCAAACCACTGGTAGACCGACTGATCTTTCGCGAATATGGCCCCTTTCGCTGCATCTAAACAACTTGCGTACTCCGTAACATAGATTAGACGCAGTTCGATAAGCCATGAGGTTTGATAGCTGTCACTGTGCACCTCCAGGCAGCTACCCTCGGATTTGTAGTATGGTATTCCCCAATTCTTGAGGATTCTACTAACTTTAAAGAGGCCCTCCCGACACACAGCCAGATCCATGAGTAAACCCTTATCACGAACCTCAAGTATCACCCCCCCAAAAACCACATCACCCAAGCCTCTCTGACGTAGAAACTCAATCGGACTCAGGTTGCCAACATCGATCATCGCTCGCACAGTCTGAAAAGGTCAGCTACCAAACGAACAGTAGAGCGAAAACAGCAGGCTCACATCCAAGGTGGGCAAAGGGTGCCGAGTTCTCAAATCACCAAACATAGTTGGTGCCTCCATGTTTGGATACAGTAGGCACAGTAGAGATGGATAAGATTGAAGTTCTGTGTCTCGGAAAGCGGTATGACTATAGCCCGGTAGTCTGGTTTCTTATGAGAAATGGTAAACCTTTGCGTGGAGGAAGCGGGCAGTATAATTGTAGGTAGGTTTCTGAAGCCAATCGCTCACCTTATTTTTATTTTTATTTTTTTTTAAGCTAAGAAATCAACAGTAGATACCGAGCTTATAATATGATGTATCGTAATTAAATTAACAACATAAATAAATTAGCAAGGTAGGATAAAAATGTGATACATGGTGTAAGACTATAAAGGTTATCCTTACTAGTACAACCCTGTAATTTCCTAGGGGCATCTAGTAACAAGAAAAGTGTTAATTTATTTTCCTTTAGTGAGTGTCACAACGGCTGCAGTCAAGAGTTCGAAACGTGCATGCGTTTATGAATACTAATAGGATACACAATTATCTCCTCGGCCCCCAACAGGTAGTACATAACTAGAGTGGCGTCTATCCATCCCTCCTTGGTTTCTTAGTCCTGCTTACCTGCCTGCCAATATGCTCTCCTGACAACTTGCTCCTACTCAAATTTCAGCAATTTTCGCAACGTCATTTCCGGGATCTACAGAGCAAGAATTCAATTCATCCTTTTTGCCTGTTCAGTTGAAGCTAGAAAAATACATAAAAAGTGAGAGTCACCAACCTTCGCGAAATCAGATCCACGTCTTTGAGCATTGACAACATGTACTACAAAATTGTCTTTACTCCGGCATCAGTGGATTGATAGGCTACATAATTGGTGGGAGGATGTTTCTGCGCCTTCTAGGCTGAGCGAAATGGCGCACCGTTTGTGTGATGATTATAGCTTGCCATACAATTCACGTTCTGTATCCATCTATCACCATCCGAGTCCCGAGTTGCAACGGCTGATTGGTAATTGAAGAAGAACTCCCTATAATATATATGTGACTGTAGCTGACAATATCTAGACACAATTCTATCTGATGACGTACGTACACGGGACTTTGTGGTTAAAAGAGATGAGTTGGTTGTTTTTTTGGAATACTGCGACCAACAAACTTTATCTGGCTCCCATGAAGTGTCCTAGGAGGTCCTCACTCTACTTCTAATCCTTCGGGGTATTTCGTCTTTGCCAGAAATCAAGGTAATATATTCTTCAGATGACCAGGCCCCAGTTCTGGCACTTAAACTGAATATCAATTTTCCGGTAGCGCTCTGTGAACAGTTCCTGCGATATCGTCAGGAACAAGATACTGGACTGGAAGACGATCATAGAACCTGAAGTTCTGACCCTCTTTTAAGACAATAATCTATGTATTTTCTGCTCGCTGGGGTCCCGTATGCACGATACCAATCAGTTCAGCTGATCGGGCATGAACAAAATCTGCGCTAATAGCAGGGATAACCTGTGATGTGACACCCTCAAAGTTCATAGTGACAGCTTCGCTTTCCTCTAAATTCACATTTCTTCCTGTCTTTTCTTTAACCTTTGCCTCCAGTGCTGCTTTATCGTACGCAATATTGCTCACTTGGAGCCTTTGATTGGATAGATCGGCTATAATTCGTGCTGCGTAGGAAGGGAATCTATAACACATAGGATTATTAGTAGAAAGATATAATCCCATTATCAGTATTCAGGCGTAAATGTGTTTTTACCGTTGTTCTTTCACCGGCTCCTAGTCTCACTCGGTTCGTTTATTCTTTCACCTTGCTCGCTATATCACGACGATTAAGGCTGGCATGAGTTGAACGTACCGGGATCGCAGAGCAGGATTAGGCAGCTATCTAAAACAGTCACATGACACGAAAGAGAAGTGAGACAAGAAGAAAGAACCAATTGAGCAAGTGATATCAAGCCCTTCCATACTGAGTAACGTGTCGTCAGTAATGTATCTTTCTATTTGCAAAGGGTCGTTGTACGAGCCCGGGGGTAATAAGGGGACAAGAGGGCAAGAGGGCAGATGGGCAAGAGGGAAATGAAGGAGAATCGAAGGAGCTATGTAAGCTGTCAGACAGAAGGACTGAAATAAACCTTTGAATTTTAAACCGGGCTAGATGAACAGAGTCTGTGATCATATGGGGGTTCAATGAAGCAACTCAGGTAACGATCGACTACAAGAGCAAGGTAGTTATGTTGAGTTCTTTGTTTGAAATTGCCAAGGAAAACTTTGTCTTCTTGCGAATTGTGTCCAAGCGTGCACATGCATCAATAGCAGAGCTCTGTAAATGACCCTGGTTCAATCACTCGCATACTATACCTGGAGAGCCGGTTGTATATATATTGCGCCGACACTGCCGTTTTCCTGGGTCAAACTTGTGAAGTACGATTAAAACCGAACAAGCCCTTTTTCTAGCATTTGATTCCTATAATACCCATCATGAGCACGTCATACTACCTGGACTACACGGATCAGGAGTTAGAATCAGTGCTTCAACAGCTCGATGGTCTTCCTCCGAGTGATGATATTTTTAACCCTGACTTTGGCCCTTCATTTGGTCGGGAATCATATAATATTGATAATACCTCAAAATATGAAATCACTTCTGCATCAGTGATTGACTCTAGAATTTGCACTCCATTATTAACAGCCAGCCCCAGCTACACGTCAATCCCTGAGCTGCAGAGAGAAATCAAAACCCCTAAAGAAAGGTTAGCAAATTCCGAAAGTACAGCACCTTATTGACTAACAAATACTGACTCTTCCTTTCCCAGGGTGGTTGTGATAGAAAGGTAATTTATAAGCCCGCTAGTTCACATGGAAAACGCTAAAGTTCACAAATAGCACGGTGAAATCCGTAAAATATTATCTGCTAAAGCTCCATCCGTATATAAGTAGAGTGAGGGAGATATTAAAGAGTCTGAGAGATTCACGCATGCCGGAAACGGAGTTACAGCCTACTTATAATTAGGATAGAAATACCGTTGTTCGAACAATTGTTCTGGTGAGCCCGCCGAGAAGCGAGCATCTATACTATGTATAATGGTCCCTGCCTGTAATAATATTTTGATAGCGGACGCAAAACAACTTGACAAAATGATAAAGTGGCTAACTGCGCTGTATTGAGAAATGATTAAGACACCTCTTAATGTATGTAGATTCTAAAGGGAGAATTTAGAATAGAAATCTGAAGATTGTTGTACCGAATATTAGATAAAAGACATAAGAGGTTGGCAGTGTTCATGTCCTCAAGTAACACTGGAGAATTCGACAGTAATTTGTGGCAACTTGATCCTAATGTATCATTCTTTGCGTGTACGAGCCCCTTTTCATAATTTCCCTCTCTGTATTTATCTTTTAGGATTTCAGCATAGCCTAGACTATAGATACCTAAGCCATATGTGTTAAATTATATGTTAGGCACTAAGTCAGAAAATAATAGCATCATTCCCCAATAGGCTAGTTTGTTCAACATAGTAGATTATTTATATCATGAGTTTGTCGCAAGCTTTAGGATTTACGACTAGACTTTGACATATATTATGTTAAAAGCTCTGCTTGACAAGACATCTTGAAATGACACCGAGCAAAAAAGACTTGGCCTGTTACCAATGCCGCATGAGCAAGGTTAGGGTGAGTTCATTCAAGCTTCTAAAAAATACACTGGCAGCTAATATAGACAGTGCTCTAAATGCTTTCCTTGTGATAGATGTATACACCGGGAAACTACATGTACCCCCCGACCAGTCACTATAACATACCCGTCCATGCCAGACTTGTCCAACGAATCCAGACAGTGTATTAGACCGGATCAGTTAGTGGAATCAGACACTTCAGTTAAATTGGACGGGTCTATGACTCTTTCAATTCTCAATATTGATGGGCCAGCAGAGGCCGCCAAAGTGATTTTAATCAGAGCGCATATGACACCGATTTATATGCAATCCTTGAGGCGGTTCTATTATAAGCTCACTAGCGACACAATAGAAACCCTAGTGAGAACGCATAGAGTGTTCTTCAGAGAAGGCTCTGAAACATGGCATCAAGAATTTCGATCAGCGTTAAAAAACTATGTCTACCTGACAAGATACTATGCAGCTCAAACTTCAGAATGGGACTGTACTGAGGATATATCTAAGAGTATCAATCCGGCGATTTCTGACCTATTTTATTCTCCTTCACCGTTGCAGATTGGTTGACATGATCCTTGTTTGGTAACTAACTGAATTTTATGATTACCTCATCTAATCAAATTATTTATTTCTTTATTTCTCTTATTAAGCTGAAAATTTAAGTTCGATCTGGACACTTTCCCTCCTCCTCTCCAAATTACATTAATCAGTAAGGAGGAGGTAGGATAAATTGAGTGAATAGAAAATTGTTAAAACGCATGATATAATATAGCATACAAACTGACAGTATTACATTCTATTCGGCAGCCTGTAGGTAACTACTCTTTAGTGGTAGTTTCCGTCTAGCTGCTAGAACTTGTTCGAAGGTAATTAGGTCAAAACGAACATCTGTCGACTTTGGCAGCAGATTCCTACGACAATCCAACTGCAAATTATCAATGCTGAACATACAACGCAAAAAGTCACTCGAAGAAAACATTCGGCAAGAAATCCTCTTATATCCAGGCGAGGACATTCCCTATACGTTCAGGGTATGGGCTTATCCGTAACATAAACCAAGTCATCCACTAATCCCCCTGGAGTCATGTGGAAATTGACCGAGACCGGAATGATGTACATGGCTGAATCCAGGTTTTTAATAGTTCTACCAGACGGAAAGTGCCACACAGCATATCGCCAGCCCTGAACGAGAATGAGCAGAAGGGTAAAGATTTGAGTGTCTGTTGAAGTGATACTAACCTTCTCTATTCTCAGGTGTCTAACAAGTAGGGGTGTAACGAATATTCGACGTCAGCCGATATATTCGACGATATATTCGATCGAATAAGTTTTCGAATACGATATTCGATACCTAATCAATCTCGAATAAAATGTTGAATACGATATTCGACACCCCTGTCAGGTCGAATACATTATTCGAAGATATTTGACATATTTGATGTTCGCTTATATGACTAAAAACTATCTCTAATTGGCTGATCTTGTGGGGAAAGCTTTGATATTTGTATTTTTTATAGCTATATATATGCACTATGCTGTATATATATTTATATATATCCCATATTAAGTGGCTCAGTTCAACAGTTGTTAAGTTGCGAACTTGTGAATAGCTTCATTTTTCTATTATAATTTCAGGATTATCTTGCTGATCTTGAAAGACAGAATACTATTGACTATTCTCTATATGTACTATCCATTAACATTAACATCCTCATTGTATCAGCTGTCATTGAGTGTCGCCAAATACCAATAACATCTCTTCCTTTACTGAACAGCCGTTCCACTGAGACCTCGGAAGCTGGAATAGCAAGATAATCCCGCGCAGCAGCAGCCATTCGAGGATAATCAGCCTGATTAACCCTCCACCAATTATATAGCCAGTTTGTATCTTCTGTATTATCTTCATTCACATGAGGAAGACTGAAGTATCGATCAATATCAGACATTTGTGATTGAGGTTCTGGTTGCAATCGTTTCAATAAGCCGGATGTAGTTGAATTGGATGCTTTCAACGTTAGCAGAGATCGTATCGTAGAATGATTAACCTCTACTTCAGCAGCAGTATACTACTCCTTGCCGTTGGTAGTCTCAAATGCTTTTTCAAGCCTAGAGAATAGCCAGTTATTATAAAATAAGAATAGAACACTAGCAATAAATGCAAAAGAGCCTGTCACGCTAGCTGTTACCGTTGCAGTTACTGACCAGAAGCCCGCTTGCTGTGTGTATATATTGATAATTGTATTAATAAATCCCATTACCGAGTTGATCAGTACTGGTCTACCACAGCTCTCAGTATTCTCTCAAAACTCTGACCTGCTTAGGGTACTCACAAGAAGATCTTTCGAGCAAGCCAAACGTAGTTATCTCTTCTGCGGTAGTATAGCCAGCCAGTACCACAGAGGCCTAATACACAACACACGGCAGCAACTGCAAGAAGGGAAACGTTCTGCACAGCATAAAATACCGATTCACCGATATTACTTTTTGCCGCAGTGGTCTTGAGTGATTTGGAAGCTCGGAGTGAAGCAAATGTACTTGGAAATACAAGATATCCAGCAAAGAGAATCCAAGAAAATGAAGCCGCCAAGATACTATCAAGCAGTGGGATTTTCTCCATGTCAAGAAGCATTTTCACATAAAGCGTGGGCGAGATAGATCTTTCATTGTCAATGGATCTTTTCCAACTTGAGGGGACTAATGAGGAGAACGATCGAAATATATGAAACATTTGCGGTCGCCACATATTTCTTAAAAGGGGCTGAATTAGAAGCACGTTAAAAAGTAGAAAATGAATATAAGTAGGAGTTGAGCACTAAATAAGTCTTATCTGTTCTTAAGGTGAAAATATGTTCTATGCCCCATCTTATATAATAGACGGGGCAGGCTAGACAAGACCTAAGCTCTGGGCCGTAACGGCATGAATGATGAGGAATGATGACAACCAAGATCCTAGTAGATCCCTTGTCCTTTGTTTAGCATCAGTACGGTACCTTATCGATTCATCTGCAGATCACCCCCTTTCTTAACATAAAGATACCCGGATCCCGTTAGTCACCTTGTCTTTGTCAGACTTCAAGCTCACATTTAATATTAAGTTTTGCATCACAGTAATGTTTGTTACTAGGAAAATATTAGCTTAAGGACATCAATTAAGAAGAATAACCAACTTACTTCCAGTCTTCCGAGGAAAGCATATATGCAAAAGGATTCTCGGTATCAGAAAAGGTTCCAGTGAGTAGAAAGTAACCGCAGTCACTGACTCCCATTCCTCCCATAGTCCAATCACGGTCTCTAGGGCATGAAGGCTGTCCTGAAAGTATTGACCGAAAGACATGTTGACATAATGAAGGGGAAAATTTAATATCACAGTCATTATGAGCGGCTGCTGCAAATACTAATTTCACATCCTTGCCTTCTTTAGACTGGCTTGATTCTTCATAGTGGAAGTCAGAAGACTTCTTAGAATGAGCACCCGTTGAGCGGCTTAGAGAAATAGCTCCATTAAAGTCACAAGCCCTATCTACCGCCGATCCAGCATCGGTTGCTTTGAATGTAGACCCCCACGGTTTGACATATGGCGATAAAGGGGCTTTGGTAGCGCATAGTATACTTGTGAGGGATGCCATATGAGGATCTAGTGCCTTGGAAGGTTCTGTAGATGATGTTGGTTGCCTTGTCTGAGATAGGGTGCCGGAAGTAATGGGGCCTATCTGTGATTCTGTAGACACGCGTGTATGTGTTGAGTGTAAAGTTGTACCAATAGATATTGTTGAAACTGTACTCATGTGGTTGTTGTCTAAAGCGCAGGCAAGATATACTGATTTGCCTTCGGTAGTGGTGCTGATATCGTATTGTGTCTTCCCGCACGTACACAAGCTATATATACCGGTGGGAAGCACACCGGCGTTGTTAGCGAAAAGACTATCATATTCCGCTGTTAGTAGTCTGACTGACGGATAATAGTCGAGTCGAACTCACGATGTGATATGGCAGTTTTGTGGCACCGAAGGGCTTGACCCAGAGGAGCTTGACACAGTAGCGCCGGGCACAGTAGCGCCGGGCACAGGAGAGCTTGAAACAGCAGAGCTTGAAACAGCAGAGCTTGAAACAGCAGAGCTTGAAACAGAAGAGCCTGGCAGGATAATGCTAACTGGAGCATTACAGTGCATGTTCGTGTCCACAGCCTGGACAGACAGGTCTCCTGCTAGGAATACGCAAAAGAAGTAGCAAATCAGGGAATACATGATGTTCAAGGTGTCAGAAAAAAAAGATCAATAAATTACCACGTATGTGGAGCTGGGCTTGGTATATATATAGTATTGAAAGGGCGCTGTCTCTTGCGGCATGAATGCCCGCGTTAGAGTGAATTTTCTCTATGCCAAGTACTTAAAGCCCTAGTTATCAAGCCAATTGTCTGACCTTTCATTTCACTCTTATGTCGGCAATATGTTTGGTTTGCTCACTGTACTGGTACATTTGCTCGCGACCACAACCGAAGCTGCAGGAATGGAGCATCTGGGTAGTATTTTCATACGCAACAACTTAGAAACCTACCTATATCTGTGGTCTGTTCAGAAGAACGATGGACCACTGTACACTATCAACCCCAAGGCTGAGGATTATCAAGAATCATGGAAGCCAACTATCGAAGACACTGGTATATCACTCAAGATAGCTACCGAGAACGATAAAAGGGATGTTCTTCAGTTCGAATATAGCATACTACACTCCATACTATACTGGGACCTATCATCTATCAATCTAAAGGGTGACTCGGAAATCGTTCGCCGTGGCTTCTCTGCAACACCGGACATTCATGATTGTGCAGCTGTTAAATGCAACCCAGGTGATGAGAAATGCCCCGATGTCTACCAAAAGCCCGATGATGACCATGCAGTCCGTGGGTGTCCTGCCAACGTCAGTATCGTGTTGAATATCGGAGTAGAAATGAGGAACGACTGGTACATGTGTTAGCAGATGATCTATTTGTCTCATTTCTAAGAGCTGGCTTACGGATACTATTTGGGTAGCGAATGAAGATATGTGTAGCGTCAGAATAACAATTTCCAATACACTGAATAAAAAAATAAACCCATATTTGCATATATATATCGGGGCATTACACTGCCTAAAGTGACAACTAAGGCTAGAGCCGAATATAAGAAAATGAGGATAAACATTCAAGAAGACAAAAAGATAATCTGTAGCTAGCTCACTGTCTATGTCCCGCGCCTAGGGTGATTGAGCGTCAACATATTCAAGTTAAAGAAAAGTAGATGGCCGGTCTCTTGAATTATCTCCTCACCTGTATCTTCCAGCGGATAGCGACATGTAGGGGGTCTCATATAAAGTAGGTTGCTCGATAAACCGGGGTCTACACCCATAAGGGTGTTGGGCTTCAGGTCCCGGAAGATCCTGCCCACGATCTTCTTTTCAGGATGTGATAGGTCCCTGTATGTGGTTGGGCTGAACTTATGTTTCCACACGGGAGGGCCGAAACTCCCGCGAGAGATCAGGCAAAGGATGTTGGGATCTTTGTTGCCAACCTCGTCCACGATAATATCCCAGTAGTTTCCTTTGTTGAGTTGCTCCAGGTCATGCCGGATCTCTGTACGGGTAGGGGCCTTTGTCCCTTCAGGGACTGTGCCGAGGATTTCAGCTTCTATATCCCCTCTATGGTTTCTGATCTGTGCCAGCTTGTACTGCGCCAGCCTCAATCCCAATTTGGAGAGCTCGCTTTTCTTAGAGAACGCCTGTAGGGCCCGAAAGGCCCCATAGGCAGTGTCGTATGGAGCATCGAGGTGTTGCGACTGTAGGCGTAACTCGCGGAGAGATGCCTTGATCGTCAGCAGAGCTTCGGGCGAACCGATTTTGATTGCCAGCTCGACCAGTTCGCTGGCACGCTGCAGTCCGATGGGATTATTTCCTCTGTGTGAAGGTATATCGGCCAGATCACTGACAGTTCTCCATATCTTATCACCACATTGATTTTTCGCCCCGATCCCCATGTAGTAGCCTTCAAGAATCTGCACCTTATTTTGTACAGGAAGGAATTGTCGGGGCATGTCAAGAACCTGTTCCGTGGCCTGGGCAGCTTTAAAGTCTGCGAGCATCTCTTGTACCAAGTCGGCTCGGAACTCTCGGGGTACTGGTTGGGACACGTCCCCTCCGGCTGCTCGAAGTCGGATAGTCCAGACTAGCCAATTCACATTTGGTGCCCACGTGCGCACCTTGGCCGGGCTGCGCTCCCAGGGCATAGTCAGACTGTGTTGCTCGTGGAGCAAATGCGTAATGCAGCTCTCAATCCTATCGCAGTTACGGCACTGATTGTGGTCGAAAGTCGAAAGCATCAGCGGCTCACCTGGATCGTATTCGTAGTGGATAATCTTTCCAGCAGACGGTTGCACCTCAACTAATGACCATCGATCATACTCCTTGATTATTATCAGAGGTCGGCGGCGCTGTGTATGTGATAGTCTACCCAGCTCATGGAGTTTGCCAATCCACAACCCGGACGATTCTCCAGAATGAACAAGCTTCTGTACAAAATACTCCATCACCAGTTCGGATATCACCTCACCCGGGTATATGAGGTCATCCAACATTGCTCTAAGGTGTTGGCCATCGAACTCCCCCCATGCACACCGAAAGCGCTCTGTGGGTAAGATCCAACCAAGCGAAACCTCCTCACCACGCATCAGTGCCAATCCGGCGTTCTGCATCGCCTGAGCAAATGAAAAGACCTCTGCTCTGTCCCAAATCATCATATCCCCGTCCGTATTTTCAAACGCCTGATTCGGTTGGAGATCAGCTTGCTGGGCATACGGGCCTGGTCCATTGTTCTGTGCTTCATGCGCTGTCGGTGTCCTCGCTGTTGGGACAGGTGTAGCGGCCATAGAATCGAAGTGGGCTCTCTGTGACGATTGTTCAGGGGCGAGAGCTCCGCTTCCAAAAGGGAAATCATCTCCAAACACGTCGAAAGCAAGTTTCATTGCCTCAGCGTTGGACATCATTCCCTCATCGTTGGGAAATATTTCCCAGAGGCTTGGCCCATTATCAGGCAGCGGTGACACGTAACCTGCTGTCTCTAGAGACCTATGAACTTCGTATGTCATCAGAGTTAGAACGATAAGCAGTAGACAGGGCTCAGAACGTACAGTTGCTGAGGGCTCTAGAAATGTCATTCTCTTCGGGCTGATCAAAGGGATTATGCCCATCAGGCGCCGTAGGGCGGGATCCCTGTCGCTCCAGTCGACCTTCGTGATTACCAGCGTTGTGGTCGGCAATACCGAGTGTATTTTGTCCCTGATCATTGCTGGAGGAGCTGTCTTGAGCGTCTTCATGAGGTGCGTCAGAAATATTTTGTAACCCAGCGGACTCGGTTCTCTCAGGTGAGTCAGGGCCACCGGTACCATAATCTTGTTCACTGTCGTAATTACTACTGCTCTGGTCCGTATTGTCCGAGATACTTGGTTCCGGTACATCGCCAGTAGACATTTCTCGGCAGTTCCTCATCGGTCTCCGGGCTTTTTTCACGACAGTAGGTCTCCTTCCCATTCCGGATGCAGGTTGACGAGCTGGTGTAGTTTGTAGCGGAGAATTGGATGTTGCGCCAGAGTCCGCGAACTCGGGGTGAATAGTCTGTATAAGTGACCGGAAGGCCTCGGCCAGCTCATGCTAGTCACGCATTTAGGAACAGAGCAATTGAAAGCGGGCGCGTACCTACCAATGCTGACAATATGTTGTCCCTTCTCTCAGGGCTCAGGGAGGGCAGAGTCTCCTCAATCACACGATGCAAGGCTTTCTGTTTCCATGTCTGAATATATGTATATCAAGGACCTTATCATACCTACCAGTTTCTCATCCATCTGTTTGACTTCCAGACTAATCATGATGTTGCCTCAACGGGGTTCATTACGAAGGAGAGTGAAATAATTCTGGAATGCAGGTTTGAAGTGGGGAATAGGTGAACCTTCGGGATCTGGCAACTCTTTGTCACATACTTCGAGCGAACAAAGAGTTATTTTCTGTGGGCTTTTTGAACTGCCAAGCCCGTTCTTCTACTACCTACGTTGTGTGTTGTGGAACGCTGGTGGGTAGCTTTGACCCTCTCATGGGTTAAGTTGGGGTTAACAGAAACGGAGCTTCTTGTCACAATAACGCTTTATTTGAAGATCTATATAATGAGGTGCTGAGCCCACGTATCTTAATACTCATAGCTTCAGAAAGACAGCTAAATACAAAATGGACAGAGTCTCAAACTACAATGTGACACAACCTCCAGGCTCTCTTTAATAGGCTCTTGCTAACGTACTGTAGGCCCCCGAGTTGCCAGCCCCAGGGCCAGCAGTGGGCCAACGCTCGGAAAACGAGGTTCTGAGGGAGCAAGTTGGCTCTTACCGGGCGGAATCCGAGAGTCTTCGATATCACATTGAGATGCTCCAAACCCAGCTTGCCACGATTCGGGAAGAGAACTCAAGACTCCGTCACGTATTCAGTTTGGAATGCAACAAGCATTGTGCGGCTACCAGGGAGCTCTCAAAGGTTCAAGAGCAGTTCGAACGACTCCAAATGATGTTGTCGTCCAAGGGAACGGAGGCTGATAGTATTGTACCCCTCTTCCTGCATCTGGAAGCCAGGGAAACATCTCTGCAGCAGGTCGAGCTGGAACTGGGCCAGAAAATAAGCGCCCTGAGAGCAACCTGCCTGAATGTAGAGGAGCGGCACCTCGGCCGATGGCAGGTTCCAGTTAGGTCTGCCAATCACGCGCAACGTCAACAGCAGGTGCAGGTGTACCGCATCCCTGTTGGCTGCCGTTCCAGTGTGGCGGAGCAGGTGGACAAAGAACAACAGTAGCTGCTTTCCTGAACCTGTTTTGCACTGGCTATACGCATCTGAACAAACCACATTCCTAGCCCGGATATCCTAGTCCGGCTTCAATTATATGCTTCACTAAAGCTAAATAAATCTGACTCTCTTCTTGTGCTGACGGTGTAACTGTATTAATGCGCTCTTGCGATTGACCCGCACATCACACGACTTGCATGGTGCGCGGGTAGGCAGATTTCGCAAATTAGCGGTGTGACCGACCGTGTCTAATCCCTGCCGATCCAGAAACCAACGAAGGGTAGACGGGAAGCCCCCTAGCCTTTGTGTGTGGAAACGGGTAAGTTGCAGCGATAGTGAGATTGGGCTATCTAGCTCCTTAACAGTGAAGCGAATAGGAACACAGTACCTTTCACAGCTCTGGCAAATAGCATCTTCATAGGGCGAGATACTCAGTTGATCCCCACCCATGATATATGTAGAGGCATCTGGATGGAGTTTTCGGAGGGTTTTGACCAATATTTCACCGGGTAGACGGCACCGTATGGCCCCATTGCAGTGGTAGTGCCCATCCTCCCAGCGGGGTGCCAGGGACAGTTCCAGGAATAGACTAGCGAGAAGGAGTGATGTTAAGGCCGAAGGTGTTTTCACCCTAGCTTCCTGATCCGCCAGAGTAACCATCCACTGCACCTTCTCGGCAGCATTCAACAAGGGTTCTTTATCTGGAAACTCCACATTTAGACGATGGTACTTCTGCCTTGATGCCTCGTCGACCTGTCCAAGTAGCCCTCGCCATGCCTGCTCAGCATCCATAGATGCCATGAATGAGTCGTAAAGGCGGAAAGCAAATCCACTTGCCCACCGTTGACGGCGATCGCGGCGGCGGGTCGTGGAAGGGCGTCGATCAAGGGCGGCTGATCCCGTACCAAGTGATATCAGTGCACCAGGCTCGGGTCTGGAAGGCCATAGAGACTGTATCTCTGATCGACAGATTAGGGCTGGGTTATTACATTTCAAGCCGCCATCTTCACATCTACCGATGCCTCGTATCTCGATCGGGGGGAAGAAACTACTCGCCATTAGCTTGCCTCTATAAAGGGGGAGAAGGCAAATAACGAACATCGGGGCTGCTGTAGTTGCACGAGCACTTCAATTGCGAATTAGACATATCTAGCCATAGGAATAGGGTAGTGACTCTAAACTCACCATTGCCACACTTTGGGTTCATCAGTCTTGTTTACCGCTTGATGGACATGGTAATATGCTCGGTCTAATACCTCAGCCATCCTACCTGGGGCGATAGGCGATGCGAACTTGCTTACCGGAACTTTCAGGCGCATCGGCATCCCGCCGGTAATTGGGAAGAAGCACTGGGTGCTCGGCTGAAGCGGTAACAGCAACCTTAGTCCCAGAAATTGGCTGGGTACCGAACATCTCCTGAGAAGGGCCAAATTGCTGCTGAAGCAGCTCATCCCATGCATTTGCGCTGTACCAACCGTCGGTCCACCAGCAGCGGATGGCCCGGCCGACCTTTGCCCAAATAGATCTGGGGGCCGGATTCTGGTGAAGAAACTGCCACATTAGATCCGAGAGTGCTTTCACACATTCATTCACAGATTGGCGTTGGTGGAAGAGCTTTAAAACAGCGAAGCCGCCTTGTATTGTGTCAGTCTTCCTGTCAGCGCTATGCGAGCCAATACGTACCGGAACTGGTGCCAAAGGCAATATCAAATAACTCTTGTATTGGGCATTCCTGCCCAAGCTGGTACTGCATGTACTTCAGGAACTGAAGCGGAATAAACCCGCGGACACCTCCACCATCCACAGTAACAGCACGCACGCATGCGGTTGGGGGCAGGATCCGAACAAGGTTATTGCAGTCGCTTCTACAAAGTACGCAGTGACTAAGCAGATACTTGTATTCCGTACCCTCAAGCGGTTTACTATATGCAACCACGCATATATCACAGTATGCATGACCGCAGTTCAAGGTGTGCTGCGGTGGCCTTGTTAGACAGATTAGACACGTCTGATTAGTGAACATGTGACTCAGGAAACCCTTCCATCGGTCAAGTGTTGATTGATGAATGCGTCGTGATGGCCCTTGTCCAAACAGGATCCGATGATAAAGCTGTGCAAAATGATACACAATCCGCTGGTAGTCTGCGGACGGCCGCCCTATCGCGATTAGCGCGTCCTGACATGTCTTACTATATAAGGAGTCAAAGACCGCCACAGGGCTAAAGCCTCAAGGATTGTCAGTTGTTATTCCTTAATTAGCAGGAGTATACATACAATGCTCGCCCGGAAGGTAGGCATCGACCAGGATCGTGGATGCGACAAATCTGGCACGGTCATTCCATGGGCGCCGCTCTGTTAGCTCCAGAAAGGTCTGTAGATGGAGACTGTGAGAACGCGTCTGAAAAGTATCGCGGGCGCTTCGAACAAAATCAAAAGATTCCTCTGTCGTCCGGCAGATATGTAATAGTGCGCGATAGAAGAACCGCTCAAGATGAATTCCTGAAAACAGATACCCCTCTTCTTTGCGGTGTCGGCGGCTCAGGTCAAGCGCTATCATTATCTCGTCCTTGACAGGCCGATACCGGCCAATATCCGATCCACCCTGCCGCAAGAACAGCATACTAGGTGTACCGAAGGCATTTGATACCTCAGCACTCTGTTCAAGAAGGGAATGAAAATCCTTTTGGTCCAGGAGGTCTTGTGTAACGCTCCCACTACTTTCTGAAACGACAACCAGGCGTGGTCGATGTTCAAGGCTAGATGCCTGGCAGCCTAGTGTTGCCCATGTCGCGAGCGCTGTGCGGACCGCATCCAGACCACCAACATCATCTGCAAATATACAGATAACGTCAACGAACATGAAGACCAATCGAGCCAAAAGAAGGTCTAAGAGACGACGATCATTATATAATGTACATCGGATCGGTATCTCTTCCTGTCCGTTGATACCTGGATCCGCGTCCTGACAAGAGAGATGCGGATTGCAGCTCGCAAAGAGAATCGGCTGTTCTGTAAAGATTCTTTGATTATCTATTTGAAGCCGCAGGTAGGAATTTCCCTTAGAGATCTTGTTCTCTGGAAACATGTATCGAAGGAAAATATCCCTCCGTCTCTGGCCTAGAAAGAGGGTAAGCCCGGGGAATTGTGTCTGTGGTGAGGAAAGTTGCTCCTTGATATGACTTAGACATCTGCCATGGTGCACAAAGGTGCCCGCTGAATTACTGACCGGCCTCAGCCAGTCAAGTTCTGCCATGATAACTATGTGGATAATGCGTGATAACGCTATGGTTCTCAGGAGCGTAGTTTACCTTTATACGTTGTCTCGGGGTACGGGACGCGAAACTCTATGGGTGGTAGACCGTTTTAGAAAGTGTGAGCTCCCCGTGGGGTTCCAATGAGCTTTGCGTCTAGGCTTTTTGGTCCGAAATGTACCCAGAGATTAACTAATTATTCTTCAATGATTATGCTAGAGGACAACCAATTGTAATATTTAATCAATTATATTAACACACAAAGTATTTTCTCGAAACAGTACATCCTATTACCAACACTTAGACTGAACGATGCTGTGCCTCCAATGCCTGCACCGCATTCTCAAGAAGCTTTTTAGTCCCATTATACAGCACACCTTTGGCCTCGTAGGCTCTCTCGGTCGAGTGTAACTTCTTGAGAAGGATGCTTTGTTCTCTCTCCATTTCAGCCACTTTCAGTTGAAGAGACTTCGAGTTCTCAGTAGTCTGTTCCAGCTCACGGCGAAGAACGACAGTCAACTGGTCGACAGAATTGCAGAGGCAGTTAATAGCCTGTGTCGTCAGGTACAGGTCATTCTCGTGCGGCACATTATTAGATAACTCGCGGATGCAATCACACAGATCGCAGATTCGCTGCTGTTTCATGTTAGCATGACACAACCAGTGATAGAATGGAAACTTACACCCGCAGAATCATAAGACGCGTCAGTTTGTGTATCTGTATCCATGGTTGTGGTTTCTTTCTAGCACTAGTGTTTTCCTCGGAGCGGACCGAGCAATTTATCATCTTTCGGACGATTCAGATCGAAGTGGAAGGCCAGCCCTTATGGATGGGCGGAATGCCTGCCTACCTGGGCCTACGCCTAAAATTTCACTAGCGTCGTCTCAATGGGTGTGTAGTACAAACTTGTCATGGGCGAAGACAGGCTGCCTTGAGCGCTACAGGGAAAGACCCACCTGTCAGCGTTTTAAATGTCTGGGGAATATCTGCAACTGCATTGCTTCTGTATCTCTACGGTTCAGGGATATATGGAAGCCACTGGGAAACATGAATTGCCCGAGAACTTCAACTGAATACAGTTCATCTGTATACACTGGAAATGAAAGACAAGCTTCGCCTGATCGCCCTGGCACGCCCAGTTCGTTCGAATACAACCTGACATTACAGGGTGGACGTAGCTCAGCTACAGAGATGCTACCCTCCAATATCCAACAAACGAAAAAAGAGCGTCTTACCGAGTCGAAGGAATACCTGAGGGCGGTCTTCGATGCATCCTCCCTCCGGGCCGAAAATACATGGCTTCATCGGATTAGAAAGTCAGCTATCACCCTCCAGGAAGGAACCGTTGATCCAACGGTGGAGTGCCTTGCTCAAGGTACAGCCCAGATTCATGGAGCACTTACACAGTTCTATATCGCCTTTTTTGCTGTTGAACAAACCCTCCGCCTTCTAAATGAGCCCGCCGTGGCTGACGTTGAAGCCACTTTACGAGAACTTACGTCCGCATTCGAAGCATATCGTGAGGGACTGGAAAAGGTTCGCCGTGCGGGGACTGATTTGGAAAACGGTCAAATGTTATTCTCCAATCAGCTATTTCACACGAACCAGAGCTTTGAACAATTTTTTAAGATTGACGATGATGAGATGTCACAACTACTACTGTGAAAGTATGTGATTTAAATCGGCTTTTACTGCACAATTATAGCTTTTTGCCAATAAACAGTCTTGTGGCGAGCCAGCCCCAGACACAGTGCTGTACCTGCTCAGGGCCACGGCAGCTCTGTAGGAATCTATGCTGGTTGTTGTTAGTAAGTTTACTGGGGGTCTTTCGGATTTCGCACCTGTAGTAATGCCGTGGCCGATTGCCCCCCCTCTAGGGCCTGTAGGAACTCTGCCAGGAGGGGTGTATGAGATGTATCTTGCTCGGCTAATTGTCTCACAATCAATGCCAGAGAGTATAGATCCCCATGATACTGCTCCTTCCCACGGAGGAGGCTATTTCCTATATTTGCTAGAACACGTGTAAGTATTATTGATCACATTCTAGGACATAATACCTACCAAGTTTAACTGTCCCATGTATATCAAAGCTAATATTTTCGGCCCGGACATCTCCGTGGGAGATATTTAGTGTACTGTGAATATACTTTAGAACCAATAGAACACCTTGACATACTGCAGCCGTCTCAGCGCTACTCCAGTATGGACGAAAAGTCAGGATATCCTTTAATGATGCCACAGTGGCTTCGTAGATCATGGTAACACATGATTCCTCAATATACACACGGTACAGATTTACCATATTTCGATGAATGCCCGGCTTGAAGTCGACATGCTTATAGCCTTGTAATTTAATTTGACGAACAAACACAGTAGTGTGTGGGTAGCTCTTCTGAAACGCTAGGTAATAACCTGGCTCCAAAGTTGCTTCATTCTGGTAATGCTCCCAGGGATCAACTCCCTCCACCTTGAAAGTGATATCTTCCACTTTTGCGGTACTCGAGGGGCGGATTGGTGGTCGCTTTGTTACTTTCTTCGAAGAGCCTCGAATGTCTGGATTTGGGGGTTGATTTGCCGTTTCCATGACTAGTCATTCCTGGAACGATGTTTGATAAGAACTGAAGTTGTATTATCCAGGTATATATAGAGGATGCACCTCCATTAAATAATTTACGTAGGATGTCCCATGTACCTCAGGACAAGTGAAGTACCCAACATTATAACTGATTCCCCTTCTGAAAGCGGCTTTTGCCACAGAAAGCAGTTTTCATACGTGTCAGTCTTAATAACGGCCAATCTTCTGGCATACTAAGTGAAATTCTAATAATGCACTGCAGTGTTTCAATGACATTATATATAAATCAAATATTATAGAACGATTCTCCGTTTTGGTTTATAGAATGGGTGTAATGATAGATTGGGTGGTCTATACTAGTGTACTTAGTATAGACATAAGTAAAATAAAGGCGATCACTGCTAGGATGGTATTTGGGCGCAGTATTAATCCTGTGCGCCGTACAAAGTTGTACAGAGTTGGGGCTTGGCGCTAGACATGCATGCTGATAGCAGGTCGGAAGAATATTTTTCTCGAGATGTAAATGATTGCCGTATCAATACGCATTTGCGGGCTAACCTACCCAGGAGGTTGGCCCAGGGGGTTGACCCAAGGGATTGACCCAAGGGATTGACCCAGGGGGTTGACCCAGGGGGCTGCAGGGATTGACCCAGAGGGTTACAGGGATTGGCCCAGAAAGTTACAGGGATTGGCCCAGAAAGTTACAGGAGTTAACACAGGAGATTGACATAGGACGTGTGTACAGGGGTGTCTACCCATAGGCAGTCTTCCAACCATGAAGAACAGTTATTCCCATAATAAAATGCATTTGAAATATAACTACTCTATTCTCTATATCAAATGTCTTGCGACAAGTTGATCTGATAAGAGGAAACCAGAAACATCATTGATCATCTGACTCTATAATTAATCCGACGGAACATTAATTACGGCTATTTAACCAATAGGAATTCTAGATTGACGGTGCTATATACGGATCGATTGACTCTTTTTGGTGGTGAATTTTATCTCGGAAATTAACCTAAATCTTGGTCAGGATAATAGATCTTTATTCTATAAATATCGATATAGGCTATATTATGAGTGAGATATATTGATGGGCTTCCCTGGAGTGGTACTTCGATTTTGGATAAATCAGAATCGGTATTTACTCTCCAGCACCAAGTTACAGCACCATAATGGACAGCACAGAGCTCTCAGACCAAAAACTCCTACAGATCAAGAACAATGCGTTCTTAGGCTACGCACGCGTCCGTCTTGATAGCTTATATTTTCTCACCAAAGATAGTCGTGTCTTTGACGAGCGAAATGTCTCACGACTTCTAAAGATATACAGTGATGTTGGCTGTAAAAGACTGGTTTTTGAAAATTTTATCCCAACTTTGATATCCACAAGCAAATTTGACAACATACTTCAAGCCAGTGATGTGTCTCGGCCACTGTCTCCGATCCACCCTCCATTTCTACAAATACCAGATAACTCTCCCCTACACGCACTGTCAGGAAGGCACCGATGGGAGGCTGCTAAAAGGTTCTATGCCGATCCACAGGATCGCTGGTGGATAATTACTCTTTTGAACGAAGATGGTAATAGCTCCATTTCCTAATGATATAAAGACACTGATCAAAAGTCTGGATAGTTATACCGCCAGCTGCCATAACAGCAATGGCCGAAGAGTTTGATAACACAATGCCTTACCTAGATGGTGAGCTATACGGGAAGATTCGAGCGTACCATCTCGCTCATCAATTGACACAATCCGCTAAGTGGAAGAGCCGCATAGTCTCCAGCTCTAAAAGAAGGGATTACGACCGTCTGCATGATAATAAGGCATATAAACCACTTTGTGAAGCTCTTGATTTGATGCTCCAATTTCCTGCTGTACTTGCTGGATTCAATTTAGGAAGTCTTCGCCGATTCTTCAGGATGAAGTGTGCAGAGGAGCTAGCAGCATCTGTACGATATATCTATATAATATGGACGGAGATTATGTGTGGACTCCCAGGTCATCTCCTTGATATGACTTCGGTCAATTATCTTCAAGGCCGCACTCCTCGATGGTCGCCTGCTGACAGAAGCTACATTGATGCCCTTTTCGAAAATAGGGCACTGTTTGCAGATGTACAAGATCCTGTTCATCGTAACCTGCTAAGAGAGCGACTATTCGCTTTCAATGGCATCATCCCGTCTATTACTACGTTTCTAGAAAACACCAAATACCTCGAGCCCGCAGCTATATTACTCAGGGCTCTCGTTCCTAGCAAGTTCACGGGAACACTGCGTCAGCAGATGATGCAACATTTTAGCCAAAATACGGTCTCAAACGTGGAGTTCTGGCCAGAGTACCAGCGCCTCTGGCTTGTAGCTCTTCGTGTATTCCCTTATTTGACCACTTTCAAGCCCTTACAGGACAAAAGGAGTTTTAAAGCGGAATATACTGGGAATTACTGGGGCTTTCTCGCACGGTCCGCAATAAATCACGGCTTTGACTCTACAAAGATTAGACAGACTGACAAGAACTATCCAACATCAGACAGACTACCTGAGATCGTCAGAGACCCAAGATTATCTACCAGCGTGGAGGAGAGATGGAAGTTAGGGAGGAGGTGTGGTATGCCAACAGAGAGTATGTTTGATAACATCAGTCCATATATGTGTTTAGAAAACATACAATGTACACTGCTACCGGACCCTGGTGTGGCAGCGATCAGCGTCTTTGCTGTAGCACGTGAAGCCTTCTTGTCATTCTTTCATGGAGATGGGGGGCATACTCTCGATTCCCTCTCCCAAGCACCGCCAATCCCGGGGGCTCCAGAAAATGTCTCAGCAGATGGATCTAGTGTTGACACGATAATGCATCCAGACGACGACGTGGATATGTCGCAAGATATTTCGACGCCCACAAATCGACAACCTGCAACAAATCAATTGACTAGGCCGCTAGCCCTTCCCCCAGTGCCACCCAATCCACCCATTGGCCAACCACAGACCTCTGGAGAGGTGACCCCTTTCCCCGGGAGTCCTGGATTGCATACTACTGGAATATATAATGCATCATCGGACCATAGTCCATTTCCTGCAGCGGATGCACTCAACATGCAACCAGCCCTGATCGCGCGACCACATGATATATCTGCTGGCTGGAATCCACAGTCTGGAACACCGCTGACTACTCTTTCCCAATCTCTCGTACATTCGAGCTCAAGAACACCTAACCCGCACTTGTGGGCGGCTTCTGTGCCCAGGGAAAAGGTGGACCTTCGACCCAAAGACATTAAAGACCATCTTAAGAACAGAGAGGAAAGATTTGCCATTTATGCATATGACAGGTCTATTTTGCACTTTTTTGACAGGCAGCAATTCTGTCTATTGGAGAACTTTCTTCATGGAAAGGAGCGTTGGTGGTTCGCGGCTTATGAAGGGGACAGTCTCATTACAATCGACCACAAATCACTGCAGTCCTATTTGGAACGGAGTAGTTTTGTGATATGTGGGTATGACCCGAGTAACTTCCTTTATGCGCAGAGAAATGAGCCTGGGCCAGGTGAGTTATAAGTAGCGTGCAAAATATAAACCATATGGAGCGGGCCTATGCCCATCAAGAGTATAGATGAAAGATTGCAGGCCTACGCTTACTGGGCCTACGCTCATTAGGCCTACGCTCATTAGGCCTACGCTCACTGGGCCTACGCTCATTAGGCCTACGCTCACTGGGCCTACGCTCACTGGGCCTACGCATACCTGGGCCTACGCATACCTGGGCCTACGCTATAGATGAAAGATTGCAGGCCTACGCTTACTGGGCCTACGCTCATTAGGCCTACGCTCACTGGGCCTACGCTCATTAGGCCTACGCTCACTGGGCCTACGCATACCTGGGCCTACGCTATAGATGAAAGACTGCCAGCCTACGCTTACCTAGGCACGTTATGGATTAAAGACTGCCAGCCTACTGGGCTTACGCTATAGGTGAAAGGCCGCATGTCTATGCTCATCAGGTTTACATTCCATCCTAACAGCGGATAGCCTACGCTACGCATATAATTGCCCTGGCCCATGCCCTACTCAAAGCCTGATAACATTTGTTATAACCTGTTAAGCTAGCTTATTGAGTGTCAGATATGACGGTAGTATTATCTGGAAGCCCTGTGTTATTTGTTTCCAACGGTAGACCGGGACAATCAACAAAATCACGTGGTCCAACCCTCTTCATATTTGGGAAAAGTGATCTCTGAAAAATGTTAGCATAGTAACTGAGTAGAGGTTGCGTGCTTGACAGACCATCTGACTTGGGGAAGGTGGCCAGCTTTTTGAGGAACTGCTATTGTATGTAATCGCGTACCCGTTTTCGCACTGGATTGCAAGAAATATTCTAGGCTTTTTGGCTTTGGACTTCGTAATAAAATCGTTTGCAGCTTTCAACAGGCGGAATTTCTTTCCCTCGAATAATGTCCCAGGCTTGTGAGGCATGCACTGTAAAGGAGTGTAAATCTCGTACGCCTGAAACTTTGAGTGTTGGGATGGCGGCCATTCAACCTCACAATTCTTGTAGGTCAGTACATTGCCCTCAGGGCCCTGGATGACCAAGTAAACTTTGCAGTAGAAGAGCTTGCCAATCTCGTCGCTTTGGCTAATCAGTCGAGAAGACATTCTTTTAAACTGCGACCGTTCGTTCTTCCGGCGTCTTCGTTCTTGTAAATCTGCCTCCATTTTTATGGGACAACCAGTCAGATGGTGCAAGCCTAGACTACCGGTGGCTCTTTGGGAATATATAGTTCCCCTCCCTGTTAGCTCTCTCTCAATTACAAAATAACCCTTCGGATAAAATGAACCCCCTGATTATCTATACACTCTGCTTAGGTTGCCCTATAGGCCTCCTCTTCCTACGGTCTTGCGTGCGTTTCATCCGTCCACGGCTCCCCCCTCGGTTTATAGCTGCTGTTCTCCAGCGTTGGTATCTGTTGTCGCTACCACGAGGCATCTGGTGTATACAGCAGCGGCTTTACAGTGAGCTAATATTGCAGCTACCTTACTGGGCTGGTACGATACTATGTAATACACTTGGCGTAAAAGGACTGGATGATGCCGGCACACGTGCGGCATCACTAGCCGTCCTTCACTTCACAGTCCTGTTTGCGGGTTCGCGGCTGCATCTGGTCTCTGATATCTTAGGTGTCTATCTCAATACATTCGTTTACATGCATCGAACTGCCGGCTGGATGGCTATTGTACAAGTAGCAATCCATGTCATAATCAAAAGTCAGACCACAGAAGTCCGGTGGTCTATGTCAGGCCATCGAGATGGTATTATGGTAATACAGTTTCTCTTTCTTGCAGGTATAATACTGATTAATATAGGGTGCCTCGGCTCTTGCTGCTCTTATTCTGGCCTCTGTCAAGCCTTTACGGCAATATGCCTATGGAATATTCACCAAGCTTCACTATAGCCTCGCTATTCTATGCCTTATATTCACCTGGACCCATGTGTTCCGTCTAGTACATAGCCCTTCACTCTGGACCCCTAACTTTAGTATTTGCTGCCTAGAGGCGGCCAGCCTACTGTTCGTCATAACTACCCTTGGCCAATTTGGGAGGATAGCCTACCGTAACTTTCGATTCGGTGAACCTTTTCCTGTTGCGACAGTTCATAAATATATGCACTCACAGGAAAATGGCGAAAGGACGCTGTGCTTATTCAAATTATGTGTACGCTTACCACGGGGCTGGAATCTTCATGCTGGTCAGACAGTATACATTCATCTCGAAACGATGAGACTCGGGTCCTTCATACAGGCCCATCCATTCTCTGTTGCGTGGTGGAATGCGCCGGAGCTCTCATGCCGTGCCCACAGAGCCCCGGATTCTGAGTTGCTTAATGATTTAAATACCCTCTATAAGGGTGCAAACTTGCCTTCGTCCAACGACGAGAATGATGGACCATTTGTTATCTGGCTAATTGTACAGGCCCAATGGGGACTTACAAAACAACTCGCTAGTTATGGATCTTACACTAATTTAAGAGCAATTATCGACGGGCCATATGGATGTCCTCCAAGACTAGAAAGGTTTGGTCATGTAGTGATGTTCACACAAGGCATTGGTATTGCTGCGCAGATGCCCTACATCAGGGAATCATTCTATGGCTCTCTCGGAGGCAGATTTCCTATCCGTCGACTTTCACTTATCTGGGAGACCAATGAAGGTACGTTTCAACCTATAGCTCCTAGCTACCTTTATTGACCGGCTATATGCTAGAGGAGCTTTCTATGGTGAAGCAGTGGATAGAGCACATGCTGAGGGAAGACCATGATAACCATAGCAAGACAATGGTAAAGATCACATGATGTCACATGTAATCAATTATAACACCTGATTAGATGCTAGATTTTCAGCTCTATGTTGTCAACGGCGATATGAATCTACGATACGGTAGACGCGTGAGAAGGTTTGCTAGTACTATTCATATAGAATCTGTGCTGATCGAAGAGCTCCAAGGCCGTCGTGGAAAGATGCTGATAACGGGTAAGTCTACGACTCCACCATTGTCGAATTTAATTTAACGATACGTTGTACTAGCTTCTGCTGGATCTCGGTTCGTGGATTCACTTCGGCGCTGTGTTTTGGACCAGATCAAGCGGGGTCATCTAGAAAAAGAGATCGAGTTTTTATGTCTAGATTTTCAGCCACCGGAGGCGCCAAGCCAGGTGCGGGGATAGGTGTTGGTACTCCGTCGGCTGTTTATAAATACCCTGTCATTCTATCCTCACCTGGAGTTCACAAGAGACAACATTTTCTAGTGCTGATTCCTTACATTTCCTAATATCTCACTTGATCCTATGGCATCCCCCGAACCCGCAAATATGGAGCTCCCAGAATCTGACTCTGAGTATGAAGCTCTAACCCTTGGCTATACAATGGTGCCTAAATTGCCTCTCCACCCATATCACATGGAACAGCATCAACGGGCAGGTGTCCTTATCTGTGCAATCTTCATGGCGAGACACGAACCTACGGCTGCAGACGAGCTGTGTAAACTTCAACAGAAGCTCTCTACAGTCAACCAGGACATCTACCAGTATAACATTGATCACTGTATCAACATCAAGTTAGGGATCATTGATATCGGCGTATTCCTGCATGCCTGGGAGAAGGGCGCTTCAACGACTCAGCTGGAACATTTCTGTCGACTGCATAATTACCCTGTGGAATGGGCTTGCCTGCCCCCAGCGCCCGGCGCTGAGTACTGCCCGTACAGACCTGACTACTGGTCGAGCAGTGACTGGGTTACACCAGGGTTTATCCTGAAATGTTTGTGGAGCCTGCGAATGGTAAACTCACCGGAAAGCACCATTGAGGATATTGAAGGTGTCCTGATAAGTGTTGGTTCGGACTTCAACCGCAATGTGAACAGATTACACAAAATCCATCAGCACCCCCGCCCATGGGTGAATGTTGGGTTTCTGGAGATGGATACTCTGCTTAGCTTATACCAGGAGCTAGGAACCTACGCGTTCACTGAGCATATTGGACACATTGTGAGATGTCGCGAGAAGCTTCGGAGAGAATGCATGCTGAATGGGTATCCCGAGACCTGGGTCCCTGATTATGGTGCTGATCTGGAAGAGGCGGAGGACTAGTTGGATTATACCTGATACTGATCGGAGGAATTTTTTCTCACTGTCTGATGTATCTTGTTAGGTCAGTAGCAATGTTACTTGATAGTATGGTGTTGATTGAATCATTTTCCTAATTATTGAATGCCCTGTTTAATCCTATACACCATTACGTATATTATCCCGCTACCTATATAGCCCTATCAGATGTTCCAGAAAGCTTAATAGGGTATCCAAATACATTCACTTTCGAGTATCTACAGTACACTACCTACTACCTCTAGCTTGCCCCTCTACCCGTCGCTGCTTTGTTACCTTTCAGCATGTAAGCTGCCCGTCATAGTTACTAATTATTTCGTCTATTCCATCCATGATTAGCTCTCGTCGCCCAGTTCGCATTCTTCCACAGTTACTGCCATATTTACTGACCTAGATCAAGTTGACCTAACTGGTATTTCTCCTCTCCAAGTACATACCCATCCTTGCCTTTATCACATAAACATTCTAGTATTCCATCTCTGTACTTGCAGTTATCACAACTCTTTATACTCTTCGATCCAGCGCTATTATATTACCTTTAGTTTCTCTAACTGCAAGTGGGGGTTCCTTGGGCAAACTAAAAGTTTCCTGACTGCGTTTCACTTACTAGATTCCTTTGTAGATATATCCAGCTGAGTGGCCTACGCACTCTTCAAGTGCCAATTTCGTTCCTACACTGTCCTTGGTAGCCTTTTCGCAGTTTCCATGGAGAACGTAGTCTCCGCCCATCACAACTCTGTTACAGCTAGATAGAAACTTCTGTCCATGAACTCCCGTCCATAGAGTGCATATCACTGTGATCACCTCGTGGATCTTCATCCTAAGAGATTGTGAGTAACTTTCCTTGAACCTTTTCTCTCTGCAAGCACAGGTTCACGTACCTGCCGATATTCAGTCTTGTCTGCTGTTATTTGGTGCTTTTATGCTCAACCTCGGCCCTTATCAGTATGTCTCTGGAAGTAGATTTAAGAGTAGGTTTACCGCCTTATATAGAAGAGACAGCTTTCATTCTTTATGTGTTTGACCTACTCGTCCCTAAGTCTAAAGAGTACAATGGATCAGTGATAGCCTGTCTTGGTATAGATAATAAAGTGTAGGTGGTAACATCAATTCCGGAACTACTGTTACAGTTCCATATCTTATAAGATAGTATTACAGACTAAAAATAATAATCTGCTTGATTACAGGTTTCCCCTTGTAATTTGAATCGGGTTATAGACCGCAGACGAGGGCTGCGAACAGGAGAGGTGTCGCAGAGAGAACAGAGATGCTTGAGTGGTGTAGCTTGTGGATACCCTTCGCTGATCCACAATCCATGTAATCCTGCCGGCGTTTTCGATAGACTGTTAGTGAAGTGACCTGCCCCCTTTGTACGTTGCCAAATATGCACTTTTCTATTCTATAAATAGTCAGGTTGAGTCAATGTCCATTCTACTGCACAACGCACCCACTGTTATTATATAATCTTGTGTACCAAGCTTAAGCAGTTTCTAAATTTGATAACCTGACTACACGTCAAAAATGGGAAAATTCCGTCAGGTTCTTATGCGTGAGGCACTTTCCCTATGATAAATCAAGAATAGGCTAATCATGGAGTCAGCTTGGAAAAAGGAAGCGCGTAAGAAGCACCGCACTAAGAAAGATCCGCCATACATCCTCAAAGTTGCTCGGGGTATTCCGCAGTCACATCTCGACAGAATAATCTTTACACCCAACTGGGAGCTGAGATCGGGCTGGGGACGAGTCACAAATAGGGATGTCTTTTTCAACATACTGAATCGCGACGAGGAGTATAGCTGGTATTATCTAGCCGAAATCAGAGCCAATGAATTTAAGAAAGGTGAAAACGGAAAATACGTACCCCGTTTTGCCGGGTCAGACCCCTTGTATTAGATTATTTTGTGCTAGACAAAGAGAACATTGTCTGGTATCGAGGCTATATGCAAATCACGTGACACCAACTACAGAGAATATATTTCACTAGTTAGTTGACCAAGGCTTGCTTGCTTATATAATACCTCTAGCCATGTAAATTCCAGCTTTGTTTCATTTTGACGCTTCCTGGCCAACTTCTGCTCTATTCACTCAGATGGGGATTTGTTCCAGACTGAATTCTATAATTCACGGGAATCGGCGTACATCAGGCTGCACTAAGGAGGGTTAACACTTATAAAGGCCGGTCGTGTCCCGCGTTGGGGAAGCAGGACCAGGTCCTAGCGTCGTCCACCAGCATGTGCAGAGCACTGCAGTGTCCACACGGCTGCTGCTCCTTGTCTGATGAGTCTCGTGCTGGTAGTTGGTGCTGCCAGGCTCGGGGCTTGTCGCGCCGCTGTGTCGGTCCTTCAAGGTGAGCTGTACTTCAGGCCATGGGCGCCGTGTTGTTTAGGGCCCACATCCAGCTCTTAGGGCAGCCGTCTAAGACCCCCAGCGATGGCAAGACATCTCTTCGCGGTGCTGGGTACTAGTACTCGTTCATCATCTGATGCGTGGGGAAGCCAAGACCTGCCTTAACTCCTACTTTACTATACATATTTTACACCGGGAAGTTGCCAATGGCGCAGTCGTCTTTCGCCCTGCTGTTGTAAACTCATCCATCCATGTTCATACTGTACAGATGCCTGGTGGGTCGGACAAATGAAATGCGTAGAGGTCACAGTCAAGCTCAGGGTATCGCCTCTGGGGCTTGACCCTTCTGCTAACTCCTCAAGAGACGTCACTTTAATGTCAAAGCATGTAGTATAGACCTATGTACAAGAGTGAATCAGTGCCACAGTACCAACATGTCCCCTGACAGATTATGTACTTACTTTATATCCAGTTTCCACCAACTTGGTTGTATTCTACAGCCAGTAGATCGTGTAGATACTTGCGATTTCCAAATCTTTAGAGATCCGAAACGGAGTCGGGCAACCGGAATGGTCAAACGAGGGATACGAGTGCATTACAAGAGCTAACAGCCCATTCCGAGTTTTGCCCGGTGATCTGTTTATTTAGCGCCCGAGGAAAACGTATGTAATGCAGCTGTCCAGTCCAGCCGGCAATAAACAAGATCTCGCAAGTGATGACTAGCACACACCGTCCAAAGGAAGAGGAGAGGGACAAAGAGGCCTCCCAGCAGACCATCAAGTTACTTGCGCAAGGTAGCCTTTCCTCACATGACTTGTAGAGACCCACCATAGAATCCTATATGGAATACTATGGACTTTCCTTTCATACACGTATTGTAATCTATATCACATATTACTGTAACATACACGACGCATTTTACTGAGTCTCTCAGTTTGATGCGGCCCGCTCAATAAATGATCTGCGCTAAGGTCTTGGCGGTAGCCCAGGAAAGAGTTTCTCAATGTGTATCGGTCAAGCCGATTTCGAGAACGACTGTACAGTTAAAGTAAACTTGGCGTTAGGGTCCGAAAACAACTTCAGAGTGTAAGACGACGAAACTGAAAACGAAAAAGTCTAATAGCAGGTTTATGGTCTGAAACACCAACATTGACAGCAGCAACACCTTTAACAGTATGTCACGACCCGGATCATTCACTCCAGTTCCTAGTCTGTGTTTCCTGTCATTTCATTCCCTCAAAACAAGAAACTAATTTTACAGATGTGAATCGGAGTTCATAATACTTTTTAGGACTTGGTGTACTTGGTATTTATGATATAAGATATGATTATTTAGTCTACTTATAATGTACCACTGTAATGCCTTGATCATGTGGTTTGATCACAGATCCATTGGAGCGACAGAGGAGTTGCTGTTGTACCCATAATAATTGAAGTAGACGATATTATATATTTGGGTCTCTACATCCTGTAGGTAATCTGGCTTTGGCATGTTATTCTGTCTGGTAGAAGGCGAGAGTATATCACGGCCATAGTACGTGCATAACTCTACTTCAGGCAAGAACTATTATAGTATAAATATAGCCTATCTGCTACCAAGTGTCGTAAATCACATCTTGAAACCAGAATTCTGACATCCTACATCAGATCAAGAACACCAGTAAACCACCACTATGGATAACGGAAATCATAACAATATCAAGTCTCCTACTCTTCCCCGACCTGAGAGTCAAAGTAGCGAAATGATGCAAAGCGGAAGGGGACCTATGGTCCCACGTCCTTCTCTTGTTAGAGAATCAGCATCGAACTTGATCATAATGGATTCCGATGATGAAGAGGACTCTCTACAGATGTCTCCTACAAAGGAGCGTCCGCAACTTGGTGAAAAAGGAGAAGCGTCAAAGTCCGCCAAGAGTCGTGGAAAACAGGCACTGAGAACTCTTGCTGAAACAGACGACGAAGATCCAGCGTCTTTCTATTATAATGACGCCGGAAAAACTACGGATGCCGCGAAGAATCGTGAAAAAGAGGGCATTACCCCTCGAGAGCCTACAACAACTACTCCAGCAATGAGGAGACAGGCTGTCGATGAGATACTTCAAGGGGAATTGACGGATTACGAACGTATACTAGGTGTTTACAAATTAGCTTCAGAAAAAGATATAAACCGGGCTTTCCGTCAGAAGGTTAAGCTAGTCCATCCCGACCATCACCAAGAAAGCGCAGAGTCCCGACAGAAAGCCAACAAAGCTCTCGAATGTAAATATGAGACTTCTAGTATATAGGTGCTATTGCTAATGGATAAAACAGGCGTTAATTACGCCTATCGTCAACTTAGCTCAAATCCAACTTTACTTGACGATTTACAAACTGGCGAGAGCTTTCACGTGAATGCATTCGAAGGTGATGATAGCGGTGACGAGGCTAATGACTACGAAGGAGGATATGAGGACAAGCCAAAGGATCAAAATAAACAGTCAAAGGAAGAATTAAATATTAAGCACACTCTGGACGCAATCAACAAGATGTTGAGTGAGAGGAAGGGGCGAACTGCACCGCCCAGTATTGTGCGAGCATATGAAAGTGTCACAAAAGACATCGAGGCTATCATAGCGAACCCAGATGATGAAGCGGCAGTCATGAGGGCAGAGAATGTCCAGACACGGATCAAATTTCAGAATGGATCGGAAAAATTCGATCTCAACATTAGCTTGATTCGCCAGTTAGCCAGGAATAAAATCCTGAGGCGTGAGGCGCTGCGTCAGAGCCCGGATAATATGGTAGAAATGACGCAATATGCCTCTGCATTTCTTACCTTTGAATGCGAAAAACAGTGTCACGGCTGGCTACAACACTGGTATCTGGATCAGCCTTCAGAAGCAATTCCTATAGCTTTTGCTGCCTTAGCAAACCCCTACATTGAGATTCTTAAGAGAAACCCCAAAAATAGAGCTGCAAAGAAATCACTGGACAGTCTGAGCTCCATGGCAAAAGAGTGGTTCGAAGAGAACAACCTACCAGATACATGGAACGTGGAAGACCTTCCTCAGTACTATCGAGACCTGGCTGCCGGCAGGTCTGGTGATAGATATTCGGACCAACGTCATTCTGAACTGGAGACATATCTTGTTCAACACAACTGTCCACGATCCTGGGCATTAAGGTCTGGGCAAGATGAGGATAGGACTAGCGATGTGCGAAATCCAGCCCCCGTGTCTAGAGGGAACAACAGGCTCCCGAGGCCAGAGAACAAAGTCCATGGACCGACGTTCAGCGAAAGAGCAAGAGACCCAGACTCTATGGATATCGACAAGCCGGCTCCAAAGACAAGAGATGGGGAAGCCATATGTGGCCATAGGTCATGGCAAATGAGCAAGCAACATGAAGGAAAGGCGTTCCTTTTCGCGGTTCTGCCAGATAAAGATATTCCTATTGGGGAGCTACGATCCGGCACCAAGATAGGTAAAGATGCAATGAAAGGATACCTGGCTTCTGATGCCGTTCAAGAGGTTTGTCAGGTCACAGAAAACGACCAACATCGTTTTCTTGAGTTGGAGGCGGTCTTTGCCCATACATCACAAGGTAATACGAGGGCGCCTGAGATTTGGGTAAATATGCGGTTGGGTGATCGCTCGGAAACAGGAGAAGAGCTTAATGTTGAGAAAAAGATCGCTACAAGATCGAGTTATCGAATAGTACGATCCGGTGTAGACGCGGATTATGATATTGTGCAGTTTTTTGAAAAATACGGACGAAAGCCGCCTGCCCAACTGGTGAACAAGCTACCGTCAAGAAAAAATATGAAAGTAAATGAGCCGAGCCTTAAAGTACATCTGATATCAGACAAGCCGGCATCGGGCGGCGATCCTGAGGCCGACCTTGAAAAGATGATGGCTGAACTTCGGCAACAGAAAAGACCGACCTCTGAACAACGCGCAACACCCTCAGGACCTACTAACGAAAGTACAGATGACATCTCCATTAATTATATCGCAAAGTTAGTACTGAGACAGCAACAGGAGATCAACAATTTAACTTCCTTGTTGCAAAGGAGACTATAGACAACGTCTTGATCCACCGAGTGTTTCAGCATATAGGGGCAGACAAGATATCAGCTTTGCTACGGAGGCACTTTCCAACTGCTATACTATCTATTCCGTTAAGGCTATCGGCCCATGATAAATGTATAGAGAGGTTATTACTGGTCATTCAATTCTTTGTCTTGAAACTATGTAGTCCCAAAGTGTTTTCATGGTAAACATGTGATAATCAATATCTTATAGTTAGTAGTTACAGGCTTTATGTCAATTCAAGTATCCTGCACTACCTCTCGTGTCCTTATAGTCAGTAAGCTCAAGAGGAAATTTGAAGCAATATATAGTCTGATAGTAATCAATATATAAGTTGCTTGTTATATCTACTATCAACGTAAAATTAAGAGTTTACGAACGAAAAATATTTATACGGACCTACATGACCTGAATAATATTGAAAACATATTTATTTGATTACAGATCTAACTCAATCATACGGTTTATTCGTATAACAGTTTGCTTCTTGTCGCTTTAAATACAACTTGACGGTAGCTGCCTCAGACTTTAAACGCGACTTTGTAATAATAATACACTACTTTTCAGCTAGAATACTTGGATTAGAGAATAGACAACGTATCAGGTTCTTTATTAACATACAATCTAGTAGCAGATGACAGTTAGGCGAATAGATATATATCTGTGTTTTGAGATCCGTCAAATGATAAATAATAATTCTCCTTATAGCGCCTAAATAGATGGTTTAAATACTCTATGTTCAAAGGCATCCTTAGTATATAAGGGTAGACATTAGTAGTATTTCTCCTACTTCTACTATACCACACTGATCATTTTCAAGATGGCAGACGCATCCAACATCAACTCCAGTCCCAATAAATTACAATTGTATCACAGATACAAACACCAGCGTGCCACATGCCATCTGATCGAGCTATATCAAGCATATATGGCAGATCCTATGAAGAGCCAGGAGGCCGAAGCAGCAATTGTCCAGCTGGAACGTATCAATTCTCGGATTCAGGATTTAAACAATGAAGCCGGGCTACTAAGTACTCTAGGGGTTGTGGACTATGGTGTATTTCTATACGGCTGGGACCTAAGACAGGATCGGGCTATGTTGAAAGACCAACTTGAAAACTTTTGTACCAGGAAACAATATATGAAAGGGTGGTGCAATATTCCTCCTACGCACGATTATGGATACTTTGCAGAGCCGGAAGAGTCTGTTAATGATGAGTGGGAGATTTTAGTCCCTTGGCTTCGTCTTATCTGGGCAATGTTGAAGAGGCAGTCCGAGTCGGATAGCCCATCAGAATTTCTGGATCATCTCGAAGGCATGTTCCTCGGGTACCTGGGAGGCCCCGGTGAAGACTTATCTGTCAGCCAATGTGACGCATTAACGACTTTAATCTCTTTACGTGAGATGAGTAGATTGCTAAACTCAATCCATGGAAATGGACAGATTACGACACAATGCGACTATGAAAAAGAAAGAGAAACGTTACGGCGTATGTGCGAGTTGCAAGGATTTTCATGTGATTGGATACCTGCGTGTGCTATGATAGAAAGAAAGGTGGATAAGGATGGCTCATAAGTGTGATCAAGAACCTTTCGGATATATTTTTGGTTCTAGCTCTATCCAGACCACATAGGTATCGCGCCATCGCTGGTAGGATCTCGCCCATACTAATCCCCCGAGCCTGTACCGTGGTTATTCTTGACTTGTATAAGCTATTATGCTAGAACACATAGCTATGTACTGAACAGCACAGTATAGTTCATCCTGCTCATTTGTTTAGACTAAATCCTTGAATCTAGGTGTGTAACTTCATACCTAGCAATCCGCTGTGGTAATAGGCATTGTCAGAATCGCAGATGGTAAATGATCAACTGTCAGTGTCTTTGACCAATCAATCTTATATAATTCATCGTTACATTGACAGCTCCCGTAAGGAAATATAAAGAGAATAAGTGTCAAGAGAACTTGCCAGTACCGCATGTTCGGGTAGACTGTGGTAGTTATTGAAACTTGGATATAGATATTGCATAGGCTATTGTAGCAAAAGTGAAAGAGAAATTCTGTACTTATACAACGGAATATCCGAGTCTCCTCGATCTCGGACTTCACCGGCAACGCACGTGAGGCGAGATGTCCACGTTGTTTGTATGCATTTGTCCCGCATCCTGGGAACCTTCTCTAAGCGCTATATGCTTGCGCAGGTTTAGGTACGTATATCTCAAGATTGCGCCTGAACCTAATAGGTCATTTTCTGCCGGAGCTTTATCTACTTCCCCCAATTCCTCTCCGCTCCCCATAGCTCGCTCTATTTGCCCTCCCCCCCCGGGATTAACTCTTACACCTGCGTGTGTGCATCCACTAGTTAGCAGCACCCAGAGGAGGTCTAGAGGAGTAATGCTTTGTGGCCAGCCCAGGCGGGATGAGATCGACTGGCTTTCTGCGGCGCTGGTTCACAGCCTGTTCGCTATATTGGGGGTCTGAGCAATTACTGGATTGTTTGGCTGTTTCTGTCACCGTATGTGACCGCTAGTTACATAGGAGACCTTCCTATTCCGGATATCGGAATTGGTAACTACCGATTCCCGAGGATTATGCAGAGTTTTCTGTTATTTACATGGTTCAAAAGTTATATCTCTTTCAGCTGCCTTTTTAGGGATTGCTTATTATTCTTCATGTATTTAAACCATCGTTTGCAACTAGATTGAAAGAAGAGACCTTCATCATTCGATATCCCTATGGGTAACATTACTAGCAATTACGCCTAGAGAGACGGCCAACAGTTTCCTACGTATCATATAGACAATCGTCTGGGAGTGTTAGGGGTTAAGATACCATGCCATCTCGATGCTCTGAGATAAAAGCACGCAGTCATCTTAAGGACGTGAGGTGATGGCAAATAACTGGAGGGTGGGCGGAGGGTGTATTCTTGGCCGTCATGTCACGGTTGGTCATTTTGTGTTTTTATTGGGCGTGGTGCCATTTATGGCGGATACAAGCCGAAAATATAGGCTAACCACTTTCAGGAGACTAGGGCTTCGGAACTAGCGCTTGAAAACCAGTTGAGTCTGTTCAAAGCATGAAAGGACATTTTGGGTCAGACTATATAGCTGGATACACACCATATAAATTTCAACAGTTGTAAAAGATAATCCACTGCCAGGATAGCAAGGAAAGGGGCGGATGTCAATGTTGTACAAGCATTGAAGTGATACAAAAGACTATGTCCTTCGACGTGGCCACCGAAGACAAAGAAATCCAAGGTGGGTTCATATAGCCCTTTCACCCCTTTATTGCTGGTCGTGAAAGGTCGCTATCGCTTTCTCCCACCTTCTGCAAACATGGCTCTGTATGATTCCTTAGCCTTTGATAACATATCGGCGCTTACTCTTACCGCTGGTATCATTATCATCATTATACTACTCAACAGAATCTTCTTTAATGACGTTCCATTACCCGCGCCACTGCAAAAACCCCGTAAGTATACTGATATTCTAAATATGATCTTGATCCAGCCATTAGTTCCTAGATAGCTAATGTCCTGTAGCCTTACCGGAACCCTCCCAAACCAGACCTCAGAGACTGTCTATGCTGGACTTGAATGTACGATAAAATCTGTGGGGCTTTCCTGTAGCTTGGTAGAACTATCTTGCGATAGTAGGACAAGCATATCTTATTCATTGCACTTTCAGTCCTTGTACATATTAAAGAACAAGGTACACTGTACCTCTTTATATCGTCTACTCTACGAACTATTTAGTATACAGGCAGTCAAGACGGGTCAATCTTTCTTTGTTATGCACTAGCAGTATTTATATCAACCAGGCTCCTACAATCATAACAAAGATACCCGTGTTCACTGGGAACATTCAGCCTCAGAGCACCATTTAATCTGAAGGCGTAGAAGTTGTTTATTACCGTCGGGGTTCAGTCGTTGCGAGAGATATAACGTCATTGACTCGCCTATTCCATAGATAGGGGGTGGGTCTAGTTTGACGGAGTTTTGAGCTTTGTCTCTATGCTATATTTCAAGGTCACTTGACTCACTTTCTATTGGTTGTCTCCTTAGGTCTGGGATGGTGTGGTACATGTCGCCCGATTGTCTTTCCGGCAATACAGGATCATGACCAAACATGCGGCTCTCTGGGGGGCTATAAGGTGCATCTGGAATAGTGTCGCCAGAGACCACACTTTGCTCCCTGATCAGGAAAGAAATCGGCGAGGGAAGATCAAACTCAAGGGCATCCTCTGGTTGATAACATCCAGGTGACTGGTGATCCTGGGTAGGAACAGGGCCCTCGATGCAGTCGAGAGAAAATTGAGCCATCTTTGGAGGCATTTCTAGATAAACAGATTGGCTCTGCTAGTTGAGGTAAGAAAAGTCCAAGAAACAACATGGGAAGAGTGGTATTTATTATTTTAGCTTGCTGTGTCCGTGCTTATAAGTTAACCTCTCATCGGAACATCAGGCGTGGTTAGAAATAATGTCTGCGTGGATTACCTCTACCTGGATCTCGAGGCTCATTATTGCGGTCTTATCTGCTGTGGCTTGTTATACCCCTGATAATCTAAACAGTAGCTAATAGAGCAGGTAGACTTTCCAATAAACGTCAATGATAGCATTGGGCAAGAACACTACTATCAACGCAGCGGGAATACTCGAGGTACTACATGTGAGTTCTACAGATGTAGTAATACTAACCAATGCAGCAGAGAGTCCAATTGGAACTAAACGCAAAGATAGTATCTACGCCAATACTGTACTGGTGCGTTGACTTACTTTTTGATCTTTTTAAACTCAGCCGGATGATATGTGCTATTCTATCTAACACAGCAGACCGAGCAGATTTTACATGCAAGATATGCTATAATAAACCCATCGAATTAGTTCTCACTTGCGGCCATGCATTTTGTTGCGCCTGTCTCAATAGATTCTATCATAACTTTATCTTTGATAAAGCGAAATGTATTTTTCAAGTTGCCCGAAAGCAATTAAAGAATCGGTTTCGGACACCGCGCTCTCTCGGCTATAGAAGGGATATAGTTGGATATTTCCACATTCCGTACAACCAAAGCTCCGAGCCATATTTCCCCCTTCAGTGTCCCGGCAATGTACATCAGGAATGTTTCATCAGGGGCTTTTACATAAAGGCGACATTGCTAAAGCCTCTATAATTGAGAGAGCTGGGCTTCGAAATTGAATCTTAGACTGAAATATTACATTACATCCAAAGAAACGTCCATCTCATGTACAACCTCTCTCGCCTTAAAGTTTCCTCCCATAGACCCTCCGATATTGTAACCATATTCTCTGTGATCGGCGTAGGAGACTTATGGACCCCCTTTTGAGGTTCAATCTAATGGTCAATCGGCGTGAGGGAGAGTTGTACAGCCGATAAAGATGTAAGATATCTGCAGAGAGATCATAGACTTGACTTTCTAGAAGCCAGGCACGCGCATATACATTCATCATCTCACTACTGTGGTTTGTTGGAGCGAATCCTCGAAGTTCGACCACTGGCATCTCAATCGGATGGTTCTTGGTCTGAACAAAAAGCCCTGGTACGGCCTCTTTGGCCATTTTCAACTTGGAGATTTGGCGCCGGCGAATTTCTTTTTCAGACTTGCTAGCTAACATAAACGGCAGGGATTGATAGGTCTTGATAAACTCTGGTATCATTTCCAAAAGTTTCTGTGTTCCTATCTTCATTCTAAATTCTGTCAGGTAGTACTGCTCGCCTTTCTTGAATTCATCACTTATGACAGCAATAACTTCATTAATTAAAAAAACAGCCTATCTTATGGTTAATCGGTTTGTGAATAGATCAAATTAACAGAACATACCATTTGTACCCATGAACAGTTCAAAAATAGTCTGCAGTGTTTTTTGAGATGTAAATTAATCCTTCGATATTTTATTCGTTTACAAGCTTTTATAGTACAGTCGGGATTATCTACATACAACTGATCTTTACTTCCATTGGTACTTGTTGTTGAGCAGTCTACTACAGTTTTATATTCTTTGAATAATCTTTTGAAGTTTCGCAAGCAGATATGTCAAACAAAGGAATACGAGATGTATTCTTTTAATTGTCAGATAATTGCATGTCTTGTAATCTAGCAGACTTATATTTTACGCGCTTCATGACCTAATTGATGAGGCCTCTGAATGCAAAGGGAGATTCAAGGATCTAGACAAGGATATATCTTCAGCTGTTGCAAAAATCTCAAAGAAGTATGAAAAATACTATTCTTTAGTAGATGATTGCAACATATATTATACAGCACATCTCCTGGATCCTCGTTTTAAAGGTGATCTTCTTCGCCAAGAATTGACAGATTCAACAACTGCAGAACTTATTATCAATGATGTTCTTAATACTCTCCATATGGGTTATCCTGCTGCTGAAGTAGAGGTTAATCATTCTACGATACGATCTCTGCCAACGTTGAAAGCATCCAATTCAAC